GCGTCTGGTGCTAGTGCTACTGCTAATGCTACTCTGTAATAAGAGCCTGAGGATTATTCCTTGCGCAAAACAGCCATGTGCGTAAGACGATGCGACGGTGATAGTGCTTCGTCTTAATATCAAGCCTGATAAGAGCAGTACTATCCCCCAATGGATATAATGGATATTGCATATTATCAATGGCTTGGAACCCGTTAGGATGACGCACTTTCAACTTTTGAGCAGCAATGGCGCGACCCATACACATGACCATCATCTCCAGCTCGCAGTATTGAACACATAGGCTTAGGGCCTAGCGCGTTGACGTCTGGGAAACAATAGAATAAGAAAGAAATGCTACCTGTTTAACTTTCTTCGAACTTGAAAACAATCTCCACGCAGACAGTAGAAAGTGAAGAATCATGATGCAATGCGAACCACAGCACGAGCATTTCCTTCGAGTCTCCTCCCACACCAAGTTCACATGTTACCCACTCTTCGGGTGCATCCCGAAACCATCAATGTAAGATTTCCGTCCCATCTACTCATCTCATCTCACCAAAGCCAATCTGGATCATGTCATTGGAGATCTTGCATTGGAGCACAGTCGATTGGCAGACCAGATGCCGGCAATCTAATAAGGCTGCAAGCCACTCGGACTAGGCGCGGGTTGGTGCATATACGAGGTTTCGTTTTGCTCTAAGGAGTGTTCTAAGGAGGAACGCCACATTTCTCGGGTTAGGGCACGCGCGAGTAAAACAAAGCGAAGCACAGCACCTTATTTCCGCGTGTTTATAACGAGGTGGTGGTAAGACATTTCTTCTACTACCATTACCTAAACTTGGTTTTAGCGGAAAAAAAGAAGATATAGGGACTAGTCTTTGTCCATTGGGCATTTGATTAATACAATAATCATCAATCATTCGCAGTGCCGTCATACTCTTGATATGATATTCTCATGCGTGTTCTCATGCGTGTTCTCATGCAGTAAACAAAAAAAGAGCCAAATCACTTTCCGTCAATTGCCAGAACGCCACGCCAAATCCAAAGCGCTCATAGTCGCCATGACAAACAAAAAAACAAAGATGATCAACTGAGATTTCTCAGGTCCATCTCTCCATTAAAACCACGCCAGAGTCCAGGTCGATGGTAGATTAGGCCAGCGTTCTTGCCAGGCGGCAATAATCTCTGGAACTCGCTCGTCAAAACTCGCTCGAGCAGACGCACTTCCGCTGTCAAAAGCGGCCGAGCCTATCGCGCCTCGCTCCTCTTCAGCAGCGGCATTGAGAGAGTTGGCAAGATCGAGAATGCCCTGCCCGCCAATGGCGGCTTCCTCGTGGTTATCTTTAATGTCAACGTTAATCACATGCACCGGGCGATTCAACGGAGAGCCACGGTTTAGGAGGTCGTCAATGACGGCGTCCCAGCATCGCTCTTCACAGGTGAAAACTACGTCCACGACTCCGCCTTCAACGCCCTCGCTGCCCTTGTCACTGGAGTGCTGCAGCCTTGGGACTCCAACGGGCCAGTCCTGCCAACGTTCGGGGCCCCATTTGACGCCTCTATTTCTTCCTAGCATGTTCAGAATGCCATTGTTCCGATACAGTCTAGGGTCTTTTGCCTCTAATTCTTTGTACATGCTATCGTATGATGTCTTGTTGAACTGATACACGTTTGGCTGGGTGATTGTCGGACCCGGTAGCCGGACGAGAGAGCCGGTACCAAAGGAGATTACAGGGTAATTGGCTTGCGAGAGTCGGAGATGAGCTTCCATGGATCTAGATTCATATTAGGAACAACGCATAAGGGATCAGCTGCCTTTAAGACTGACCTGTTGTTGTTGCTTGCGCAGACAGTGCAGAATTTGAGCTTGTACTCTCCATTCTCATTTTGTGTCGAGCCATTCTGCTCTGTTGTCGTACCATTCGCAGTCTCCATATTGAGAAATTATCCAGGGCAGGAGGTCACGCGATTGCTACACGAAGAGAGATGTTGCATTCTCCAACTCAAGGCAGTGAGTGAATCTATTTTGAATCAATTGGCGTTAGCAATCTGTTAGAGTTTCCAGTAGTAACGTGATTAAAAAGGCAAAATTCTTCATCAGTTTGAATCGTATATTAAGTAAAAAAAAAATTTCTCATCAGAGCGCAATTGCTCAGACAGCTCCAATAAAGGGTTCATCATAGAAGAAAGGATTCACGGTGGTTTCGCAATTCATTGCCTACCTTTGATTGTATCATGTACCTGTCCGCAGTCATCCAGTATCAGCCATTAGCGGGTGCTGGCTGTTCGGCGCTGGGGCTCGTTAATTTCGCTCAAGCATAAAGCAATATTGAAGCATTGCAAAATCGTGAGGTGAAGGGGAAAAGCTGACAGTGGAGCTTTACGCGACCTACGGGTAAATATCGGATTGAGACTAGCCCAAATTTTGAGGGCATCTGTATTAGGTAATGTGACCCTCGACTGACTCTGAGCTTTGAATGATATGGACATGAGCTCTGCCATATCTTTTGTTATTTATTAATCTATGGGCTGTTTATGTTCCCCAAAATACTTTTCAGCACAAGACCTAAAGCTCACTTAGTTTCCATTACACAACTCTGGGGAAGAAAAATATCTCGCAAAGCCCCAAGGGACACGGGACGTGCAATATACGAGAGCAAGCGTATGGTACTTGATCGCCATGAGTGCGCCTCCAGCAGTACAAAGGCAGTACTTGTACAGTTCCAACTGCATGCGTCGTGCCTTGTTTGGAGCCATGCTGATGAAATTTGGTTCGCTGGAAAGATGCCCCATCCCGGTCCCTTTGTAGCTCTACGATTGGCCTGCAGGCACGCGCATAACCTGAAACGAACGACGCTTAGGCTCCTCCCAATCAGCGTCTGGCGTCGACCAACCCCTGCCCGCAGCCGCTATCCAAAAATAGAAGCACGGATGTTATTCCTCTCATGTGTTATTAAAAGCCTGCCTCAACCGCATGGAACGTGTCGGGAAGGGTTCTGGGAAATTACGCTGAAAGACACTCGTACGGTGTCTTGTGTCTTGAATATCTGGGGTTGTGCATCTCTTCTCGTTCATTTTACTCTTCAGTCCAGTCTTGGCAAGAGATCACGCAGTCTGTTTGCAGAGTTACACGCATGTGATGGTATCGTGGATCCTCCCCTCGATGTAAAGTAATATGGATTTCATGCATGGCTGTGTTGGCTTGCTCAACACACTCAGTACAAGTATGTTCCAACGTGGCATTATTTTTGCCCGAATCTCCCGCCACTCTGGGCAAAATTTCTGTCACAGCGTTTAGCATATCTCCTCATCTTGGAACCTCATGGCAACCTCGTGGCAACGTAACCATCAATGTTATTATTGGCCTGATCAACGAATAATACCACTATACAGCTCCCGGGGAATCTGACCGAGCTAACTCTGACCACGGAAATCAGAGATGGAAACGAAATTGCTACCAATCCCAATTCTGCTCGTATGAAGCCGGGCCATGTTTGAGGTTTAGAGCCCCTATGTGGGGTCAGAGCAGCAAAACCCAGACTTGCGGTTCCCACGGTCTTAGCAGTAATCCTCCATGGCGGCCGTGGTATTACGAGGTACTATTACCAGGTGATTTGGTGACAACGCTTTTCCTACGCGCCGGAGATGGTGGGACATACCTAGGTAGGTAGTAATGCTGAGATGTATCTCTCCGTCTGATACACGTATTGGCAGATGGGCACGTATTACTGCGAGTAGCTGATCTTGCATAATAATTAACGGAATTCGTCTGATGGTCTAATCTAACTGAAATATTGATCCCACCAGGTCCTACTACACTAGTACTGACTGCTTCCCTCGGCACGCCCAGTGTTGGTCATGACATGAAATAGGCTGCAGCATCCATACTCTCTAGGTTGGTGTAAGGAACACTCACCGCGCAGCGGGCATTGTGGCATATGAAAACCCGCGCAAAGAATCAAAAGTTCATGCTATTGCGATTGAACACTACGCAAAAGACTCAGCCACTTCCTTGGCACTGGTCCCGATATCGTCTTGGAGCTGCTGGTCAACGCCATCAACACCCCGCTTCTTGGAAGCAGAGCCCAGCTGTCAACTTATACCTGAGACGGGAGAGTATTACTTGCATATACCATAACGCAACGAAACAACTCAAAATTAACCATCAGCGGCTCGCCTTGCCGCTCACCCATTCTGGCGCCACCGAATCCATCCATACCAGCTCGCCCATACGTTGGTAGGCAGGCATCAAATTGTATTAGCCTCTGCTGTTCAGGCGCTGACTCGGTGGGCTAGCTACAGCTCGGCCAGTAGAATTAGCGGGCGACGCGCTGACTCCAGCAGGACGGCGACCAGATTTAGCCCTACAGCGAGCTGGACGTCGACAGCGGCTCGCCACTAACAGAGTACTAATAGAGTGCGTTTCAGCCAGCGCATGTACTTGGGCGGTACATCTCTCAGTTTCGATCGACTCCAAGCTAAACTTGTGCTCGCGAGGCAGCCTTGTGATCTCCCGCACTTACCCAGTCCCTCGCATCTTGAAATCTGCGTCAAGACCTCCAACGTCACCCGCAGCGCCTCTGCAGCAGCGCAGGGGGGCCACCGTCAATACTCGCAGTTCTGCTGTCATCAGAGCCAGCATCCCTCCAGATCACCGCCCTAGCCTCCCTCAAGCCTCTTCTGCAAACAACCCTGCTCTGACACACCAGCGACCGCTTGTCTCAGATTAGGGTTTTCTGAGCCTCCCACCTCCGCAGAGCCGATCTCTGTACTTGCTTTCGCCGACACCGAAACTCGCGCCGCTACAGGCTAGAGACACAGACGCTGTCCCAGAGGCAACCATCTTTCGCCGACGTACGCTGGAAGAATCTGGATAAAGGCCTGCTCGCCTGCCCGCGGCTGCTGAAGTTGGTTTACCACGGGCCGAGGCGTGGTGCTAGAGGCAGCAGCGCTGGATTCTCTCTGGCGGCATCGTCCTGAAGCACCTTGGAGGGATGACCGCAACCGCAACAATGTCGATGAATTCACCCACAGCAGCAGCGTCCCCGGCGGACCTAGCTTCGATGATGCCAGACCCAATCGACTCTGACCCGGCCCCTCTGAACGCTTCGACGTCGAATCGCCACAGTACATTATCCCGACCACTGTCATATGCGTCCAAGAACAGATTGTCGCAATACTCTGTCACCGGATCGCTGCCCACCCGATCGCGACCTCAGTCTCACGTGTTCCCCATGTTCCCCTCGAGTCTGGCCTACACGCAGGTGCGCGACTTCGCATATCCCATCATGCATCCTATGCACTACGGACCGCCACCCGAGCCTTCAGGCCCGCCGTCTGGGCTCACGACGCCAATGAGCGAAACCAGGCGGCTTTCCGAGCCGTCTGTCTCGTGGGACCAAAAGATGCCGTGGGATTCATGGACGCCGGATGGGTTCAACCGACCCCACGATTTACCGCCAATTCAGTTTGGAGATGGCCCTCCCTATAGCGAAGATGAAGATTTACAAAGCCCGGTGGTTTCTACAAGACACCGGAAGCACAAATCAACCTCAGCAGCTCTCCATACTGGCAGGGGGCGCACTGGTCGCGACCCTGACAGGGGCCAATCTGCCATTATTAGCTCTAGCTATGACGATAGCCAGAGCTACTACTTGGGAGTTGGCGGAGACGGAAGTGAGCGATACTATGTGAGCCATGGAGGCGAAGCGAATGGGCCTGGCGGTGAGCTTGTCACATACCCCCCAGATCAAGCACATCATGGCCACCCATATCAATATTCGCAACGGCACGAAAACGACATGGACGGATACCAATCAGATTCTAGCTGCTCGTCATCGCCGGGTGGCCCAGGAGGGGACCAATCCCGCTATTCGCGTGATTATCAATTCACCATCACCTCTCCCGACGAAGAGTTTCACGGTAAGGCCGTGGCTCTTTTCGACTTTGAACGAGAGAACGAGAACGAGCTACCACTAGTAGAAGGCCAGATCATTTGGGTGTCATATCGCCATGGACAGGGCTGGTTAGTAGCAGAGGATCCAAAAACTCAGGAGAGCGGCTTGGTTCCAGAAGAATATGTTCGATTGCTCCGAGATATCGAAGGAGGGATGAATAGCCTGACTGGAGCTCTTGTTGATACATCTGGATCTCCCAATGATGCGGGCACCCCTACCCAGACAGAGCATAACAGCCACTATGGCCACACTCCCACGCACAGCACTTCAACCAACGGATATCACCAACCAGTTGTCTCCACCTTTTCAACTTCGAGCAAAGACCTTAACCCATATCCCACGGAACAGCTTGGTATTCAAGCCGGCCAAGCCCCTCCTCAAGTTGTTCACTACCACGGGCAGAGAGGAGGAAGCCAAATCAGCACTCCTACATTAACTCAACTCCAGGAGTCTGAAACGCAAAGAAGAGCAAGTCAAGACGCAGGAAATAAATCGGAAGAATCCCCAACAACTGCGCAAGAAGAGCCGAGCGCGAAACCTACCAATACAGACGCATCTGGCGAAGCAGCAGAGGCAAGCTGATGAAAAGAGCTTGTAAGATGGCCTAACAACGGGCTGGAATGACGCTTTAAGCCAGAAATATCAAGCTTATTTTCATCATATTTCATGTATTTTAAGGCGCGGAAGAGGAATAAAGTATAAGGGATATGCTAAAGTTGTTCATGTATGGAGATGGATATATATGTCTAATTGCTTAGCATCACCCCATCAGCAGAGATCTTAGCATAGTCTAGGCTCTCTCGCGATGACTAACACGATGAATATATAAAAGAGGTACGGTGTATCTGGGCTGGCTTCAAATTAAAGGAGGATACCAGAAGGTATGCTTGCTGCTCTCTCTCACGAGACTCGGCAAGACCCCTTGGCTGCATAGGTAAGAATTCGATTGAAGTAAGAAAAAAAGGGAAGAGCGCTTTGGAGCAAACGCGATGATTGGATGATAATTCCTACGACTCTGGTGGGCTGGGCATAGTTATTTGTTTTTCTCATGTTTTTTTTTTTTTTGTCATTTTGTTTTGCTTGGGCTGCCGCTTCTATGGTGGATGGCGTTCCATAACACACATGAGTGAGTGGTTTACTGGGGGGAATGTTGAGTTGCTAGATGAAATAAAACTAAACTGTTAACCCAAGTGGCCATCATTTGGCTATACTTCTGTCTGTCTGCTATCTTGTTTTCTTCTACAAGTGACTGGCCATATCATTTGTTCTTCTTAGCCAATGGTTGGTTGCTGATATCATAGTCTCAGACAGTGTCTCCTCGCCAGTCAGGTTGCCCAGTCTTTTGCCAACCAGTGTTTCAGGAACAAGATCTATTCGAGCACTGTTATGCCATTATTATAATCTCTGCTCTTTAAACGAAATGATGTCAGTAGCTTTTTCTTCTATAAAGTTAACTTATAACTGTTGTTTTCTCCTCACTAAATATTCGTATATTAAGGGTGCTTGTATCCTGACAACAATTAAGAATAATTGGTGAATCAGACTAAAGATGGCAGCCTCGCTAACTATTTTTGTTTTGTAATTGGATACACCCTAAAAAGTATGTGACTTGAAATGTTGATTGGAAGACGTTGATAAGTGGAAAGAAAGGTATTCTCGGCTCAGACAAAGAGACTCGTTTCTAATTGGACAAGACTAGATGAAAGAGAATTTCACTGAGACGTACCAAAATGCTGGAATAGATAGAGCGAATACTATAACAGTACAGAGATACATATAACTCTGAATCTTTACTGAAGAGAGGACTCCTTGGGTAGGCGAAGTTACAAAATCATCCAACATACTTCATATCAGCAGAATCAAATGAGAATTCTAATCCTTGCAATACAGCAGAGCTTTGTACCCATTGTTATTTAGACGGCTCCGTTCATTACCCCGGATTTTAATGGTTCCTCTTTCCTCTTAGGATGCTTAGAGACTTTAACAATGGGATAGGTATTTACTTTGAAACTATACTCCCCGAGCTCTCTCTACTCACCCAGCTAGAGTGTCAACGGTACTAATGGAAATATTCACCAATTTACAGCTGATTATAACATCACAGCTCACTGTGTTCACGCACAATTAATTAACTTAAAAACGGTTTCAATCCGTATTTTCCATTCTACCGAGTCTATGCTTAGTCCACTTATCGTTCATGCCTTTCTGTATGCAGCTTCATTCCGCCATGCAGCAGCATCGTCATCATCTTTTCATGAAAACCTCAGCTATTTTTTGGCACATCATTATTGCACCCATGCAAGAAGTCGAGGAGAGTGAAAAATGCAAAAAACAAACTCTTCTGATGCCTCGGTATCTTCTCAATTGAATGGACACAGGTTGAAGAAAATAAAATGTATGAAACAAGGAAAATAGGAGGTTTGATTTTTCTCCTAGAGAGCGCTCTTCCCAAGCGCCTAGGACTAGCCAGCGTTTCTTCCTTTTTGACGCTACCAGTCACCCAGATTTTTTGTTTTCCACACCCAACTCCCGGAACCCAGCCTCAGCCTGCTTGTTTTTTAATCCCCATTGTTATTGTCCAATATCAAGACATTTATCGGGAGGACATAGCCTTGGTGACAAGGCGCTTGAGGGCGAGCTCCTGCTTCTTCAGGTCCTCAGCAGAGGACTCGCCGAGCTCGAGAGCAGCCATAGCCTCGCTGATGGTCTGCTCGATCTTGTCCTTCTGGCCACGCTTAAGCTTGAGGGAAAGAGTGGGGTCAGAGACAATCTCCTCAACACGGCCGATGTAAGACTCAAGCTGCTGCTTGGCCTCAAATCGCTTGCTGAAAGCCTCGTCGTTGCTCTTGAAGGCCTCAGCATCGCTGATCATCTTCTCAATCTCGCTGGTAGAAAGCTTGCCAACAGAGTTGGAGATGGTGATGTTGGCACTGCGGCCAGAGGTCTTCTCGCTGGCAGTGACCTTAAGAATACCGTTGACGTCGACCTCGAAGACAACCTCGAGAACAGCCTCACCAGCCCTCATGGGAGGGATAGGAGCAAGGGTGAACTCACCCAGGGATGTGTTGTCCTCGCAGTTGACACGCTCACCCTGGTAGACGGGGAACTGAACGGTCTGCTGGTTATCGGCAACAGTGGTGAAAGTTCGCTTCTTGAGGGTGGGGACAGTCTGGCCACGGCTGATGACAGGAGCGAAGATGTTGCCCTCCATGGCGACACCGAGGGACAGGGGGACAACGTCGAGCAGGAGAAGGTCGGCGGTGTCAGCGGAAGTAGCCTTTCCGGAGAGGATACCGGCCTGGACGGCAGCACCGTAGGCGACGGCCTCATCGGGGTTGATGCTCTTCTCGAGCTTCTTGCCGTCGAAGAACTCAGACAGAAGCTTCTGGATCTTGGGGATACGGGTAGAACCACCGACGAGGACAATCTCCTCGACGGCGCTCTTCTCCATGCCGGCATCCTTGAGGACCTGAGCAACAGGCTCGAGGGTGCCAGAGAAGGCCTTGGCGTTGAGCTCCTCGAAACGAGCACGGGTGATGGTCATGGTGAAGTCCTCACCCTCGAAGAGAGAGTCAATCTCAATGGTGGCCTGGGCACCGCTGGAGAGGGTACGCTTGGCACGCTCACAAGCAGTGCGGAGTCTTCGGAGAGCACGGGGGTCGTTGCTGGGGTCCTTCTTGGACTTGCGGATGAACTCCTTCTTGCAGTGGTCCAACAGGTTGGTGTCGAAGTCCTGGCCACCCAAGTGGGTGTCACCAGCGGTAGCCTTGACAGTGAAGACACCGCCCTGGATGCTAAGCAGGGAAACATCGAAAGTACCACCACCAAGATCGTAGATCAGGACGTTACGCTCCTTCTCAGTCTTGCCGGAGCCCAGACCGTAGGCAATGGCGGCAGCAGTAGGCTCGTTGATGATACGGAGAACGTCGAGGTCAGCAATCTGACCAGCGTCCTTGGTAGCCTGACGCTGAGCGTCGTTGAAGTAGGCAGGGACGGTGACGACAGCCTTCTTGACCTTCTTGCCGAGCTTGACCTCAGCAATGTCCTTCATCTGTAGTGGTTTTCTGTTAGAAAAGTTTTCATGCAAATTTTGACCATTTTTGCCTCGGTGACACCACACTAGGCAAAAGAGGAGCGAGCAAGCTTACCTTTCCGAGGACCATGGCGGAGATCTGAGGAGGAGTGAAGGTCTTGGTCTCGCCAAGGTACTCAACCTGGACGAGGGGCTCGCCCTTTCCACCCTCAATGACGGCGAAAGGCCATGATTCAATATCCTTCTTGACGGTGGGGTCATCGAAGCGGCGACCGATCAGACGCCTTGAATGGAAAAATTTTGTTAGCTAAGCGATTTCTTGTGTAGCGGCAATGGCAAAATACACAAATTGCGAGGAAAATGGTACTCACTTGGCATCGAAGACGGTGTTTCGGGGGTTCATGGCAGCATTGTTCTTGGCAGCCTCACCAATGAGACGCTCCTTGTCGGTGAAAGAGACGAAGGAGGGGGTGGTGAAAGAACCCTGCTCGTTGGCAATGATCTCGACATTGGTACCCTCGTAGATGGCAACGCAAGAGTAGGTGGTACCTGCAGAGCGGATTCGAGGTTAGTTATGCAGATTCAAGACACAATCTCGATGATTGGCGACTGGAATTGAGAGGAGAGAAAGCAGGAAAAGTTTGCTTCTGCGTCCTCTCGCTCTGGATTTGCTCGCTCAAAGAGGGGCATCTCGACGAGGAGATTGAAAAAGGTTTGTGCGCAACGTACCCAGATCGATGCCGATGGCACCGTCGTACTGTTCTTCCGCCATTTTTTTTAAGGAATTTGAAGAAGAAAAGAAGAAAAAAAGGTCCTTCAAACTTGTGTGAAGGAAAAGATGAAGGATGAGATGGGTATGGAGAGAAGGGAAAGAAAAAATAAGAGCAACGTGGGGTTGGTAGCAAGAAATACTTCCCACACCACAAATTTCTGCCGCTCTACCGTTTCCTGCGAACTTTTTTTTTTTTTTTTTTTTTTTCTTTTCTCCCCTCAGTCGGCAAGCAAATGTGCATCCAATGTGGGGCAAGCGATAAGTTCTACCATAGGTCCCTCATTCCACTAGGCCCATCTAGGACAAGCCGTTTGTTAAAATTTTCTTTCGCCGCTTGAGCTTTTGAGCCAATCAGTGGCGATGCAGATGGAAATTTTTCGTGGGCGCCTTTTTTTGCCATTGAGGCGTTGCTGGGGCGAAGTGTTGATGTCCGATATATGAAGTTGCGGAGTGCACGATGTAAATAGAATACTAGTAGATTTTCCCGTTTCCTATTAGATAATGTGACTACTGAAGCACAGTGTGGTGGTAAAGCTATGCGCGATAGATCTTTCTTCCAGACTCCCATTGCTGCCCTCTTCCCCCGGACAGCCAGACGATGGTCGCTTTTACAGCCCTTTGGCCCTTGCCAGGATACCCACCGTCTCTGCGACGCCCTCAGCTATAGACATGCCCTTGGGCTCCCAGCCAAGATACTTCTTGGCCCTCTGCGCCTCTCCCCTCGAGCTGTACGCATATGTGTGTATTATCAGGTTATCTCCCTTCAGCTCTCTCAGCTCAGCAAGGCTGTATTGCTTAACTGTAACCTTGTTGCTGTAGCCTTGCTTCTTGATTTCTTCCACAACCTTTTCTGCAAGCTGCAAAAAGGAATGGGTGCCACTGGCGGCAAAGAAAAAGCCTCTGATGCCGAAAATCTCCGGGTTACTGTTCTTCGAGGGGTCTTGAGTCGCATCGACAAGCTTGATATACAGGTCCCCTAGGCTATGAACGTCGACGTGGTCCCACTCGGTCTTCCCAGGCTTGACCACGGGCACGTATCCGTCGGAAAGGCCCGCCTCTATGAGATATGGTAGCTGGACGCTTGTCTGATTGCCAACGCCAGACCCTTTGCCGTAGATGAGAGGCGGACAGATGATTGTGGGCTTGACTGCATCAGAAGCGGCATTTTGGATAATCTTATCAACATCTCTGTGAATTCCATCATCGGGAAAATTCAACATGCGATCGACGCCGTCGAGGTCGTTGTAAATATGCTCGGGATGAGGGCCCTCCCCTGCCCTGTTGTTGACATGGTCGTACCAGGTCAGAATGGCCGTGCCAGACAGGTGTAACCAGTACCCAGGCTTTTCTGCGGTGTGGCCCTCCTTCAGGCCCTTGGCAATCGCACGAGCACTAGTGGCGTGGTCAGATGAGTCTGCGGTGTCTGGATCGTTTTATAAGCTGAAATTCGCAATCGTGTTGTTTGTCTCTTGTAACATACGGATAACGATATCTGCCTCGGCGGCGGCCTTCTCAATGACATCGGTGTCTTCGAGAGCGCCATAGGCAAATTTGGCGGTTGGGTATTTCGCCTTTACTAGCTGGGCACGTGCTTCGTCGCGAACAAGAACGGTATATTCGTAGTCCTTGTGAGCGTTGTAGACGTAATCAAAGACCGTGCCTCCAACATATCCTGGCTAATATTAGTCTCGAAATCATAGATGCTGAGATTGTCAGTTGCCAATTACCAGTAACGCCAGTCCTATTAGTAGTAGTATCTCTGCGTTAGCTGATCCAGGCTCTAATAAGTGACAGATAGGCGGGGCGCTTCATCCAGCATGTGGGGGAAACATACAGAAACACTTTGACGGCCATGATGGGCAACAGTACGAAGCTTTAATGCGTCAATGAGAAGCGTATATCTCGGAAGACCCGAGAAAATCTAGACTGAGAACACCGGCACTCTATACAGTCTGGGCAGCGAAGGCTCAGCAAAGGCTTATATAGTTTCCATGTGATATATGCACGCATCCCGCGTAAAACTCCTGCCAACTTCGGTTCAACTGAGCTGCGCGTAATTTTTCTCAAACAAGGAGGGTGGCATTCAGGAGCTAACTGCGCAGACATCTCACATGGTGATATCATCTCTAGCCCTGGCGCCGCTTCTATCGTATTCCATCTACTCTTCGCAATGCAGATTGGTAAAGATATGTAGCCAACACAATGTGACAGATGATATCAAACATCGAAAAGCATCCAGCTATAGGTGCTAGGCTATTGAGAAGTGGACATGCCTCCTTTTTAAACGGCGACCACTGACTTTCTCAGCTGATGGTTGCAGCGATCTCTAAATCTTTATGGTAATAGTATCCCCACGTTGTTAGCCCCTGCATGGCAACTCGTAGAAGCGCCGCAAAATTACTACATGCGGGCAGTGATCATTCAAATAACCTTGAAGATAGCGCGGCTATACCCAAAAGAACATCATGGCTTGCAACCAAGGAGATTTTATTGCCAAACTCAATTCCGCAAGCCTCGGAATATCTACTGCCTCGAATTGGATGTCCTTCGCATCGTTCAGCCCCGCCTACATGCATGTAGTGCAGCCAACAACCAATTGGTCCCGAAGCACTACTATACCTACTCTGTAGTAGCCCTTACAATTGGAAACGTGAGACGTCGATGCAAGAGCCAACAATTTTGTTCAAAGTACATGTACCACAGTATCGTACGTAGTATTGCCAGTGGAGCTGGTGAATTAGACTTTGAGTGTGTTCCCAAACCCCCTCCCCAGTGCTTCTCTACCCCTCCATCTGAATCTCCTCAATTTCCGAGATCTATTTGCTCGACTTGGGAAACATTAAGATTTGCCTACAAGGATACCATCCATAGCCATGCCTGACTACACGTACAAAAGCTCTGGAACCAATAGCCAGGTCTGCCATTCCCGACCCCCTGCCTGGATCAGAGATGGATCTCATACTAACGCCTCGTAGGGTAACCACTACTGCGCTCGGGATTACGGAAGCAGTGCTTCCAATTCCAACTCCTACCACTACTCTAACCAGTAAAGATACGCATATCCTTGAATTCAGGCCAGAAATCTAACAAGAAGGCTGCAGGGACGGCTCCTACTACTACTCCAACTCGAACGGTAGCACATACTACAACAATGGCGCTGGGAGCTCCACTTACACTTCTCCCAGCGGAAACTCGACTACACAATCCGGAGGCAGCAACAGTAGCAAATAGAAAGCTAGGCTGTTAAAACATCGTTTGAAGGAAAATTTAGAGAAAAAAATCTTGGGCTGGATATTTGGACGAGAGAATGATGGGTATTGCCAGGCCTGGTGTAAAATTGTAGGGCTTTCGCTATATAATGGGACTGCCACCACCATAGTGCAAATGAATCAATTGACTTCTCTACATACAAACAGTGACCAATATGTAAACCGTTTCTTCTTATAAATTTCATCTCATCTGATCAAGTACCATCTGAATCCTGAGCAGGCCTCGTATGTTAAATCTCCTAAATCCTTCCATGCTGCAGTGTTATATAAAAAGCAAAAAATTCCTCTTAGCCTAGAAAAACGAGCGACCGAGAAAGCAAACAAGCAACAGTTAAGTAATTCCTCGAAAAGAAAAAAGAAAAAGAAAAAAGAAGAAGAAAAAAGAAGAAGAAGAAGAAGAAGAAGAAGNAAGAAGAAGAAGAAGAAGAAGAAGAAGAAGAAGAAGAAGAAGAAGAAGAAGAAGAAGAAGAAGAAGAAGAAGAAGAAGAAGAAGAAGAAGAAGAAAGTAGTAAGAAATAGAAGGAATAAACCCTGAGAGAAGAAAAGAAAAAAAGAAAGAAAAAAAAATAGGAGAGATGTAGAGTCGTCAATTGAAATTGCACTCAGAGGTGGCCTGAAAAATGAAGGGACAGGAAGATGATCAAGACCGTGTAGATGAACGTCTCGACAAGAAGCTGCTGCATGAGCATGCCTCGCTGCTCTTTGGTAAAGCCTTTCATCTCGCCAAGTGCGTACCAGCAAACGGTCGAGTCAAATTTGCCGAGGAGAGCAAGGAATCCTATCAAGGGAAAAACGATAGAGGAGAGAACGATTACAATGAACAAGACTTTACGCTTGTGTTCCATTTCTTCAGGAGAACGGCGACGATCCATGATTTCTCCGCGAGCGGATTCGATCAGCTCGGCCTCGGAGGGAGTCAAGACGCCTCCAGTCTCGTTTCTGGACAAGGCCCATATCTGATTGCTGTTCTGAGACTTGGATGGCGGAGCTTTGATTCGGAGACATTTAGCTCCCAAGGCGGCTGCAGCTTTGAAGTGGCCAAAACGAGCTGGCTGAGGTTTCTGAGATTTCGGACGGAGAGACAGCTTGGATCTCAAAGAGCCCAGAATAGCCGAAGATGGACTCGGTGTATTATCGACGAAATCAAACTCAACTGCAGCCGTAGGATTAGCGAGAGAACCATCAAAACGTATCAATCATTCGTGAATAGTGATTAACTTACCAGTTGGACGGGTATTGGTTATTTGATCTCGAAACACTGCCGTAGAGGGACGTGTCACGGGAGGATTGTTGGAGCCGCCAAAGCGGTAGCCGCCAGAAGAAGACGGGCCGGCCTCGTTGGAATAGCCCGACCAGAGAGGTCCAAGTCTGGCTCTCTGAGCAAAAGAGTCAGCTTCATCTGCGTTGCGGTATCTTTGAGAGCCATAAGTTTTAGCAGCCTCTTTCAAGTCGATCAGTTCGAATGGCAAACGAGAGAATGCGTTGGTAGAATCGTCGCTAGGCAGTGTCGTATCCTTAATTCGAGTTTCGCAAAATGCCTGGTCAAACTCATTTACTGTCTCATTATGACGAATGACTTGGGGCCAGACAGTCTCGGCGGAATCGGTTCGTGTCAGGGCTAGAGTAGTGTCTGCCTGCGCTTGAACATTTTTGCTCGAGCTTGCAGGCTGATAATCATCAGGGCCGTCTTCTAACTCCGTAATACGACCCGAGGTCTTCCAATTGGGAGGAGTCAAAAAAGGATTTGAGGGCCGCCGAAAAGGAGCCGCAGCGCGAGTAGCAGGCTGAAAAGCCTCGCGTACGGTTCTCTGCTGACGTTGATAAACGGCCGGGGCTCCATACTGATTACCAACACGAGGTTTGGCCTGAGCAAAAGTTTCGGCGTAGTAGCCTTTGAGATGATGGATAGATCGATTGCGTCGGTGTGAAATCTTACCAACGGCGTTGTAGCTCTTGGCTGGGTAGGGATGCTCTTCAATAAAATCAGAAACATCCGCAAGGCTGCTGCCCGTGCCTTTGATGAGATTGAGCTCGGATTGGTCTGCAGCTCCGCCAACAGGTCCAGTGGTGACAGTTTGCCAATCGGCATCTGTACCTTCATCGGTGTGAGCTCGTGGCCGGCATTCACCATTTTCTGCTTTGGTAGTCTCTGGGCTGCGCTCGCTGCCAAGCTGATGTTGAGCTCTTCGGCCTCTAGTTACCGGAATTCGGACCTCATCATCAACCTTCTAGGTCGATAGAACCGCGGTCGGATTGTAAAAGGCAGTCTTGCTGGGCATAGTAGACTCTTTTGATTCAAATTTGGCTCGCATGCTCAAGCCTCTTTCCTTGTTCGTAGTTGTAGGGCGAGACGTGGAGTCTTTTGTTTCTCGTGTACTGGATGGATGCAGAAAGGTAGAGTAGGCCTCCCCATCGTACTTGAAATGATCTGTACTCTCGCTGCTCGAAGTCTTGGAATTAACTGGGAAGCCTCGACGTCCTGTTGGCCGAGATGGGCCTGTTTCATGGACTCCTACTCCATAGACGGGCTGTCTGATGAACTCAGTGTGTCCATGGTGAACAAAGGCTGAGCCATAGTTCGCGTCTTGGTCCACTCTGATGGGATTTGCTTCATGCTCTCCCGAACGGTTAGAGAAGCCAAACGCGTCAAATGGAGTACCGGGCCTCTTGAAAGGCGGCTTGATTCCTTTTCCTTTAACGTCGTCGCCACCATCTTCATCGTCAGTGTCAGGGACGAGTCCCAGACTCTTCAGCGTGACCTTGGCCTTTGGGGGGCCGGTTACTTGATAGTGACGCTCATCATCACCAGCAACGGTCTCCCATTCAGATCGTGCTTCATCGCGATCTACCTGGGAAGACGGTTTGGACTTGGTAAGACTGCGTCCCATGCCCCATGGCGATGGGGATGGCTGCGAGGGTGTTTGCTCCGAAATAGGAGCTTGATTGCCATCTTGCTTCAAAAAATCATCATAAGGAGAGTCTTCATGAAGCGGAATGTCATGCATATCAGATGCAGCGAATGGATCATCGCTTGAATGAGCTCTGGCTACATCCTGTTGGTAGCTAGTAGGAATATGGACAATAGTTGGTTTGCTCCATCCATATCTTGGAATAGAAGACTTTTGTCTGTTAGTATCGTAGAAAATAGAAATGGATTGATAAGAAGAGGGCATACCTCGGCGAAGTTGATAGGCATGTTGGCTATTGCATAACTTGGAAGCTTCCAGAGTATTTATTGATTGCTTGAACTCTTTTTTCTTGATGATAGCCTTTGTAGAGCTGAAAGGCGAGGCAAGGTTTGATGCCTGAAAGAGAGAGATGGCTGGCGCTGAACGACTCGCCTTTTGAGAACTATTCAAAGATAGGAGATGAAAGTCTCGGGGGAGATCTGATAGCTTCTGAATCGTGGGATGCCTGATGAAGCCAGCAATCTTGCTTGAGTTGTGATGATGGCTGTAGTGATGACTATGATGATGATATGATGGAAATAGGATGAAGAAATTCTAGAGCTCAGGCCCAAGCCCAAGACTAACGAAAAGAAAAAGTTTGGATAACACGTGAACGCGGTTTGTGATGTTAATTATCAGCGGAAGCAGTGTGGTTGATGAGGTGGAGAAAAGAAAGAAACCCGCTCGTTATGTTGAGAGAGAGAGAGGGAGAGAGAGGGAGAAGGGGGGGGGGGGGGAGTTCCTGGGGAATAATTTTGAGGGGGGAAAGCAACAGCTGTGAGCTGGCCAGCTGGCAGAGGGGAGCGAGTGATTGTGGGCACGGTCAAAATTCAAGCGAAAGCCCTAACAAATCTGTTTATCTGCAAGTATTTGTTTATTTACAGCAGGCGCGTCTAATTTGACAAATCTTTTGCGCCCAACTGTATGATTTTCCTACGCCCTACGCGATTTGCCTCATCTCAACAGTAACATCTACTGATCCACCCAAGTATCTGCATTGCAGCAGAGTACCATTGGGCACGTAATTGCATTACGGAGGTTATAGTTCTTTGCTCTTAGTACGGTATGGGACACCTAATTGAGATACGGCTGTGTATATCTTTAGAACTTCTAGATCTTATGCATCAACATATTAAAAAATAGCCATACTAGGGTGGAACGATAATTTCGTGTAGATGATAGCATCATTACTATTTCGGTGTGGGGTAGATGGGCCGCTATCACCTAGTAGTAGTAGTTTCGTTGCTATTTTTGACGTAGCTTTTGGACAGCTGGTGCTGACACTAACTGACTTTGTTTATCTAGGCTATGCTCATGCTTGATCTATTGTAGAGATGCTCTTCGACTGCCAAAAGAATACCTTTGGCGCAATTGCTGCGTTGTGGAGAAACGTCCCTTATAGTGGAATGCGACATGCAAGGAGTTCGTCGGGCATGAGTTTATACGTCAAGAAAGATACGAGACAATTCAGTCGTTATCACACTTGATTGGGAAGTATGTATGCATAATCGAAAGCTTGCTTTGAATAGCTGCCGGCCATATACTGTACATACTTGTAGTTCTTGTTGATGTGCTACGACCTGCTGGGTTGGTGGATATGGTGTTGATGCTAGTGCTGTTAGTACGACCACCACCTCCGACTAAATCATGGAGCCCTTGAAGCCTTTTTACCTTATCCGTCCCACAAGCCAATCAGCCCGCCAGGGTCCTTTGGCTCTGCCAATCACCCACTCTGCTAAATCGGCATCCGAGGTATTATGGCACTAAAAGGGAACCGAATCCTTGCGATTGGTCTTACGCGATACTAGAAGACTGGAAGTTTGTCACTCTCTTACACACTAGCAGCAACAGCACGGGCAGGCCCCTGTTAAATCACGCTCGAGATCTTCGAGCCCGACTCTGTCTTTGAGTCCAACCGTCGGCTGCTCTTTTCAATACGGCTCCATCGGCGAAGCCAAATAGACCTCCTCGGCCAGCCCAGCGATCTGTCTCCCCTTTGCCATTAGCAGGCGGCATTGAGGCTGGCCACAGAGGCATTCGTTATGGCTTTGCCCGGTCGATCGTCGCGTTGGGACGTGCTTCCAGATGAGATCGTGCTCCAGATCATTAGCTGTAAGAGCTCCACCTGCCCCTCCACTATCTCGTCGTCTCCGTAGATTGGGAAAACGAGGCCAGTGCTCACTGTTTCTGTCTTTGTTGCCATCAGATCTCGATCCTTTCCACATCACCAGACTGCAGCTTGTATCGCGGAAGCTTCAGAAGCTCTGCCTCGACGATGAGCTGTGGAAGCGCCGCTGCTTCGAGGAATCATCATGGTACCAACGACTGAAGAGCCGCCGTCGACTTATCTCTCCTAGCGAACCCGACGACAAGCCTCGAGATGGAGCGGTGCTGCTAAATCCAGAAGCCAGCGGCGACACAGGCGCCGGTGATAAAGAGACTGCGAATGGAGATGAAAACAGCCCCGAATCGACACAGAGGCGACAGCGGAGCCGCCGAAGGCAAGAACTTCAAGACATGGCCAACTGGGACCCAACGTTTCCCGGCGAACGAGTGTGCTGGTACAGCGAGTATATTCAACGCAATGGTCCTACATGTGTCAACTGGCTGCAAACCCCTCGGATACGCGATCGGGGAATCGAGGCCATTATCGAGGCCAGAGGGATGGAGCTGTACTACCCATACGACGGAAACGACGGTCTCGGCACCATGCTGGCCGTATCACCGCTCGACGACGGCTCAATATGTTTGTGGGACGTCAAAGGGACACGGAATAAGCCAGGCTCAATTCTTGCAACAAGCAAATCCGATATACTTTTCATCGATGGGCCGGGAAGCCAAAATACCAGACGTTCTAAGAGAGTTGACACAGGGGTTACAGAGTGCGTTAGCGTAGACAACCACAGGCATCGTGCATATTTTGCCGTACAAAGCCGTGAGTCGATGAGACGCCATGCCGGAATTGGCACATTGAGATGACGGGTACTGACATCTGGCTGCAGATTTGATCGAAATCGACCTCGAACGCCTAGAAGTCGTGAGCCACGAATCATTTGAATGGTCCATAACCGCACTCTCAAAGATCCAAAATGATGTTCCTCTTACAGTTGGAACATCTCTTGGTATCCATCTATTCGATCCTCGCGCAAGAGCTCGGGCAGCCCAGGTAACGGTAGAACGCGTGGATCAGAACGATATATTCAAGTCAATATTCGACCCGACACCATTGCTCCCCTACGCGCCGCTCTCTCAACCTACTCCCGTCAGCATTGTACACCTCCCACTGCATGGATCGCGAGATTTAGTATCACACGATATCTACGTGGCCGGTAGATTCTCCAATATATTGCATTACGATCGCCGCAGGTTCCCTGTTATTATGGACTCAATCTACTCGGGAGCTATGATCAACAGTATGGCGGCGACTCCTCATCCATTCTCCTGTTTAGATAGCGAAATCAGGCGGCACGGTGAGCTCAGCGCAGAACAGGTAGCCAAATCGAAAGAAGGGAGCGAAGGTTGGACGCTGGTGGCAGGAGGAACATACAAATCTAAGGGCTCTCTTGAAATCTTTGGTCTCAGCCAGGCGGTTGCCGGCCCATTTGGTCGCGAGATGATGCAGAATTCTACCATGAAGAATAGGCAAACTGCTGCGTCCGCTTCAATTCTATCAGTTGCCAATCACGGGAGCAAGATTGTATTTTCGGATGGAGCTGGCTTCATCAAGTGGTTTGAAAGAGACGGCTTAACAGAGTGCCGCCAGCTAAGGATTGGCCACTGCGAAGGAGACGATGCTCCATCGCTATTCGCTTCGATGAGTGCAGCCGGCGAACTCGCACGTAAAATCGTCTCGACAAAATCAAGAGAAGCCCCAGATCGGCCCAATGACGACAATGTTCTATTCTGGACAGGAGAAAGATTAGGGATGGTCAGCTTTACGCCAACGCCACTCTATCATTCCAAGGATTTTGAAGACGAGCAGGACCTTGACGCCCTGGCTGAGGAAGAAGAGAGGAGACGCTATGCAGATCAGATGCGTGAGGCTTTGGATCTGCAGGCGGATGAGGTTAGATACATGAATACATTTGGAAGCGGAGGCCCTCGCGAATGAGGACATGGGGTTGAATAGCATATTACGATTTCCCACCAAGTTTACAAATGGTGGACATTTTTTTTTTTTTCTTTTTTGGGAGAAGAAAATAGGGAGCCATCACGACACCTGGCTATCCGTCCAACAGGAAGGGAGAGATTGCATAGCGCTACATAAATTCATACCTGGCGACCAATAGCTGTCAGTCGAACAAAAAGAGAATCAAATGACCTGTGATGACCGCCATCAAGTAGTGTTAATTAACGAATATTACTCACCTAATGAGAATTCAGACCCCTCAGAAGCATAAATTTGCTGCGACGCTACATGTGCCTTCGCTTACTATTGATCCTGTGATTCGCTTTATATTTGATAACATGATGCTGATAGGATAGCTAGCCCGCGCCTTGCACACAGGCCGCAGGCCGCAGGCTACACTACCAACCAGCAGCGAGCCAATGAGACGGAACACACTACAATCTTTCTATTACAGACGAGGGAACTGGTTGGTGACTGCATGTGCCTACTGAGATGGAGATTCTGCGACTTCACCGCAAACACTATTGGGCTAGCGCTGGCCTACATGGCTAGGCTACCTTGCCTCACCTTATTATGTGCTACCTACTAGGCCTAGTATTTTTTCTTTCTTTTCAGGGCTTGAGGCTACTGTTTTCAAGATTACTGGACGAATTCCCTAAATGATCACGTTCGGTGGGCAAGGCAGAAGCAGGCAGCCAATCATGGGACGCTGAAAGCCGCATCATGTCCTATGACGACGTGGCCAGCGCTGTACTTCCTTCCCGTCGACACATCCGCCTAGAAAGTCCACGGTACGAGTCTGTGTGTGGCTGGTTCAAAATTATGCGGCCTCAATATGGAAAGTGAAAAAAAAAAAAAAAAAAAAAAAAAAAAAAAAAAAAAAAAAAAAAAAAAAACAAACAGAGGTGGCGAAAGATTACGGTTACGGGTGAAATACCTAGGATCCAAAAGAAACGCCCAGGTCAAGAGGATGATGTTGGATTTTGGCGTTTCCACGGCCGGTCATCTGACACGAGACACGAGACTTGCATGTCGGTAGCTTGGAGTCGACTGCCGGCAATGGTTGATGTGTGCAGTGCTGCCTGCTGTCTGCTTGAGTAGAGAAGAGAACAAAGCTCGGATGCAGATTGCAGGCTGTGATGCGAAGGGCAGATGGCAGAAGTATGTTCAGCAGTACTGCTGCTGCTGTATCACAAAGCTCACATTGGATGGGCGGACAAGGGAATAGCACGAGCAAGGATTCCATCTGTGCCAACGCGCTGCTGCATCTGCCTCCACTGCGGTGCAGATGAAGACGCTAGCAGGACCAGCGTCTTGTAGTGCCATTGTGGGAGCGCATTGTGTACAGTATGTGCGTTCACTGCTGCCCGTCAGTGCTCATGCAGAAGAGGAGCCTTGGTGTTGTAGCCAGTCCTGGCTGGGAGGCGGCTCAACGCTGTTTCTCTCCCAATACGACATGTGCAGCAGTCCGTAGTGGTAGCACTCACCCACCTAATACTGGGTAGAGTTTTATTCCTTGAAGAATTCGCAGAACTGACGCCGTTGGATGGCGACACAAAGCTCTGCTGCTGCATTCCCAACTGCCGTATTAGCGCACGCTCATGTAAGTGCTACTACCATTTGGTCTTGGGATTGCCGCAGTCACCAAGAGCCCGCCAAGTATCCGAACTCCGGATCTAGAGACCCCCTTCGCCGCGCGCCCTCCACGGCCCCGATTCTCGTCTGCTCTGCTCATGTCCATGGAGCAGTGAAGAAACTTCACTGTGCTGGTCTGGCCTGTTCCCAGCATCGCCGCACGCAGAGAGCCTGGAACCCACTAAGCGGCCCTTGGTGCATGTCTTCTGCATCCTGCAGCTGCATACACCGCTCCACGGCCCAATGATGGCCGCCCACAGGGCGTGGATTCTGTCCAGCAGCGGGCCTTAGATGGGGGATGGAATATTTTCTCTCAAGCCAGCTGCAAGGATCGAGGCAGATGAGGGGAGGAAGAGGGGCAACAAGACCATCCGGTGAGTCTCAGCGAAGAGGCACGAAAGAGCCCTTGTGAGGCGGAGGCGAGGACCAAAAGTGAAGAGAAGAGAGATAGGCAGACGGAGAGTTTTGCACGGAGAGTATTGTGCCAGTAGCGAGGCGATTCAGAGCACCAAAGGCAGCTGCTCCAACGCGTATGGATTGCCATGGAGCCTGGAACAAGGGCCATTGTTTATGGGGTAGCATCACAGTTGACAGTACAGCCTGTGGTAGCATTACGGAGGCCCAGAAGAGCAGAGGCAAAGGACGGACGACAGCCCTGGATCGGATGATTTGGCCATGCCTTAACTGATCGTCTCAGATGTGGGGGCGCAGCGTCGGCACAGGCAGTTGAGCGCCTACGATTCATTGCAGGACCTGTTCCATCTTTTACTCTTGATGCTTGCGCCAGGGCTAGTGCTGTAACAACGGCAGCCTGTGGTCTAAAGGCTCGGATCGCAGTCCACCAGCTGTTATTCTCGCCACCAGATCTACAGACCTACAACGAAAGCCGTCAAGGTTAGCCTCCCCGAGAACAGCCCCCAGAAGAAATGGTATTGACCAGCGGCCAGCCCACCGGGTAGGTGTGTTGGGAGGGTGTAGAGATTGGTTGACTGCTGTTCAGCCTACATACATATCCATCTGCCTCTCCTTCTAACTTACATGCTGCCTCGCCCACTCCCGCCTTCTATCCCACTCCCTGCCCATCTCTTCCATCTGCATCAATCAGTCCATCTATCAATCAAGCAGTCTTCCCACCAGTCAATCCCGCCCAGGCTGCAGAATCAAAGAGAACGATTGCATCATCCGCGTTCGTCGCTTCGTCGGGGCCAAGCCCTTTCCCATCATCCCTCCAGACGTTGGCCAAACACCCTCGCAGGGCACACACCACCACCACAACCTCGCACACACACAAGCCCGCACTCGCATATCACGTCTGTCCACGCTGGCTGGCATAAAAGAGCCAGCGAGGCGATGATCAAAAACGTGCGCCGCTTGTCGTGTCCATCTGCGGCTGGCTTTGGCATGCAGGGTTTCTCCAGCCGGCGCCCGTGATTTGACGACAATTGCCTCTCGTTTTTCTGTTTCTGGAGACCAAAAAGGTTCAGGACCCTTCGCTAATGCTACGCGCTATGCTGGTTGCTGCATGACTGACTGAGGCGATTTCTTGGTCTGCGCTTTTTCGCCCGTGGCACACCTTTCCCCCCTGTTCCTTTGCTTTCTCAGCATTGCAGAGTATTTTTGGATAACCGTTATTCTTTTCTTTACCCTTTTCTCTCTTTTCCCCCTTTGCCGGTGTTTCCTCTTTCTTTCTCCGGCTTCCTCCCTCCTCAGCTATTCTTATGGCAGCCGGCAGGTGATTCCAGTTTGTGATTCAGGTATCTACGTCCCCCAGTCCCTCCCTGCCAGTCCAAATCCACCCTCATCCCACACCGACGGTGGCGGACTCGGTTTGTCTGGGCCTGCTGCTCCGTGACCGGTGTCCCCAGTTACTAGACAACTCAGTCTGCCAGCTCACAACTTCTCCCCTCCCACACTCTCCAGTTCCGCCAGAGCACACTCGTCGTTCATTCGGGGAGAGCACCAGGGAGAGAGAGAGAGAGAGAGAGAGGGCGAAGAGGAAGAAAACGGTTAACACGACGAAGCAGGATCTTGCATCGCACCGGCTGTCCAGCGGCGGAGCAATAGCCTCCTTGCCACTACATTCGACCGCACCAGCCAATACATCCTCTCAAACAGACTGGGCGAGCTGTCTCCTTGGTGGGTGGGCTGGAGCCTATGCTGTTCAATGGCCTTCTGGGTGGTTGGCGGGGGAAATCCGCTTGGTGACGCTGCCGCCTCCTCATCCTCCACTCCTGCTGGTCAGGTGGCGGCGGCTTACATCAAGCGCGGCAGCTATTCGAGCAGCTATTCGAGCAGCAGCCGCATTGGAGTCGGTCCCAGCAGCAAACGACGGGTTGTCTACGCGGACGGCAGCGCTGCCACCACCGCCTGCAGCGACGCGGGCTGCTATGGCATCACTAAGCGGCCGCGTCTGGACGATTGGGGCCGCGTTATCGGCTACCACGGCAAGGGCCATCATGCTGCCGGCTGCGAGTTCGAGCATTCCGGCGGCGATCCCAGCCCTTCAGCTCCCACGACAGCAGATGGATCTGGTTCGGTCCATGTCAAGAACCTCGCCTTTCTGGTGATCCGAGAACGGGAGCCGTCTCCGCCGCCGACGCCGCCCCCACCGTCGGGCCTGTCGCCGGACCACCGAGGCGGGTTTCCACCTCCACCGCATCCAGCACCCGGCATTGGCTTCGGCCCATCGTCATTCAACTCGGCAGCCCCGATGGAGCGTACGCAGTCTGGTCTATCCATATCATCCGACACATCTGCTGTAGACTCCCCGTGCGGCCAGGGGGGCGACTGTGGGCATCATGATCACCCGCCGCTACTCAGTGATCTCGCTGCCGCCCGACTTGTGCGGAAGCATGTTGCTGATATCCGCCGGCGGAGGCATCGAGACTCACAGCACGGCCGCATTCTCAAAGCCTTGATCAACCCCAAGTCTAGGGAGGCAGATTTCCCACTCGACAACGACGCCCTCCGGAGCATCTTCTCTGCCGCAAACGAGCTCTTCTTCGCGAATAGGCTGTCACAAAGAGTCACATGGGACTGGAGCCACCCGGCTAGTCCACAATACGAGAGCCATATTGTCGGCACGACCGCTCTACGCCGAAGCATTCGTCTAGGAGGGTATGAGACCCTCATCGTGTTATCATCGCCAATCCTCAAAGACACAAAATACAACCGCCGTCTTCTCATCTCTACCTTCTTACACGAAATGATTCACAGCTTCTTGTTCATCACGTGCGGCATCAAAGCTCGACACCACGGCGGCCATACGGAAGGGTTCCGCCAGATCGCTGAAATAATCGATGACTGGGTTGGGAAAGAACACCTTCGGCTGCGTGATATGGAGGCTGACCTAGAGCGTTTTATCCATGAGGATGAGGCAGCGCCTCCTGCAGCTGACCATGCCCCAATGGACGGTGGCTCAACACATATGAACAACTATCATTATTACGACAATAGCAACAACAACCCTACCACGATGTGGCCCGTCCCTGAATGGCATCACGTCGATAATCGAGATTATCGCACCATCGAAGCCCCTCAGCCTTATAAGAAATATCCTAGCAACAATGACGAGTGGGAGTGGCATGATAGGGAAGGGTTCCCGGCCCACGATAATATACCTCTACGCCATCACTAACAACCTCTCAAAAACCACTTTTATTGGTTTTTGCGTGTGAATGTTTATGTGTTTGAATTGTTTTTTGTTTTTTGTTCCTGTTTTAACGCTTTATGATGTGTATTTTCATCTGATATCTCTATTGGCGTGTATTCACGCGTACTGACGACTACAATTTTCCTTTGTTGCATGAAACATGAAAAGAAAGAGAAAAACATGACATGATGTAGACTTGGAAAATGTTTGGAGTTTTTTGTTTGTGTTATTTTTTTGTTTTATTTATGTGTGTGTTTTCGCTTATTTGTATTAAAAAGGTGTGAACGACTAGCATTGAATTAGGTATTTCTGTTTCAAGATGTTGTTTAGAGGTTGTTTTCCATCTTCGTTTTATACTGGTTTTTAGCCTCCAAGCATTTAGACAGTACTGGATGCTGTCATGATTTCTACAATAGCAGATGTTCAAGATAAATGTATAAATATAATGAAATGAACAATTTTTTAAAATGTCATTTGTCATGTCCGCTACGGTTGTTTCGTATAAATAGGGCTTGCATGTGGTGTTTGTGGTTGACGCGTGACAACTTGCCGATTTGTTCCAGCCAAGTCGGTGAGACTGCACCAGGAATAAGCTAAAGAGAAGCATGTGCTAATCTCAGTCTGGAATCGTCCTTTTTTTAATCCCGGGCTTGTAGCTCCTAGCCATGGGAGTCTTTGCATGAGGGTATCCATGATAGTCGACAGGTCATCTGCCTATTTACGTCATGGTAAGTGCTTCAAGAGTTGCTGACACGATGAATCACCAGCGGAAGTGAAGGGGACCAAAGAGAAAGAGGCGAGACCCCCCATCTCATCGTACAGATAGATACTTAATCTTTTTGTCATATATTTTTTTTTTTTTAAAAAAAAATTAGTATATAAATGTCATTTACTATGTGAGAATCATTTTTCCAACGCCAGTACCGATGCAATATCTCAGTGCATAGTAGGTACGTGTATAGTCGTATATCAACGTCCGACAATCAATCAGAGGACCACTTTATGTGTGGCCAAGCATTTTATGTCTTTTGTCTTCTCCTCTACAAACTGACTGCCCGATCTCTCGTTTTCATTTTCATTTTCGTTTCGCTTTCTTTTTCTTTTCATCTCTCGCACCGTAAGTAGCGTAATTTTTTTTTTTTACGAGCATATATGCATGTAAGGCTTTTATAGATGCTTAATTATTCGCAGTGCTTGTAGCCTTGTAAGGGCTGCCTCGGCGGCTTGTGCCGAGGAGAGGAGATGATGCACTGGCCTCGTTGTCTGACTCATCCTCGTAGTCGTCGATGGGGCTTTCGTCTCCGAGAACAATGGCGTTTTCTTCACCCTCTTCGTTGTCGCTGTTGTACGCTGATGCTGTGGGTCCATCGCCTTCGACAATCATGAAGACGGGGATGGCGCCAATGGCGGAAACGACGCCCAGGAAGAAGTATGCGGAGACGATGTAGCCGTGCTCAACGCCCCAGGAGAATGCGAGGCCGGTGGAGGCGGGTCCAAAGGCTCGGCCAAGGCCGCTGAACATGGTGGCAAAACCATTGAGGGTGCCGAGGATGCTGAGCGATGTGGCGGAATTGGTCAGGAGGATGGTGGTGGAGGGGAAGGCGATGATGATGGCAAATGCCTTGAGCATCATGACGAAGAGGATGGCAGCAAAACGCGTCGCGGGTGTAGGAAGTAATGAAGTGTACGGAGTGATGAAGTACACGAACGGTGTCATGACAGCTGCCAACTAGTTAGTTACGGGGCATTTCTTTCCCTTTTTTTTTTTTTTTTTTTTCGTGGTTGACTTACAAACTACTTTGAAACAGTTGAGAACACCAAAGCGGTTCACCATGGGGGGGTAGATGAGAAATTGAATCAAGCCACAAGTGATGCCGTAGATGGTGAAAAGCGTTCCGATGGTACCTGAGCTGAGACCGAATCCGCCTGTGAAGTAAAAGGGGAACTTTGTGTTCTCGGGGGTGCGAGGTATGACAGGGTAATCCAGGAAGACGGTGATATTCTGATCGTACGCAACCGAATGAAAGGCCAAAAAGGTATATGAGATGAGGTTTATCGTAGTCTGGTAAGAAAAGACCTCTTTCATTCCGGCAGAAACTTTCTTCGAGGTGGGCTTTTTAGGTGTGATTCTGCTTGGTACAAGCGGTGCTGTAGCCTCTCCATCGACGAATGACCTGCGGCGCTGCGCAATGAGCTGTGGCTTTCGGCGAAAGGCTCGAGTGAGGCGCTCTCCAACCAGCAACCCCCAGTCTCTCTCGCCGTGTTTGTCGGCGAGCGTTTCTTTGAGGAAAAGCGTCGCGCTGGTGGCAGAGATGAGGAAGAAAACAGTGGCCAAGAGATTGGGTAGGAGATATGGGAACTTCTTAAAGAGCTCTATGTCGCCAAAGACATTGGGAAACTGCTTGGCCGGCTGGGCGAAAAATCCACCAAACGCAGGGCCGACGACTGAGCCAAGAGACCAAACGAGAGGCATGATGGAGAAGGCTCTTGGCTGGAGCTCCTTTTCCGTGACCATTTCAGCGACCATGGTCCTAATGATACCGACTATGTGAGAACAATAAGGTCAGTAATTTGCTTACAAGTTTTCAGGATTGAATTCAGACAGAATAGACGAAAGCTTACCGTTACCATTGCCACCACCCATGATTGCTCTTATAACAATGGCCATGGTAAGACTTGTCGACATGCCCCATATTATGAAGCAAATCATAGTGCTGATAAGTCCGTAGATGAGCACTGGTTTTCTGCCAAACTTGTCGGACGCCTTGCCCCATGGGACGGCAGTTATGCTCTGGCAAACTGAGAATACGGAGGATGTGACGCCGGCCCATTTTGCTACCTCGTCACGCTTGACGCCAAAGCCTCGAATCATTTCGGGGAGGTATGGCCATACTGATGTGTAGGCCAAGGGCTCTGCGAATCTAGCCACGGCTGTGATTCAGATTATTAGCACATGGACGAATTCACTGCGACTGGAGTCTGCTGTCTTGGCCATCTGGACTAGATGGCGGCGCTTCAAGCTGCGATGCATGCTCTAATAAGACAGGCTTACCTAGAATTGCCAGCTGCTGTACGGGCAGCTTCGGCTTAGATGCGGAGTCTCTGGTCATTGTGAAGGTATTGTTGCGCTGCTGCACAGAGTGCGCTGAAAACGAAGAAAACGAAAAAAAAAAAAAAAAAAAATTGAAATACCGTGAACAGTAGGCGATCAGCGGCAGTTCATATGACTAAAATTTTGAGAGGAAGAGGTAGGTAAAGAAAGTAGTGAAAATGTCTTTCGTGCTAGAACATGCCTCTGCTAACGCTTGAATTAAGCGCTCTCGACCAAGGCGTAATGAAGGAAGCAAACACGAATGCTCGCCGCTGAGGAACACGCGAGAACTCGACGTTTAAGGCGAGTGAGACTTGAGAGAGAGCGGGCGTGAGAGCTTGAAGCTGTGAAGAAGAAGTGAGAATCATTGGCGGCGAGAAAGTTTGTCAACACCACCCCCGGGACAGTCTTAGCCGTGCTCTAAAGCGCCCAGGATAATATCGTCGGTCCCACCCTGGCTAGTCAAGTCATCTGCACCGATGCACTAGCAGCCACAGGAGCGCCCTGCGGGTGAAGACGACCAAGGATGGCAATGGCGAGTCCAGCTTCGGCTTCGGAGCCAGCCACTAGGCGCTTCGGAAACGCTACGACCGATTTTGTGCATGTAAGTTGGCGGGATGGATGGGTGGGTGGGTGGTTGGATGGCCGAGGACGACTTCGTCTGCGGGTTTGCGTGAACAACAAGCCCTTACATATACTGTATTATTTTTTTTCTTTCCTTTGTATGCCACATATCTATCTGCACTGCTAGGGAAAGTCTACGAGCGAAAAGTACACAACGTACGTTGGGCATGCGAGAGAGTCATCATGGTCATGGTGTAAAAGCTCGGCGACTTACATGCTGCTGCACTGCAGACCCTCCTCGCTCGGCTCCGATGCCGTGCTGCAGGCGAGCCGAGATGCATTTCATCTTTCCTGCAACGGCGGGCGGCAGAGTCAATGATTGGACTGGCGAAGCAGAGCTATCCGACGATCGCAGGCCCGCCATCCTACACGACTTTTTATGTACAAAAACGAATGGGAGGCAGAGTGAAAAGCTGACCTCTTTTTTTTTTTTTTTTTTTTTTTTTTTTTGATTTTTCGATCCCGTCACTTTTGTGATGGACAGCAAAGCCCCATGACACTCGAATGCGTCCGACAGCGGAGATCGTCCCCTTGGCGGGAGCCGCGAGACAAAAGTTGGTGTGTGGGCGCTAGTTAAGTCTCAGTTGAGGGCTGAGAAGGGATGATTGGAAATACGTGCTCCAGGACTGCCCGTAATAAATACTACTGTACCTACATCCTACTGCCAGACCGACTCTTTGCAGCTCTCCAGGGCGGGGACGACGCAATAAGCTCCCCGGAAGAGGTGCTGCGACTCTGCTGCCCCGCGTGCCCGTCACCGAGCGAATTAATGGCCCGCGTTGCCTGTTTCAGCAAACCTGGAGTCCTTGGGCGGAGCTGGGCTGGCCGGGGGTGGTTGAATTCGCGATGGGCTTGGCTTTCGCCGTGGGCCGCCAATACGGAGCTGTAGCCGCTTTTGCATGCCCAGGGAGCGGGACAAGGGTTTCTGCTCTGCACTGATGAATGTGCTTCTTGGCTGCTGGTCGGCCGGTAGAACGGCTGAATGTGCTGCTGCCTCGGTGTGTTGGGCGAGTGATTGTGATGTGAGGCACAAAGTGTAAGAGTTGGGACTAACCATGCCCGTCGCATTCCCACGAAGGTGGTGTACTATATCATTCAGTACTCGGGAATGCATATGCGCTGGGAGCCGCGCAGGTGGCGGGCCGTTGAAGGAAATGTCAATACCGCTTTGGTATTTATACGGGTTTGTTAAGCTTCGCCACATAATGGTCACAGAAAGTCTGATCCGGGTTTCGTCAAGTTCTAGTACCCCTCCGCTGATAATACAACGTAGCAAAATATCTTGCCCGAAGGCCGGCCACGATCCACGCGTGTCAGCCTCGAGCCATTCTCGTCGGATTAATCATGGCCATTTATTTTTACTTTCAGCCTTCTTAGTTTTCAATCTTGGCCAATTTTCTCAACAATTTTTCGTTCTAAAAATAAACTCCAAAGTAGATGTTTTGATGTGTGGCAGCTACGCATCCTGGACTATCACACATTCACCGCGCTGTCTTGAACCAGGCAAGATTCAATGGTCTAGTCTTGGAGGCTTTGAAGAAGTTCAATGACTAGGAAGTAGACTATGGATACAAGGGCTTGGACGTAAAGGTCAATGAAGAGAAAGTAAATGACCCGAACGCTTATCTGATGGCCATAGTGACGGAAGAAGATGGAAAAGAGGAGACTTTCGGGTGAAGCATGTCACTGTATGTCTCTCAACCTTTTTTGAGTTGCTCAGTAACTCAGTAACTTTCCTTTACGGCTCTGACGGCGCACACAGTGCTATGTGAAAGCCTCTTGGTATCAAAATTATTGGAGACACTTCTGACTGGAACCGGGATGTTATGGATGTCTTCCCTCAAATCATCATCCCGGATATTACGATACAAACGATCATGCTATCTGAAGTGGGAAGCATCATCTTTGTCTCTCGAGAAGGAGGCTTCATGGTCTGTTTCTACACAGAGCTCCATCCAGAAACTATAGCAAAATATGTCAACGCCTAGAATCTATGCAATAAGATGAAGGTTCTGCAGCTGAGAGAAACGTTATAGATGATCGCTTTTCGATCGGCTACCGGTTACACACTTTTACAGATTGCTCTTAAATTTCCTCGGCGCTCTGTGGCATGTAATCGTGAGATACCCTTTTTAATGTCTTCTAGTATAAAAATATCGCATTTTCAATTTTCAATATCTCTATTATATTTCTCAATAAAAACTTAGTTGTACATGTATTATTGCACTTCTAGAACGTTTGGTGTTGAAGGAAGAGCTAGTACGCTTACTGACACCAGCATGACAATGCCATCCACTCTGACTATGTTCATTCATTAACGGTTTAGCCTCGGCAAGATGCTTCACCTGGGCTGCCTACATTTACGGAAGATTTTCATCGGTTAAATGCCATTGTGCTTAAATTATGCGATTACATGCTGATGAGTTGGTAGCAGTAACCCCCATTAACTACACCAATAAATACTGAAACACCAATTACCACTGAAACAGAAGCGATTACAACGTCAGCGATTGACAAAAACCCCCATCTTAATACCTGTCTAGTATAAACTCTTCTCGGCACAGAGATAAGCAGCGTGTTCTTAAACGAAGAAAGGCTGCGTCCTTGGCATGCTAATCGCTGCCAACCTTTTATACAGCCTTTTCTTAAACTCTGGGACTGTTACTCCGGAAGCCAACATGATTCTGACGGCTGCATGCTGTCCCGGGCACCACGCCACCGCCTTGATACGGCCGAGTTGCGAAGGAATTCCCTTACTACATATATCAATCACAAAATATGGGAACTAACGCCGTACATCTCATTTACAACCTCGCCGGCGGCAGTCGAAGACCTTGAAAGACTGAGGGCTCTATGAGGAAATAGAGGCTCTCAGACACTTATAGTTTTGGACCCTAATATTCGTCTGAAACTTGGGTTACCTATTCTTGATGTCGCTGCCGAGATGGGCCACTATGAGATTTCAGATCCATATTGTAAATTAAACTGATATTATGTGAACTACTATGTATGTTTATGGGCTTATAGAATATTAATTTTAGATAAAGCTAGTTATTAAAACTTTCGACTAGCCTGAGAGTGTGAAACTGCACTGCGTGCGGCTCTCACTAACCTAGTCTCCAAGCGAAAGTCCTTTCAGACCCGTTTGCTGTAGAGGTACAGTACTGCTGCGTATAATGATATCCCTAAACTTAAAAGAATGCGTTTATAACTGCTAAAATGGAATTAAAGCAAACTATATTAAAGCACATTACAGATTTTCCGTTGTCATATTGGGATATGCAATTGACATAGAATGATGAATATACTGGACGTCAATAAAATCCCAAGATGTGCCAGTCTCCTTCTGCTGGGTTAACGACCTCCCATCTTCCGAGATAGAAACTTGCAATAATTCGGCGTCATTTCTCATCAGTAAGATATAACCACCCTTTTCATGCCTATCCATGATGAAATACTCGTCACTCTCATGTTGAGGTTTTGTCGCTGTGATTTTTCCTTTGGTGTCGTGGCCGAGATATGCACCGGAAACAGTATTGCGGAATCCGTACCAGCCATCCTTCTTAACACAATGCCAGAAAGCGCCGCCTCCAGGGATGGGCTTAGATAAGAATTTTAACTCTCCATTACAGAGGGTGAGGATGCGGTGAGGCTCTTGTGTAGTTCGAATCATAAGTGACTTGTCCGCTAAAGGTTGATTCTCCACTGCTTTGGACGGCGGCAGGGCGATTGCATTACGCTTATCTTTGTCCGTTTCCTTTTCTCTTATGACGATGGTGTCGGACATGGTGGAGAGAGCATCTGCAGGTGTCGGGCACTCGCCGGTTGAACTGCTAGTACTTGTTGAAATTACCTCTTCCCAGGAGTTTTCGCCCATTGTCCAAATGTCTCATTAAGAAGCCATTTGGGCCTTTTTACATATGGGGCACGAGTGGCTTTTATATTACTAGTATTCAATGACATTATGACATGCCTACTGGATCTCGATTTAGTTGTGTATAGAAGTGAAGTTCTCCATGCATTCCAAATGTGTGATTATACTCCTGGTAGGCTAACTTTAAACAAAGCAGGTTGGAATATATCTTATAGGAGCAACATGGTTGAGGTCCCTTGAGAAGTTTATGGCTGAACATGATGCGTTCGTGGCTGACGCTATTCGCCTATGTTCTAACGCCTCGCGCTAAACAACTTTCCTTGTAATTGGCATTTTGGCCGATCTTCAAGAGATGGAGGGTCAAAGACTATATAATGCATTCCACCTCAGGGGTTATAAAAACTTACTTCTGAGTATGTAAACTTTGATACATGGAAGACGAAACAGCGCTGCAGCCCTCTAACCCGATTCTCCTATCTATCGTCTTCAAGTAATAATACAAGCTTCCGCTGCTTCCGATACTCAGAATACATGTCCGCCACGAGATTGAAGTTCCACGTATATCGGCAATTGTACCGCCCGAACGTTGGGCTTCACAACTTACCACGATGAATGGCGGACCTTAGTTGTTATTGGTGGATATACTGAGGTAGCATGTAAAGCTACCTGCTGCGGGCATCTTTTTATATATGGTCTTTAAGACTTACCCTAACCAAGCGGCAGCAACAGACTTGACTCAAGTCGGTTGAACAGAGCCAAAATAATATTATGCAAAACCAATACAGATTGCCACAGCTGTATCCATAGACGGACTTTGGAGACTTGTAGTCTTTGTAGTGGGTGTTCGTGATGAAACATCTAAGAGGTTGAGTCAGATATGTTGGTTATTAAGAAACTATTGAGACTATACAATGACACTCATCAGTCGAGACCACTTGTGGCCTAGAGGTCATCGAGGCTGAGCCTGGAAGGACCTATCGCCTACGAATGGTAAGAGGCACTGTTCTTAATCTGGTTTCTACCGTCTTCCAAGATCAAGATCACCATAATCCCACTGTGATGGCTGCCGACGCGGAATGCACCCTACCGGCAGAGACAAATCGCATTCAATCAGTAGCGGGCAAGGATGTGATTCTTTTCTCCGGACTAAGACAAAAAGCGAGTTGCAGAGCCTCGGTACAACCTTTTTTTTTTTTTTTTTGGGGGGGGGGGNGGGGGGGGGGGATTCAGCTGGAGACGCACTATCGTCCTATCAATGTCACGTCATACGCAGTGCTTCCTTACAAAACTGATCTCATATTCAACAACACAATACCATCTTCTACGCCTGAAAATGCTCTACTTACTATTACAGAAAACACCCAAGACTGGCTGGAGTATACTCTTCAACCCCTCGCCAGAAATGTCTCTGTTAGAGTGCTATACTTGGTCGATGTCTATTTGAGAGGAGTGGCTAGTACTCCAAGTTTTGAGGTTGCGATACCGAATAATGGTTGGGATTCTGGCTTTAACGCTTATCCTGCCAAAATAGATGAGGTTCTTGGGCCCATTTTTGTCAATGAACCGGATGGTCTTCCAGTTGGATTCGACCTTCACCCATTTCATATTCCTGGTGACCACCGTCTATGATTCACGGCGAACGTATCGATTCGTAAGAATTGGAGATCATTACTTGCTGGCCGACTTGGAACCGTGGTAATCAAGTAAATTGCTCGCTGGCAGAAAGAATAATGAAGCGTCGTAAGTCGTCGGAATCGCCGAGGCCAATTTGGTTACCAATTTCGGCTTGGAGTTGTTCTTTGGTGAATTTGGAAAGAACACTCTTCAGGCATGATTCTGAGGACAAAACTCCATTTCCAGGGTGATTGAAATCTGGTGAATGGTAATTGGCCAAAGGTGAATGACTCTTCATTGCAAAGCTCCAACTTTCCTCGTCACGCGCTAACCATGCGGCATGATTACAAGGCAGGGGCATGTTAAGGATGAGATCGTCATTAAGCGCTTCGTAATATGGCGACAGCTTTCCCGTCTTGTGATCGTAGTTACTGTAGAAATTGACCATATTAGTAAAGAAGATTGTCCTCCTTGCTGTCTCCGTGATTCTCCAACGGGCCCATTGTGAGGTTGCCGCGGAACATGGACTTGACTTTGGATCTGAGAAGACGTTGATATCGTGATTCCGAATTTCTGGATATGACTGAAGATAGCCCTCCGTCATCTGTGAAGCGCATTGAAAGTGAGATTTTGCTTAACATTTTGGAAAGGGGGCGGTCAGGAAACGGAATTTGGCTAGAAGTGCCCGTACCTTTAGAAGAAAAGGCGAACCAAGCCCTTTCACTGGTGGGGTGAGTTTCCAGCCTTCGGACTCATCACCGATAATATATTTCATATCCATACACACAAAAATGAGCATGGAATGTAGTGCGTCCCATTTTTGCATGCATTGGTAGGAGGGCTAAGTGCTCGATCAGTACGTGGTCAGCGTCCAGTCAAGTCTCGGAAGCACTTACAAAACTGCCAATCAGTCTCTCTCGAGCAGCATCCATGGCACGTCGAAAAAATGTCTTTTCAGCCGAGAGGCTGATACTGCTGGCGCAGCAAATTGCCATTGCGGTGAGGGGGAGAATTGTCATGTCAGGGTTTGCGCTGCTGTATTGCGAGTACTGTGAATGGTGAAGGAAGGGAGAAGAGAAGTAGCCCTTGGTTAGAAGGGAGGCATATTCGCTCAGTATATGCACTACGCTGGAGGGAGCCGAAGATGATGGAGAAGATGTTGCGGATGATCTCGTACTATTGCTGGAAGATGCCGCAAGTGGCGTGGGAACTGGGACTCCCATGGACGCAGGTGGCTGTGAGAGAGCCTGGCTGGACGATGAGAACTCAGGGCTTTTGTGAACGGACAGCTCTGTTCCAGTGAAGCCTTGGCGTGGTATCAGCGATGAATTTGGTATCTCAGCCAAGGCCATGTCGAAAGACTCTAGAGGGTATGAGGAGGACGAAAATTCCCAAGCGGCAAGTTCGAGGTCAAATGGTTGGCTCGAAGTTGCCAAAGGCCCCGTCCTTGGTTGAAGATTTGAGTCTGGTGTTTCTGCAGCTTCGTTTCTTTGCTCATAGCGGCCTGAAGTCGATGCTGCGGGAGATGTGGCATATACACACGGTGTTCCTCTCCTGGAACAGCGTGAGCACGTCGGTTGGGTGTAACAACATTTCGCCTTTGCTTGAACGCAGGCGTCGCAAGCTTTGCGGCGGTTTACCAATTTCCTGGGGCCTTGACAGCGCCTGCGATGGCGCATTAGCAGGTCGCCTATACGGAATTTGTTAGCAATAGGCAATAGACAATAGGAGAATTGTAGGGTGCGCAGAAGAAGAGACGCACGCCGCTGGTAGGACTTGAAGCATCGCTCGCATGTCAGGATAGCTTCAACGAGACCGCTACTGTCTGGACCAGGGAGACCCATTACGCTCATTATTTGATGCATCACTGCAGGGTGAATTGGTAATAGGTTGGTGACTTGTGGTGGGACGCTCGATGTTGCGGATTATTAATGGCAGATGCACAACTGGGTAAAGCGCTCTAGATCAATTCCGCTCCGGCTAGCATGGAAGGGCATGAGAAACAGCGTTTGGGGCAACTACAAAGGATGCTGAGTAGAGCAAGCTCGGTCGAAATAGTTGAGATATGGGCATATTCTATAAGTAAGTGCTGTCAAGTGCTGAATTTCTCAGCCATTATTTGATTCAATATCTTTTGCTGACCATTCTGATGATTACAGCTCCTGATCTTGGGCTAGACCAAAATGACTCTTTGTTTCGCTTCAGACCTTGTCCTTCAAGTCCCTCTGTAGATTTCTTACAACATGGTAAGCCATACAGTGTGAACGGGGAATTACCGCTCTCAACAGTGGCGACTCTAAGATCACATCCAAGCCTGGAGTACTCATAGGAACAAATAATTGGCCACTTCGTTCACCTCTGATGTGGCTGCAGACAAAGCAACACGGCTTCTTGATCTACCTTACCGAATAGTTTCAACGCTTCTTGTAAAAATTTAACGATGATACGGGTGGACCCTTGGCCATTCTGCCAACAGCTCTGTTTTCATTTAATGCGTTGGGATGTCGTCTGCGAGTCCAGCACTGGGGTCTGGTTTCAATGTTCTGGTGGTGCAAATTGCTACACGTGACGACCATCTTGCTCCGAAATCCAGGCACAACAACTCCGGCGCTAAATGGCCCCCCTTTCCGAAGCAGGGACTCGTTATACTTTAACTAGAAGTGCCATCGTCCAGCTACTACGACTGCTAAAGAACTTGAGCGTTTGTGGACCCGCCCCGGCCATAGCGGCGCCGGGAGCGGCTCCTACCGGCGCTACTATACTCATCACTGCTGTTTCCCAACCGGCAACGGTAAGATTCTATGCTGCATATGGGTCTGGACAGAACAAAGTCAAACATCGCCATAGAGCCTCCACGCCTGCGAGCCTGTAGGAGGACTGAAGATGGCCATAATCAACCCTGCCCATTGCCCATGTATCTGTAGATCCACTCCCGGTATCGCCTCACCAGCCGGAGCGGAGGACACTGGACTAGCCCCTCCGGAGGAATCTGAAGAAACGAGGAGTTGATTGGTCGTGGATTACAAACTCTAGAGGCTTACAAACTCCAGTCGCATCTCTCTTTAATGCGCATAGGAACTGCTAGTGTGACTTGCACATGGAAGGTAATTGAACTCATTTAAAAGGCCTGGCCCTTCGTATACCCCATTTTCCAATGCTAACAGCTGCATTTTGCACCACCCTGCCTACCATGATATCCTCACCAGAATCTTCTGATGTTGACCCGCCGTCCCAAGCTCCCTCAAACCATGGTGAGAATGCGCCTGAGGGAAGACTCCATCTTGAGCATGAATTTTGGCTGACAGATGTTAGACATTGAAGCAAAGGAGCCGCCACAGCAAAATGTATATCCTGCAGATAATCTTTCCACGCCACGACAGATTCTCTTCGTTGGAACTATCTATACAGCCATGTTCACGAACCAGGTCGGCTTAGGCAACACCCTAACCACGGTGGGCATAATTGGAGAATGCTTTGGGATTACTTCCCAGGGCCAGCTTTCCTGGTTGATTGCTGGCTACAGCTTGACGATTGGCACATTCATTCTTATCGGCGGACGGCTTGGAGACGAGTTTGGCAACAAGAAAATGTTCGTCATTGGCATGGCCTGGTATTCCCTCTGGTCTATGGTGGCTGGGCTGGCAGTCTATTCATCGCACGTTCTCTTCGTCTTCGCTCGTGTATTTCAAGGCATGGGTCCTGCTTTGACCTTGCCCAACGGTCTCGGCATCTTGGGCAAGTCGTATTCTCCCGGGCCGCGAATGAATATGTCATTCGCTTGGTTCGGCGGCTCAGCACCGTTCGGTGCCATTGCAGGTTTCTTGTTTGGAGGGCTTTTTGCTTTGGCCTGGTGGCCGTGGATCTACTGGAGCCAGGCAATTGCGCTTTCCTGTGTGGCAATCTTTGCTGCATGGGCAATTCCTCCTCAAGCAGTGCAGCCAAAACAAGAACAATCACTGCGTGAAAAGCTCGAGGATTTGGATATCCCAGGAATGTTTACCGGAGTCACCGCTTTGGTCTTGTTCAACTTTGCGTGGAACCAGGCTGTGGTTGTTTCTTGGCACGAAGCCTATGTCTATGTTTGCTTGATCCTTGGCGTTCTCTTTGCGACAGCGTTCTTTTGCATCGAGATTTACTGGGCAAAGGCTCCAATTTTGCCCCTGGCTGCATTCAACTCAGATATTGCTTTTGTCTTTGCATGTACAGCAACAGGATGGGCCTGCTTTGGTATTTGGGTATGTTGTGCTGTCTAGTATTGCCAAAGACTTTTCAACTAATTCTCCAATTAGGTCTTCTATATCGGTCTTGTTGCACTCAACATTGGTGGAAATACCCCTCTTCAAATGGCAGCATGGTTTATTCCTGTCATTCCCTCTGGCTTGATCTCAGCCCTTGCTGTCGGTAAATTAGTCGGCAAGATTCCCGCCTCATGGATCATGATTACCGGACAAATTGCGTATCTCGTTGGATCGATCCTCGCAGCTACTCGACCCCCGCATTCGATTTACTGGACGTATTACTTTTTCAGCGTCCTCATCATCACTGTTGGAATGGATACTTCCTTTCCCGCAGCTGCAATGATCTTTTCAGGCTCTGTTCCACAACAGTATCAGGGTATGGGAGCAAGTGTTGTCATGACTGTCGTCAACTACAGCATCTCGCTTGGGCTTGGCCTTGCCGGCACTATCGAGAACAACATCAACCATGGAGGACTGACGCCAGAAGATAAGCTCAAAGGTTACCGCGGTGCACTGTGGTTCTCAGTTGGTTTAGCAGGCCTCGGTGTGGTCCTCAGTCTTATCTATGAGCTGAAAACTCGCCTCAAATACGAATCCGCCAAGGTGTAGTGTCAAATATTTCGGTCAGTCTTCGGATACGGTAAACACTTGGCGAGTATCCCAAACGGCTAGAAAGCAGCCGAAGTGGTACTCACATTAGCTCACTCCTTATATCAAAGCACATTCAGCGGGAACTTGTAAAGTTTTAATAAAGCCCCCATACGTTAGGTCACGTTATAGAGAATTTCTCGCTTTAGACATTGAATACCTTTTTTATGAATATTAAGATTATTATTGAGCATTTGATATACTCATATCTAGGGAGGGAGGAAAATATTTATACAGACTTGAGTGAAGCAAATAAAATAGGAATTATTAAAAAATAAAAAAAAATTGTTGATCAAGATTTATATGAGGCGGTCTTCCTCCGTTGTCGTTTAATTATGTGTAACTACTTTTCCTGAGATGTGCTGTATACTGTCAGAACTAATTGGAGATGCTAACCAAACGGCCATCGCCTCTCTGCGTAGAGATTCACTAGGTTCACATATCAAAAGGAAGGAAAAATAATGCAGTTTCATTGAAACATGCGGCTGTGGCTTGAGAGAAAAACCAAGGTTCTGCTCGAGGCGCTGCGGCAAAGCGGTCCTCCCTTACCTTGACCAAAGGTTAGCATTTGCTCCTCTTAGCAGCAACACGGAGATATTCGGAGCAACTTGTTGACCAAGATGATACCATTTGTAATCACAACATGTGAAAAGCGCCATTGCGCCATATGCTATGGATTCCAAAGAACTGCAGACCAAGTATTGCTGCTTCCAATCCGGAGTGTGGTGGACGGTCGGAGATGGATGGACGTCCTAGCAGGTCCGACACGCCGCATCCAGCTCCATGAGAATGCTCTAGTGTTGTGTCACAGCAAACTCGAAAGAAATCGCTGGTTCCCGGCACGTTATTAATAAATACTATGAAAAATCGCATATACTCGATTATTAATGCGGATCTGCCTTGTAATTCACAGGTCATAAGCGCACATAACATCCTGGCCTTGGGACTGAAGCCCATCACCATTGATGCATGCTAATGTGTCCGGTTGACTCTACGCCTTCCGATGCTACGTGCCTCCGGCAACAACGCAATAAATTATAGTCCTCGCAAACCCCTTTCTTGATAGCCTCATTCATCTTCTTGTCAACTCTATAAAACAGAAACAATATGGGATCCACTGTTACAATTATCCCCCCTGGGGGATTAGTGCTTGTATCTGGAGTCAGTGGCTTCATCGGCTCCCACATCGCTCTTAATCTTGTGAAATTAGGATACAAAGTGCGCGGTACGGTCCGCTCAGAAGATAAGGCCACTTGGATTAAAGAGGCCGTGGCTTACTACTATCCGTTTGCGAGTTTTGAGGCGGCCCTCGTCCCCGATATAACTGCTGCAGGAGACATGAGCTTCGGAGCTGACCCTAACAAGATCATCACCCCAATGGTCAACAGCGTCAGGAACTTGTTAGAAACTGCGACCAAAGAACCGTCCGTCAAGCGATTTGTCTTCACAAGCAGCAACCAGGCTGCGTTGAACCGAACTTTGGGTAAGGAATTCATGGTCGACAAGACCGCCTTTAACGAGGCGAGCGTTGCAGCTGCTTGGCGTCCGCCTCCATACGAGCCGGATCGTATTTGGGATGTCTATTCGGCACTGAAGACACAAATAGAGCAGGAGGTCTGGAAATTCACCCGCGAAGAGAAGCCCAAGCTCGTCGTCAACTCCGTCCTGCCTTGCTTCATCGTTGGTCCCATCATTCATCCCAAGCAGTCAGGCAGCACAGGCAAGTGGGTAATGGATTTCTGGAAAGATGCTGGCCATTTCGCTCCTCTTCAAGGCTTCGGCGGCTCATATTTCGTTGACGCTGACGATACAGCGCTCTTGCATATTGCTGGCTTGACCCAAGAGGATGTGAAAAACGAACGCTTGTTCGGCTTCGCGGGCATATTTAATTTCAACACTTGGGTCAGCGTTTTCCGTCAACTAGACCTGAGCAGACCTTGGCCTGCAGATGACCCCAATCAGCAGAGCGACCTCAGCAAGGTAGACGATGCAAGGGAATTGGAGTTGTTGAAGCGCTTTGGATACAATGGTTGGACTAGCTTTTTCGACAGTGTTAAGAAGACTGTACAAGAAAGCCGCCAGTAATTGCATCTGCGGGAAAACGAGTGCATTGAAGGGAAACGCAACAAAGACGATCGAACGAATCTGTGAATTTCATGGTGAATGGTAGATTAGCCATTATCAAAGTGCAGATAGGGTCTACAGCAAGAGTTCTGTTCAACTGGCACAGACCAGAATCGAGTTTAAGACTCAATTTCCTCGATGTGCAAAAGAGACATTTGCCTCCAACAAGCTGCTTCGGATTAATTTCATGTCTTGATCAAAGTCTCCATAAGGAATGCCATGTATAAACCAAAACCCGCCGGCACTAACAACTTACATGGTCGAGTCCCGCGAGCACTGATTCAGACACGTCGACTTGGCCAAGTTTACAAGCTATCATCAGTCATATATATCAAATATATATGAGCAGATGCACGAAATGCAGGCTCAACCATCCTAGTGACTAAGCAGACGGCTACCCATCCAAGCCATCTTATCCCCGCGTGGCTGTCGAGGTTTTAGTACGCCAGAAATGATTGATCGCTTCTCCCCCTTGCGATTTACCCGATTCCAAGACGAGCTCCCCACTTTCGCTCCTCTCGCGTGCGGCACAATCAGGCGGGAGAGCTCATAGCGCCTCGCAATAGCGTGACGTCGTTGCGTGCTCTCAGGAACCTTTGCGTCGACATGGCGATAAGATAGGCAAAGTGCCCCAGCGGTATTTCGATAGGCGTACGGCTGTATTGCAGCATTACTACTCTTTGCATGTAGAGTGTATCCATGTACATGTAGTACGTATTAGGCAATATGCCGTTTAGCAGGCAGCTTTGCGGCAGCTTTGTCATAATCAGGGCGCGGATCATGGATGCGCAACTCGGCTTCGGAGTAATGGCCTATGCCAGTCCCTTGCACTTCTTTCTTCCTTTCTTCCTCTTCTCTTTCTCTCCCTCTCTTCTTCTCTCCCTTTTCCTATCCTGCAGATGACGTCTGGGCTGAGCTCCAGACTGCAAATTTGATTTCCCAGCATGGGCAAGGTGTAAGTGCCGTCTTAGATCGAGTCCTGCGTTTCCCCTGCAGCAGTCCTGCCTCGCCACTGCTTCACACCCACCCAAAGCCGATGGCATGTGGCGTAGCGAATCACAGAAACGACTTACGCAACACCTGCCCCGCGCCTCAGTTGTGAGGATTACGAAACAGCCAAATAGCGTCAACAGCTCATTATTCCATCTCGACTAACTTTGATGCTTCACAAGGTCGTCGGCCGAGCCTGAAAAAATGGCCAACGAGTCGACTCCGCTGATCCAGACAGTGCGCGTCGGGGCACCGCGCAGGAGATATCCTCACAACACAGTCCGCCGCTTCTGCACCATCGCATGCGCCAGCGTGCTGCTCTGCGGCTTTGCAACTTTCCTGCTTCAGGCCCTGTACATCTGGCCCTCTTGGCAAGACCACCGCCACCGTCACCCTCACCACCCGCATCACGGCCATCACGGCCACAAGGGCAAGCGCCTGTCTCACGAGGAGCTGCAAAAGATCTTGCTCGATACGCCTTCTTCGGAGAAGGCTGAAGAATGGAGCCGCTATTACACCGCCGGAGCTCACCTTGCCGGTAAGAATTATTCACAGGTAAGTCAACTAAACTCAGTGACGCTTATTGCTTTTCCCCGTCTGCCAATGATGGCGATTTACAACACTACAAATGCTAAAACCTATACTTCCAGGCTGAGTGGACTAAAGAGAGATGGGAGGAATGGGGCATCAAGTCCAGCATTGTCGCCTATGACGTCTACATCAACTATCCCTCCGATCACAGCGTCTCTTTGCTAGAGAAGTCGAGCGATGCTAAATCCTGGGATGTCACGTTCAAGGCATCCCTAACTGAGGATGTTCTTGAAGACGATCCCACCACTTCTGCCCAGGACAAGATCCCGACCTTTCACGGTTACTCTGCCAGCGGAAACGTCACTGGTTCATTTGTTTACGTCAATTACGGAACCTACCAAGATTACGCGGATCTGGTTGCTGCCGGTATCGACTTCAAGGGAAAGATTGCCATCGCCAGGTATGGGGGAATCTTCAGAGGCCTCAAGGTCAAGCGTGCCCAGGAGCTTGGCGCTGTCGGCGTCTTGATATATAGCGACCCGGGCGATGATGGTGAAATTACCGAAGAAAACGGCTACGCGGCCTATCCCGAAGGACCAGCGCGAAACCCTAGCAGCGTGCAGCGTGGAAGTGTCCAGTTTTTGAGCTCACGTCCTGGCGACCCGTAAGTATTTATTGATATCTCCCATTTGGCTCATGTAAATTAATTTCGATGACAGGACGACACCTGGTTATCCTTCAAAGCCTGGTGTCCCTCGCGCACCAGCTGATGAGACCACTCCGTCGATTCCCTCTATTCCCATCTCATATGCCGACGCTATCCCTCTACTTAAGGCCCTCAATGGCCATGGCCCTCAAGCTAGTGATCTAAACAAATATTGGACTAAGAATCTCGGCTTGGGTTATAAGGGTGTCAAGTACAACATTGGCCCTTCGCCTGAAGATGTTGTCATTAACCTTTTCAACGAACAAGAATATGTTACCACGCCTCAATGGGACGTTATCGGCATCATCAATGGCACGATTCCTAACGAAGTCGTAGTCATCGGTAACCACAGAGATGCTTGGATTGTCGGCGGTGCATCTGATCCCAACAGCGGCTCGGCGGTCCTGAATGAAGCAGTCCGCAGTATTGGCAAAGCCTTAGAAGCAGGCTGGAAGCCTATTCGAACCATCGTCTTCGCCAGCTGGGACGGAGAGGAGTATGGCCTGGTTGGAAGCACAGAATGGGTTGAGGAGTACCTTCCATGGCTTTCTGGAGCCAACGTGGCATATGTAAATGTCGATGGTGGTGCCTCTGGACCGCATTTTTCTGCTTCTGCAGCGCCATTGTTGAACCAGGTTCTTCGGGACGCAACGCATCTTGTTCCATCGCCCGATCAGTCTGTCCCAGGCCAGTCTGTGGGAGATGTTTGGGGTGGAAAAATCAGCACAATGGGTAGTGGAAGCGATTTCACTGCCTTCCAGGACTACGCTGGCATCCCCAGTGTCGATATCGGATTTGGCGGCAACGGCAGTGGCCCTGTTTATCATTATCACAGCAACTACGACAGCTTTCATTGGATGAGCGAATTTGCCGACCCTGGCTTTGTTTACCACAGGACCATGGCACAGGTTTTGGGAATACTCATCGGAGAGCTTACTGATGTAATCATCATTCCATTCGGGGCCACTGAGTATGCAGATGCGCTTGATGGTTATCTCGACAAAGTCGAGGCAAAACTTCAATCCGTGGATACCGAACTTGCCACTGAAGCTGAAATCTTTGCAATCAGAGGTAGCGTCACATCGGAAGAAGTGATTGGAAGCCAAGATGCTTTTGAAGAAAGTCTTAAGAAGATCCGACACTCAATCTCCGAATTCAGAGATAAGGCTGTTAAGCTTGATGAAAAAGCTGCATGGGCAAGAGACAAGCTTGAACATGGCATTCCATGGTGGAACATCATTGAAAAGGCCAAGCTAGGATACGCCATCGCCATAGTGAACGAGCAGTACAAGTTTATTGAGAGACACTTCCTCTTTGAGGGCGGTCTAGATAACCGCAGCTGGTTTAAGCACGTTGTGTTTGCTCCTGGTCTATGGACTGGATATGCAGGTGGTAAGTTCTTTTTCCCTCCGATTTCTATTTTTTATCTTCTCCCTCTATTAGTTGCCTTGGCGTTCTAGGTAATTCAAAGATACTAACTTACTTTTTGTAGCTGTGTATCCTGGCCTCGTTGAGAGCATTGACGCCAAAAATTACAGCAATGGTTTGAAATGGGCCGAGATTATCAACCACGCCGTTGAGAAGGCTACTAAGAGTATTAAATAAATTCCGACTCCCACCTACTTGCTTCTCGTTTTGTTAGAACTATCTATGTTCAATCTTTGTACTGCCGCTACTTGGAAAGAATAGACAGCAAATTGAAGTTATACCATCTATGACACAAAATATATAATGGGCCAACAATTGTTGATAGTCTTCGAAATATCACCATCTACTCTATCAATAGGTAGCAGTGATCTCGGATCCTCATTTTCTTTTGCTTCGTAGTTCGTATCTCTCCGTTAGGGAAAGAAGCTCGCTTGGGGTTGAGGCATTGTCTTACAAGCTCTTTTTGATCTGAGCACACTCATCAGAATTAGACGTGTGATGGAGGCGCTTGCAGCGCAGGTCGACGGAAATGAGACGTGCATGTAAGAAATACCCTGATGCAAAAGAAGGGGACATTTGATTGGCGTAGATATAATAGCTTATAGCGAAGAGTATGAAGTCAGACTTGGTCATGCTATCGGCTGACATTCAACAAGTAGAGAGGCTAAGGATAATGACGCCGAACATATACATCTAGCACGATACGAGGCAATTCTGTCTACCGGATGCCAGAGGACAGTTTGAGAGAAATGTATGATAAGGATTCGAGTCTGACTTCATTTAGGCGCCAACTATATAGTTTACATATGCCAGTTTCTTTGCTTCCGAGACTCTATTTTCTACCAATGGCAAACTAATCTATGCCTTCTTTCAATGTATCATACAAAGTCTTTCTCTAGGCTCTATATTCGCCAAATCCATTAAATCGTTTAGAACTTGTACACCTGCTCATTGGTGTAGCCAAGCTCCTTCAGAATTCCAGTAACGTCACCCTGTTCCTTGGGGCTGACCTTGGGGCCGGAAATAGCCTTCATGAGTCCGGGGGGGCCGCAAACGAAGAGCTTAATGTTGTCGCTCTTGGGCTCAGGGAGGACCTGCTTCAGCAGCTCCTTGTTGATGAAGCCGCCGCCGCCAACCCAGTCCTTGGGAGGCTTGTCCAGGACGTAGAATGCGCGGAAGCGCTGGGGGTATGTGTTCTCGAGCTCGTCGAACTTGCTCTTCAGCAGGATATCTTCCTTGGTGACGTTTCCGAAGACGAGCGTGACCTTGGTCTTATCGTTGGGGTTCTTGAAGATGGCGCGGACGAGCTGGTACATGGGGGTGATGCCAGTGCCACCGGCGATGAGGGCGATGTGGTCGTGCTTGTTCTCGGACCAGGGGTACTTGGGAAGAGGTCCCTTGATGGCAAGGGAGTCGCCGACCTTGAGATCGTGGATGTGGGTGCTCATGGGGCCGTTGGGATACTTCTTCACCAGGAGGTCAAGGAAGCCCCTCTCGTCTTGAGAGCAACAGCAACGTTAGAACTTTTCGCTCATAAAAAAAAAAAAAAACGTATAAATGCCATGTCGTAGCTCACCTTCGTCACTGATGGGGGTGTAAGGGCGAAGAGTGGCCTTCTCATCGTTGGGGCCCTTGAACTTGGTAAGGATGGCGCTGGCAATGTGCACGCCAGAGACCTGGTCCTTCTCGGGGAGCTCGAATCGGAGTCTCTTGGTGTTGTGGTTCACATCCTCCGCCTCCGAGAGCTTGAGGGACACCCAGCCCTGGTCGCCGCCAGTAAGAGCCGCCTTGGGAGCGACGCCAATGGCTTCCTTGACCTTGTCCTCGGCCTTGCTGGCTGAGGAAGAGCCGCTGAGGAAGTAGTATCCAGCACCGAGGACGCCGACTGCGCCAGCGCCGTAGAGGAGAGCATTGGAGCTGCCCGCTGCGCCAGATTCGGTGGCATAGCGGCGCGCATGCTGGAGGAAGAATGGGATCAGAATTAGCTCGTCCGCGGCGTCATTTTGCATTTCGCTCGGCTGAAGCCTAATTGGCTGCTTGGCAACTTTGACATACCATTTTCAGCGGCTGGGCCGCACGGAAGGCTGATCTGGCAAACATTTTTGTCTTTTGGGGGAACTCCTAGCCGCAATTGAGGGTTCGTAGGGTGGAATTGGTCCCGGGAAGAGAGGTTTGGCGCTCTGGCGATAAAGAGCCTTGCAGATAGCCAAAATCTCCGTCAGCGCGCTCGGTGCTCAGTGATTTCCGAGATTTTGTCGATGAATGACGGCATCTGCCACGTGATTGGCCGGTTTCCGCTGTCCACTTTTGCTGTCCAGATCGCCTCTTGGCTTCTGGAGCATGGTTCCGCAGTCGGATATAACGCAGCGCTAGATTGGTAATACTGCTCCGAATTGTCGTAATACGCTCCGTAATACATGAAAGCATTTCGCAATTCGAAATGCCCCTGCTCTCTGCACATCGAAACTGTCTCAACTCTGCGGTGATCACTGTGGGTAGTTCTGAAAAGAGTCCGCTTATAAAGCCATGGGTACAGAAGACTGCAGATACCTGATCATAGAAACGTACCGTACTGCAAGCTCCGTGTTCAATCATCTTATAGATATGCTATTGTATGAAATACAATCATTTCGGCGTCGTGCTAATTTTGTCAGCGTACATTTACGAGAAGAAGACGTTTCTACTTATGCACCATCTTATTGTAGAAGAGAGGAGGGGTATATGAGCGATTATATGTATCAATGTGTTTTAATACAGATCTATCAAAGTATCATATTTGCGGTAATAAGGGAACGTTATCGTCAGTTCTGATATGCCTGAATTTCAGAGATTTTGGTATTAGTAGCTGCGCATTATTTGCACAGTTGAGGAGCCGTGCAAAGTTGAAATACTACGATGCATGTTCTTGGAGTATGTGTATGAATGTGGAGGATCCCCATAGAGAGTCAATTCATGCTACTCTTGATCCCTAGAAGACAGTAAAAACGTAATACTATATGTACCAATATTTTTAGGAATCTATATAGACAAAAAAAAAAGCGGGATATAAGGGGCTCCTCTTAGTTTGAGAAAGATCCAGCAGAGCTTCGCTGGGGGTGAAGAGGAATCACCTATAATCAGACCAACATTTACGAAATTTTAAAGCTCAATTCATCCCCTGAGTTATGAAACTCATTAATTGTTTTCGAGAAGACATTCCTTCAACCATTGGATACATATGCTGTTGCCTCTTTTTGACCAAGCCTCGATAGCACCGAAAGATCGAACCATATCATGCAGAGCGATTTGCCATGATAGCTAGGAAAGTGATAGCTTCTTTGAATTGGAGATAGAATAATAGATCACTGATATTATAAGCATTATTCGATTTAACAAAGGAAGACAAACGCATATGAGAGGGTAGGGATGTACAGCCACGGCATGGCAGCGTTAACCGTTCTCTTGAAAGGCTGAACAAGGTATATATCTTCTTGTCATACATATCTACTACTGATAAACATTTACAACAAACAGTTATTGGTTATCCTCGTTTCGTCCTGTTCTTATATGTTGCACAGAAGTATATTCAAGCTCCTTACTCTCGAAATTGCTAATGAGCGAATTTATTCAATCTTTTCACAATTTTTCTGTATCTTACCTAGTGCCACGAAACTATCTCTACACAGGCCCTTGAGGATGTTCTCATAAATGTTCATAGCAAGAAGGCATAGTTTTGTGACAAGGTTGTATATGTGCGTAGCCGCACCCTCGTATTTAGTTATGGAAGAACGCCGCATATAACCAAATCGAGTATCATTGTCATCGTTTTAACCTACATACTTAACCATTTCTACTTTTTTTTTTAGCGCAATAAAACGTACCTGCTTCACACAAACACCATCCTGCATCTCACTCTTTGCAATAGCCGTCTCTTCCGTAACTATATAATATACTCAACCACGATACTCTCAATAGTTATCCCCTTTCATATCCCGCCTTGCATCTTCCCGCGTCTGGCCCGTGCTCTTTAACCGTTTAAACTCCCCGCGTCAGCTAGCCAGCCCGTGTCCATGCAACGTCCCTCCCGGCCCGTCCGCCCTGACCCGCCGGCTTAGGCCCGTCTTGCCGAGAAAAACGGGCGGGAAAGCTATTGAAATATGACTTAGTATTAGAGATTCAGTTGGAATATTAGTCAATGCGTAGAACGTAAATAGACCGTGCTGTAGAGCTTATATTTGTGATGAGAACTCTCGCGGGATGACATCGCAGAAACCAGTCTAAGGCTAAATGCAACAATAGCACAGTTCCATTCTAGGACAGCATGCTGTTAATATGTTATTACTTACAAGTTGAGAACATATCTTATATCAAGACTTTTTGTAATCCTAATACAATTTCCAATATAGAATTGCCGGCTAAAAGAAGAGGGTCTGATTTCACCACACAGCGTATGGGTTGCCGGTTAAAGGCGAGGCAGCCAAAGTAGGTATACTATCTAATCAGTTCATAATGCCAAGCCAAGTAAAGACAGTAAAGACGAGAGATAGTAGGAATAAAAATGTAGACAAGTTAATTCCTTATGTTACATATATATTACCATGAGCTTATTGGCACGTTTTGGGCATTCTAAGACGCGGATTATGTATCTTTGTCTTTGCTTCTTCAAAAATTACTCATGCTATTGCTTGCTAAGATCACATGACTTACTGGAGATGCGTGAATGCTTACATGGGTGCTAGTAAGGCTGCGACGGTGGGCCAGATATTCCTGCGATGCCTTCATTTCCAGCAGCGCCTATATTCAATGCGCATAATGTTCATTATACTAATCTGCCCCAATGCTAAACTGTGAAACTTCTTATTGCTTCTAAATCTATATATAATTTTTTTTCTAGGTACAAATTCGCCGCACTTGCGACACGATGAACCAACAGTTCTCCTCATATAGATATAGTCAAAGCCACCAGGGGGACTTTACTCCCATGGCTTAGCCAATGCCACCGTTTGCTGACACTGCGTTTATCCTTTGGTCGTCATATTATGACCTACTCAAAACGGAGGCCTCTGTGAGAAAAGAGGCCGCATCATTGGCTACACTTCCGCGAATGCGTGCAGCCGCAATCTCCGCGAGAGCCTAGGATACACCAAAAGGACTGTGGTGGCCAGCCTATGGGACCACGCGACAAATATACCGAAACAACAGACATAGGGCAGAAAGATTGTTTTATGTGAAATCTACTCGCGGCTATTGGTGGCTGTGAAATTAGCTTAGAAAGTGGTCGGATGGGGTCTGCGGCCGCATATGCGGCCTGGCTGTGTTAGTCGGCCAATCGCGACCAAAAATCGACTACATCTCTCACGAGGCAGACAACTGTTGACAAAAGATGACGACAAACGACGATTTAGGCGTGAGGAGAAAAAAAAAAGAGTAAAATAGACACCGCTGTTAGAATTGGTATGATGCTATAGCTATGTGGTACACATGTAGAAGGGTCGAGGCTATAGGAAATAGTAGAGCCCTCTCGCAAATCCACCACATCAATCATTGCCCCATACATCAATGACTATGTACATGCACTATCATACATCTAACCCCAGAGTCGCTTGCTTCCTCCTCATGATCCAGATCATATGAAAAGAGTAGTAGAAAAATAGAAGAAATAAGTAGGAAATGAAAATGAAAAAGAAAAAAAAAAAAGATAAAAGAAGAGAAGATAAAAGATAAAAGACATGAGAACATGGTCATAAAAGGAAATGATAAAACAAAAATATATAACATAATGATGGCTAGAAAAGAAAAGGGTAGAAATCACAAGAAATGGCGTGAACAATCCTCTTGCGAGAGATCAATTCAGCATCGAGGGTTAGATCCTAGACCAATCGCTAGGGCTCCCTGGATTTTGTCTATAATGTAAAGGGTCGTAAGGAAAGTGAAGAAAAGAAATATAGTAAAAGAAGAAAAGAGAAAGAAGAAAGAAGGAAAAAAGAAGAAAAAAAATGTTGAAGAGAAGATGGTGAAGACTATTGCGTACAGCAGGCCTTGTGGCCTGCGCTCAGTGTGAGATTTTTGTTATCTTCTTAGACAACCTCAATGGCCGGGATTGGGGCACACAGAGCGCCTGCAGTATCCCTCCCATGTTAGAGTTCCTTGGTCTACAACTTTAGAGCAGCCGCAAGTGGGTTTGCGTTCACTCTCTGTAACTATGCAGCCACAGTAGGTGTAGTGCTGTCGAACGACCCAGACGCACATATTGATCGTATCGGAGAGATGTTATGCGAGATAGAGCTAGGAGGCTGCAAGATAGAAGCTATCTGCAAGAGATCAAAGGAGAAAGGTCTATCGGAGATTGAAAAACCCTGAGAGAGTTGGCTCGCTAAGAGAGGAGGCATTGTGTTAGTATATCTTCTGGTATATTTGCGGGTTGCATTATAATGGGCTCGTGCATACAAGTTGCGCTCTTTGACACCCTTGGTGTACAAGTTTCAAGCGGTTTGTGGCTTTGGTGTAAACACCTTGGACTCTAAAGAGATGGTACGTTCGAAGCTAGAAGTTCTCAACAGATAAAAAGGAAGCTGGTCTAAGTGCAGGCTTTTGTCGAAGATTGCTGATGATTGCTAAAGCTGGCTGAAGCTTGGGATGAGATATTGAGCAACTGAGCAGGTATGCTTGTTGTTTATATATCTTGTGGAATAAAAGCCTCGGGACTGCGTAGAGGCTGTGAATCGGCATTGTTTGCTCAGGTTGGTGTTCGTCCTCGCCCAAGGACAAAGTCCCCTTCAGGCACCCTTCAGGCAGATTACACACACCAAGACGTCAACTGATATGCATGTATCGTTGTTGGTTGTTTGTTTCCTCTATTTCGGGACTTGCCAGACGCATGTACACTGCCGTTAGATGCACATCAGGACGAACCCAGGAGGAACAACAGGTCGGGGAGCCGACACGATTGTTAGTCGACGCCAATAGGTGCTCGTATACGCGGCCGTTGGTTGGTGGTGTGCCGCCGAGCTGTGTTAGCTGGAGTCGTGTCTGCTCCGTGGCAGGTGCGAGGATTTGTCTGCCTTCTGGCCTGTTCTCTCGCCAAGGGGCATTTTCTGACCGCGAGAAGGGGGAGGCAGTGTGGCGAGAAGAAATAGCTTTGACCTTCTGGCCTTAAGTCGACCTGGAGGAATGAAAAGGCATCGCAGCACCGGCAGTTTGCGCACAAGGCCATGCCAAAGGATGTCTGCGCGGGACCCCAGTTGTGGGCGTACCCGGTCGGCAAGGCCTCAAAGTAAAGTCAGAACCAACAACACTTCCGCGCCTGGCCCCCTGGTCCATGTCGTATGTATGTAGGTAGGTAGGCAGGTATGTATGTATGCATGTATGCGACGTCCACACCCATGCAGCCAGAATCAGCAGGCATGTGGTCGAAGAATCTTTCGCATCTTTTGATCAGAGGTGTGTGGTGGGGGGTCTGTTGGGATGGTAGAGATTGGTTTGGCTGTGGGTGGAGAGATGGAAGGGAACTTGAACAAACACTCGAGGAAGGGAAAGAAAGTGGAGGCGATTCCATCTAAGATTCACCTCAAGGCCTAGCCCCCACCGGCCCTGCAATTCGAGGACACCATTGCGAGGCGTCAGGAGCTATTACTATGCAGCAGCCGCAATCGTTGCCTTGATGGGATATGAGCTATGCTAGGGCTTTCAGCTGTGCCACTGTTGTTTGCAATGGATGGGCCTTCAGCTGTGGATGGAGATTTTGGATGGAGATGCCACCAGCCACACATGAAACCCAAGTCTAGGCCCTGGTGTTGAAGTTGAAGTTGATGGCACCCGAACTGAGCAAAATTTTTCGTATAGCTTCGCTCTTTTCTTCCCTGGCTCTCCTTCCACTCGTTCTTCATCGTTTGACATCACACGCCCTACCCCCCTTTACTTGTAGAGCGTGTTGGCCCGTTAAGTTGAAGATCCAGCGGAAGAGCTATTTGACTTACATGCATACCCACACGCTAAAGGCCCTTGCAAGATCGCGACCAGTGGAGCCGCAAGCATGCTGTGTAGTATTGAGACTCCTGCTGTATGCTAGAGAAGATGGGGAGGATGGAGAGAGAGAGGCGGGAAAATACGCCTTGGATGCATGCAACCGGGATCGTTGTACCACGGAACAAAAGCCAAGCCTAGGAGCCGGGGGATCAGATGGCGGATAGCCTAGGGGCCAGTGCCGAAAGGAGGAGCAAGACACGACTCTTTTCAGCCGAAGGTGAATTAGTGAATTAGTGCATTGAGAAGTAACAAACGGTTTGGGAGCCCATGGAGAAGTGGAGAGGATCGCGGGTACATACGCCATGGCTTCAATGGATAGACAAGGGAGGAGGAGCCTGCAGCAGCATCACCACTGCAACATCGATAGAACTCGTCATCATTGAATGCGTGATATTGCTGCCCGGCGTCGGGACGAGGACGCCAACGCAACAGAAAAAAACGGGACGCGCGGGTCACACCAGGAGCCATCATCAACAGCCACTTTTCTGGTCAAGCAGGTCCCAGTGTCACCAGCTCCAACGTTCAAAGAGCTAGGTTTGCTGAAGGGGTTTGGCTCAGTGGGACCCGGAGTAGTACGTTTAGCAGCTTCACACGTCCCCTGTCGGAGGAGGAAGAGCCTAGCTAGCCATGATGCTGCTGAGAGAAGAAGCCGGCGAACAGGTGAGCAGCCTCTGATGCGTTTCCCTCATCTAAGTGTGTGCTGTTGGTCGTGCCGGTTGCCCAGCCGGGCAAGGCGGCGTTGTCTGTTGCGCCTCTAAAAGTCGACGGGGGTATCACAAGCGTTAGACGCCCTGTGGATCCAGAGAGGATGTCGCACATGATCCGCAGCGATTCAGCGTCTTATCCTGCTTGAAGGATGGGCTGTTGAAGCTGTCGTGGATACTGCTTGCGACTAGCTACTTTATGGTACTACGTACTACACATACCTACCTGTGTACATGTCTATATGCTTGGGGTACGGCGGAGCCAAGGGAGGCAGGCTCGGCTTCATCCCATCTCGACCGAAAGGTAATGTCGGCAGCGTCCAACGGCGAAGTGATCCTGGATTTCGCTAATTAATATCATTGTCTTCATTAGGATAAAATAGAGAAACGCCACTCGCTTCTAGTATGTAATAGCTTGGCAGCTGGGTCTCCATATTCACGCCAGAGGAGAAAAAAAAAAAAAATTCTCTTCAAGGCGCAATTTGTTGCTTTAGTAGTTGTGATTGGTAGACTCTTGTACACGAGCGTATACGTTTTTATTCGCATTGATTAATGCATTTGCCTTATCGACGTCTGAAACCCATCGTCATGCAGCCAGATTGTTTGCAGTCCGTGTGCTGCCCTCTCGCCAAACAGCCTTCTATTTCTATTACTAGGTGAGCTATAGGTTCGATTTCTGCCAGCCTGGATTCCTGAACCGTCAGTGTGGGCATTCGCCTTGACTCGTGGTTCGCTTTCAGTGGCCGGCGCATTTGCGAGGCACAGGCTGTCGGGGGCCGCATATTGCCTGAGCAGTACTACCATATCCCAATACGGACGAGCAAGGTTACATCATTTGCTCAAACGGGCTTATTGGATTGCATATTAGGCTTTCAGATATCCCATCACGGACGGTGCGGCAGTACAGTACTTTGCAGAGGTCATGAAACAAAATGCATTGTGGCAGTGGAAAAGGCCGCTTCGTCGGTGGATAAGGCCTGCTGCGCCAAAAAGCCCTCTTTTTTCTCTGCCCCAGAGCTGTCGTAGCTCACTGCTTAGTACATTAGTTGACAACAAGAGGCGTCTGGGTATCACGGCTCAACCACTATGTGCGTGCCTCATAGCTTGCCCTAGTGATGAAGAATCTCTGCGTCTGGATTGGAGGAGAGGGCAGTGGCAGAACCAACAACATTAAAATCTTGTGGGCTGTGGCGTTGACGTCGGCTGCCGCTAATAGGAGACTTGGAGCCAGGATTGGGCCCCCGTCAAGCAAACCTCGGGCGGGGGCTTCGGGAGCCTCAGCAAGAGGAAGCAGTTTTGAAGCTGCTCTGGCCAAGCAGCAATACGACGTCTATGCCCTGTATAAGGCAGGCCATCGGCGATCAGCAGCAGCATCTGCCGTGCCTATGATGCTGTACTGCACGTATTGCACTATATGGCAACATGCATTGTCATCCGCAACAAGTGCCCCGGTCAAGGCTGCCGGAGCAAAAGGCTCAAGGATCTTTTGCTGCTGTGCTGTGCTGTCATGTTTATTTGCCATGGGTCAATACAGGCGCCACAGCGTTTGTGCTGGATGGAGCAGCCGAATATGTCCGACTTCCATCGCAAACATGCTGCAGCCCAGATCCGACGTCGTGTATCCACATTGCATGTAGTCTGTTCGCAAGTCCGCCCAATGTTCTTCCAGCCTCTGCTGCATCCTCCTCCGACAGGGCAGGATTGCCATCGCTAGGTTGAAATCCTTGGTACCATGCAGTGCTCCTCTTAATTTGCAGGCGAGCCATTAGTCTTGTGGCTTTCAGAGAGAATGGTGGTGTTGTGCAGCATATGACTCCCTACTGCGCATACCTACCTAGTAGTACATGCACCCACTGCACCAAGCAGAACATACATCGAATATCGTCTTTGTATCCAACACGCACACAATGACATGGAGCAGCACCCCGTATTAGTCATCTAACCCATCCAGGGTAGAGATTTAGAGGCTTAGATCCTGCTGCGTGCCGGGTGCAGGCTGAAATGTGGCTTTGCGCGCTTCCGTGTCATAAAAGGTACCCGTGCCCATTGGCTGCTAGGCCAGGTCCCGGTGCCTGAGCTGAGCCTCCCCAAATTTCCCCCGCCTGCCAATGAGCGCTCTGCAGCCGTCTCTTCCACCATTTCTCTGTTGCTTTTTGTCCAGCCGCGCCAACAGCGCATCGCAGCCTGCGCCGCGCTTCTGGACGTGAGAGGCGGCCAAAGGAGAAAAAGACACAGCCGCCCAAGCGACCATGCAGGTACGCGGTGCCGAGACATGAGATACTTTTCGACATGAGGCGCTTCCAGTTGGCGGTGGTGGGGTCTCGCGCCTCTGCGGCCATTGGTCAGCCGGTCGCCGTTGTCAGCCTGGGGGGACAAAGAGCCTCCGCACGCGCGGCTGTGGCAGGCGGCTCGAGCCTTTTCCTCCATTCACACTTCGACAACAAGCGACCACCAGGGATCCCGAGGCGCCGGCCGCCAACGAACCGCCCTGAACCGCCGTCAGGCAGAAAGACAACAAGCGCAGCGGGTTGGCTTCGCTCTCCTGATCTCAACCTCATGTCGTCATTCGGCGACGATTCTAGCCCGTCTAGATTGCGAGAGACGACGCTGATGGGGGGCTGAAAGGGGGATTCATGGTTGCATTTCCGTCGCTTGAGCTTCTACATATCTGTTGCCCAATGGGAACTGCGCTTGTTGTTGTCCGCGTTATGTCGCTTGTTTAGCCCATGGTCCCATCATCTCTGATGATTCCAATGCCACCACCGCCTCTTGTACTACTGCAATCAAGCATGCTTCTTGCGTTGGTCCTCGCGCTTGCTAGGTTTCGTCCGGTCAACAAATCCGCGCGGGCGGTGCCGCGAAGGATGGGACAGCACCATCGGACTGAGACTCTGATGCATACTTACATGCAGAGTTGTTCCACACCCCCCTTGGACATCATGTATGACTTGGCTGCACCGTCAATCGCTCAATTGCATCAAGCTTTTCTCCACTCCGGCCTGACGCACTTGCTTGTCTTTGCCATATCATCAAGCAAGGACTGGGATCACGATGAAGGGGGTGGCGTGTTTACGGGATAGCCCGCTCTTCTAGCTATGCGTTTGTTGGTTGTGACCTGCAGCTAGAATGAGTTGTGATGAACCCATCCATCAACTAGTCTCCGGTGAGGTATTGCCGATGATCGTCTGTACAACAATGTTGCTAGTTTGCTGAGCACATGCCGCGGCCGCGTTTACGGCCCCCTGATCTCGCTGTCTGCCTTTGATCTCCGCCTCGCTGCAAGGTCGAAACTATCGAGCTTCCCAACAAAGACCACCTAGGTTTGTGGCGGCATGTAGGTGACTGCTAATTTCTCTTATCAGTCCTATTAGTTGCTAGTTGCATTGAGCCACTTATTGCTATTAGCCGCGATTGTCTGTCACTCTCATTTATTACACGACCTCTAGGTCCAGAAGGAGGTTGGTCGATAGTTCACATGAAGAGCTCAAGGACGCGGCCGACGATGCGGCCGATCCCTTACCTACGGCTCTCGCGATCTTCCCGTTCAAAACTCAATGCGGCCCTTCATGCGGCCTTGGGAATTGCCGCACTCGGCAATTGAAGCCTCGCGGCCAAACTCATGGCCGCCTCCGAGCAAGGTGATCCTCCCATCAGCCCAGATCAGCCGACACGGCTTACAACAGATACCGGCCGTGCAATGGCGCAGCAATACTTGTGCCTTTCTCAACGTGACCTGCAAGGCATGATTCAATTGCCTCATTATTGGAGCCAACGCTGGTCTCGGTGCCTTATAACTCCCGTAAGGATACCAATCATAGACTACACCATGACAGCTAGTTCCACTTGCGGCTCAATGATCCAATATCCACATACAATTCTCAACAGCTTTAGCCCTAGTACCCTTCACAGCAGTCAAGTGATTATTTCTCTGCTGAAATCTGCTGATATTCTTCTCTGAGACATAAGCTAGGGCAGCGTCACATGGGCTAATAGCAGCCCTAGACCAACAAACTACACATTGATGCTTTGAAGTAGCAGCTTTATCAGCTCTTACATTTAATTGTCTTGATCTTCCTTACCTAAGTTTATTGTTACAAGCATGCACTATTGGTTAGATTTATAATTGCTCTGCTACTTACGACTCCTACACAAATATAGCTCTTCAAGTACTATAAAGCATAAAACGCTGGAGCCGCCAGTCATTACTACGACTCAGGTAGCTGATTGACATCTTGTTTATCAGGCATGAAGCGACCAAAGAGTTGGCAACACTAAATTGAAAGTTGATATCAAGACCACCTCCTATCACAAACTTTGATTGCCACACCCCATACCCTTCTATCACGGCTGGATAAAGGAGTCATCGTGCTCAACCTCGGAACTTCTGCGAGGCAATCGAATGTTGGGGGCTAGATAATCTTGGCTGCAGAACAAAATGTCATCAGTGCATGTCTAGATCGACGCCGTACTTGTCTCGATTTCTAACGTCTTCGGGAAGGAACTGACTCTATGGTCTTGGGCAGCCGCAGACGATATCCATTATATCCCACATCGGCTGGAGCAACTGCAAGACTAGACCAGAAATGTCCCTTCCTGGAAGACCAACGACCAACAAAACAAAAAATATTAATCCCTGAGCTTGCCGCGCGTATTACCAGCTAAAGAGACGCGGGCGCCCGTCCATATGATATCCAACAGATGCAATGAGCATTTTTTTCCATCCATGAGCGTGACACTTTGGCGGCTACGTCGAGGTTGCCATCCATGCCGAGCATCTCGATGCTACGCTACTAGGGCCCCGGGTGGTGGAACCAATCAGAGGCCGATTTAAGCGCTTGCGATTACCACTCGCGGTAAATTCGACCCGCTGAGGCTCGAAGAGCTTAAACCGAAATGGGGCTTTAGAGCTGCGTGTGGACGGCTCAGGGGACAACCTCATGTCAATAGACGCCACCAAAGTATGGCATATCGATACGACAAGCTAGCCAATATTCGTGAAGGATTAGCATGCCGAGGGCCAATAAATGGATTGGTTTAATGAACCAATATCCTTTACGTTATGAACTGAGCTATTTCACCGTGGAGCTAGTCGAGAGAGGAAGCAATAGCAGAACGGCAGACCGGCCCGATGCAAAGAGCACCATACAGACTTAATTCCGCAGAAAATGACCATTTGCATGGCTAATTCTGCATCTTGAACGAGTTCATCACCAACAGAATTATTTATTGGGTTAGATTCGAACAGAAGTTCGGCCGATAAACCTGCACCTGCACTGCGGATGTCTTATACACCCCCCCATCTCGAACCATGGATGATATGGAACGTTTAGTCTTTCTCCGAGGCCCATGTTTTTCCGATTAAAGTCTGTTGCTACCACTAATCATGCATATATGCCCTTTACATTACATATCATTCTGCTCGTATTTCGGAAAGCCGGACGGAAGGATCAGAAGTTCCGCTTAGTTCTGGAGCCGACGATGACCCCCGGTGTATCGGGGTACTCAGGCTATAACGTCAATATTATGTGCTCATATCTGTTGCAGACAAGTATGACAGACTCGATATAGCCAACAGCAGCACTTTATTATCGGCTTTTCTGCCAAATGTCTTGTCCGTTGGTGATGAACAGATTGTTCATTTAGCCACGGTTAAAAAGCTGGTATGCACCATGCATTAAAATAGAACAGCTGGATGTCTTGTTTGACTTTGATGTATTTTAAAGTAAGTCTATTTTGAGCAAATATTCATGGCTCCAAGTAGATAGTATGCGCACATTGCATTGCTCCAAGCTAACACACCTCAGCTACGGGCACTGACAGCTGACTAGCTGGGAGGTCCAAGGATTCCAAAAGAAACGAGAGTTCAACTCCGAATACTCAACACGAAACGAGGAATAATTCGAGGATGGTTTTTTTCCTCATTGAAGACTTGGGCGATGTTCAGGCACAGGGCCATTCCTTTCCAGACGTGACACCCTCCATAGATAAGAAGAATATATCATCATAAACACAATGTATTGATGACTAGGTATCTAGGACGGCATTTACAACTTTTATATATTAACAGGTTGTGGTTTAAGTAAGTTTATATCTATCTCTTTATATGCAATCAAAGCGAAGAGAGTTGCAGATTGACGAGAGAAATGTACTATCATACTTATGCTACTCTAACCTGCGCTCGGCAAATTTTGTGGGAATATGGCACGATTCATAAGTATGAAGAAATACACAGTCACGAATATAGTGTACTGACAACGTTATAGGAAGGCATGTTCAACTTTCTATATACAATTGAAAAGGAACGGCTCGGGTAAGCGTTTATATCTCTTGACTTACGATCAATGCTGAGGTAGTTGCAGATTTGAAGGGGAAGAATTCACTGCCACGTATAAGTCACCTCAATAAGCACATTACAAGTTTTTATGAGGATACCCCATCGCCTCTCTTCAGTTATCCATGTGGCGCCAGCTGAAGCTTATATACTATATATATGTCGATAGGTAGTGTTACAAGGTTCGTTGGTTTGCCACGGCATAGAGGTATATCTACCTATGGTACATTCTCTGTTATGCTATTGTTCATTACTTTATTCATGATTTCTTCCAGTTACTTGCTACTACAGTCGTTGCTGACTATACTTTTTTGGTCAGCTAGCCCGTGCTAGCTTCCAAATTCCTTCCAGCTAAGTATAGGGGTGCTCTATGCCTCATTATGATCGTCATTGACACTGACAGCAGCTTTAAGCCGTAATGCAGCCATTGTAAGTTTGCCGCTACTACCCGCTCTCTACTTCATCTCATCGTCATTGCAGGACTTCAATCTTCACAAGCACATGTCAATTAGGCATAGCGACGATGCCATGCTCGGCCAGCTTCGGAATGCAAGCACCCCTTAGTCTCACGAAGATATATCGGAATTGAAGTGGCATGACCCGGCACGGATATAACGTCAAAAAAACAATCAAAAATCCTAAAGAAAGATTTTATATCCTTCAATGCCAGAGATCTCAGAACAATCCAGATCTTGTCTCCCCCGCATTCTGCATTGGCCCACCACAGAAACCCGAGGCCAGGCACATGGCAGCGCTGGGGTTGGCATGTTCCCGACCAGCGGTTCCGAAAAATCCCTTTGGCTGCCGGGACGGGCATCCAATAAGCCTCCAGCATCAGCCGGGCCTACGGTATCTACCCCGGATCGACTTGCGATTCTGTAATACTGCCGTCCGAGCATCAAGTGGAGCTCGGCTTCCGTGACATTACAACTCCATTTTTGACATTTGAATCTCGCGCCGTGGCACCGCCTTAACCTCCCGGAGCTCACAAGCCCGGCCGCCTCACCCAAAGGTGAAGAACGGCGCGGTCCCTTGTCATTCGGCAAATCTCTGGCTCTTTTTTTATGCTTTTATGCAAACTGAACATGGCAACTTGCTTTATACCCAATCAGCGCTAGGGCTGTTTGAAATTCGCACGTGGGCTCTCTTATCTCCAGTTCTCTTTGCCGCGAAGACCGCCAGGCCGAAAGAACCGGGCCAGAAGCCAGGACAACCTGAAAAAAAAATGAGACCTACCTAATTGGCGTGGGGGGAACCATTCTCAATCATTGGCGCTGCTAGGGGAAGGGGGGGCCATACCAGTACTTGCATGAGAGCAACGCGAATGGTCCAACCGTTCCCTGCCATTGTTCACAGATGCCTATGCAGCGGGCAACGCGAAGCACAGTCCTGGACCCAATGACGAGTCAGCGAGGGCCACCGTTCTATGTAGAAATCCAGAGAGGGTGGGAACGCGTCCCGTTCACATGATGGGAGTGAGGAATTGGGCTCTGAGGCAAAAGACAGGTGGGAGGCGAATCCAGACAGTGAGTGGTAATAGTATGTCGTCAGATCCTCGGCCACGTCTCAGCCCCCGTCTCAATGACATACTACTGCTCCGTACTTGTGCTTATACCATCCCCATGACAATCTCTCGACATCCGTGCTCCCGATCTTGCGCGGGTCCCCCGTGTTGTAGGGGTTGACGGCCTAGCGCCAGTAGCGGCTGTCCAGAGTTACGTACGTACCTCCTTGAGCTGCAAGTTGCCGTGACACCAGTGCCGAACTCTGCGAGCATAAAGAGCACGCCATCCGCTCCTTGTTCTTAGAAAGGGCTCTCTTTCTCTGTTCTTCATTCCTCCATCTTCTAATAAATTCCCAAGATTAAACTCATCTTCTCTTGCTGCAAACCTATCTTGTGAAAAGCTCTTCCGTGTCCCTCTTAAGAACAACTCTCTCATAACTCACTCACCTCTCTATTTACCAACGGTTTATACATACACACAAAATCTACAAGATGTCTATGGACTTTGCCCGTGCCGCTCTGGCTGAGCGCCGACCTTCCTTCTTCCTCTCACTGGCACCTACTACTTCTTCCTCCTACCCTCAACCCGATAGACGGCCTTCAGTTACCGAGAGCCCAACCAGACCACGACGGGCCTCTATCAGCTCCCCAACCGGCCTTCGAGTCCTGAAGCTCAGCCCTGTTTACTATGGCGAGCACATCGGCCAGAACAAGGACGACTTCTATGACGTCCCGGCCTCTCCAGAAATGCCACCATCCTCCTTCCTCTCACTCGCGCCGGCTACCTCTTCTTCCTATCCTCAGATGCCCTCCAGCCGCTCCGGTGCTATCCCTGAGAGGCGACGCTCTTCGTCCAGCTCCACCACCGGCTTCAGGGTGCTGAAGCTGGGACCCGTCTACTGGGGTGAGCACGAAGGCGACCACAAGGATGACTTCCATGACATTCCCGCCTCCCCTTAAGACAGCAGCTAAGGGCAACCAACACAAAACACATCTTGGGAAATTAGCGTGATCTTTTTTTATTTTTCTCTATATGGAATGGAGCGAGCGAAGCTACTGTCATCATTATACTAAAAAAAAGTTTTCGGCGACACACACACACACACACACGCATAAGACAAGTCCAAATCCGCTATCAAAAAGCTGCAGGAAATGACTCGAGGGGGAGGATTCTTCACTCTCCGTTGGCATTTGGCGGCTTTCCTTAGCGCCTCGCACGCTTGGCTTGGCATATCTTTTCTTAAAAATGAATGGGATCGATGGATCAATGGACCGATTGAGCGACTTGGGTTTTCTTTTTTCTTTTTTTTTCTTCTTTTACTATTTGGCCAATTGACTGGGAAAAGAATGTAACAGTTTGACAAGTGCCTTGTAAGGGCCTATTTTGGGAAACACACTTAGTCTAGAAAGATTGTACTACAAGAGGCAGATCTTGGAGCAAAGAGGCTTAGCAAGATTATGCAGTGACAATACACAAGAAATTCGAACAACACACACATCCTACTCCTCCGTACTACTGCTATCAAACCTGTGACCTGCTGCCTTGATCCTTTTTTGCGGCGGTGCCGACACATCCTGCTCTAACGTGGGGGATTATGTCTCTGCTGGAGCAATGCTGTTGGTGGGAAGGCAGGCGAATGTCAGTTTAAGCTTGAAATGCAGTGTCTGAGGCCAAGTCCAGGGAGTCTTGCTGTCTCCAACTTTGATTTTTTTTTTGTATCACTTTAGACTGAGACACGGTGACGAGGCAGCTTGGCAGAATCATCAATCCATATGTTAAGCCGTACCAATTGTAAGACTTGCTTATGAATACGACTTGCTTTTGTGCTTCTACAAGGTGCCATTCGATGATGTACTAGAGAAAAAGAGAGAAACAGGCATATTCCAGGGGGGCAGGGGGTTGCTTAATCTCAGCTGCTCACTAATACGCCTGAGATGGAACTCGTGTTACTGCATCTCCATAGAAAAAGATCTCACAGTCTGTTCCGGCTCTTCCACTCGACCGTCGCCGGGGATAGCCGAAAGAGGCAAAAAGAGAAAAGAAAAAAAAGTTCAATAGTGTGCCATGTGCTATAATTGTACTATACAATAGTAATACTACTAGAAAGAGATGAATTTAAAAGAAAAAAAAAATTCTCCTCCAGGAATAGGTAATAGTGGAAGAAAAATCGTTTGCTTTTTATGCAAGCATAGCATGATCTGGGAAGATGGGGTGGTGCGCCACGGCTAGAAAAGGCTACCGTATGCCGAGGCCAGGCCTGATTCCCGAGGCGTTGGGATGTGCGACATGCAGGGAAAAAAAAAAAAAAAAAAAAAAAAAAAAAAAAAAAAAGAGCTTCTGGACCCTGATGGCATGTACTACCTGCTCGGGGTACCTACTCGCGAGCAAGTCTGCGCAAGGTCTCTTTTTTCGCCTGCAGGGGGCGAGGGGGGCTTGGGTGAAGCGGACGAGGGGAAGCTGTTTCATCATTCTTACTGCCACAAGGAGATAGATAGGAGGTTTGCCTCTCTGTCTGAGTTGCGATTCCTTTTTTTTTTTTTTTTTTTTTGAGCTGCTTTTGCTGCTCTCGTCACTTTTACTTTCTTCCTTTTTGGCTGACGCAATTGTAATACGAATACTAATCCCCAGAAGCAGAGCTACCAACCGCAATCCTCTAGTGGTTGTTTTCTTCGTGTTAGTGGCCAGTGAGAAGCAGCTCCAGTGCGGGGAGGGGCCAGCAACAAACCCCCACGCCTTGTGCTCCTGTCTCTGCTCTCGTCTTCCTCCCTCCCTCGTTCATTTCTCATTGTGCTTGGCATCGCCTCCCTGCGCTGCAAAAGCCTTGTGTGCCTACTTGTACTCTGGCTCTTGTGCACTCAGCCAATAGCAGCGGCGCTGGTTACGGCTATGGAGTACAGCCAGGCCCTAGCACGCCGAAACGGCCGTCTCGCAGTTACAGCTAGCGAGTACGCGGCGGTTACATTGCAAACTTGCGGTGAATGATGGGGGAGGGGAAGTAGACGGCGAGTAACGCTTGTTGGATACGGATGTATTATGGGACTGCCAATCAAAGGGGTTAGTAGTACAATATCTCCGGATGTATGTGCCAAGATATGGAGATGAAGATATGAAGAGAATTCTCAGCGCTGGGGGGAGTCTAGAAGAGTGCGGTGTCTACGATGGCTAGAAGCCACGCCCACGGAGATTCACTTGGGCTGAACGCCACCAAATAACCAGTACATACCTACGTACATAGTATCTTACCATGGTTGTTGATATTGGCCAGTAGAAAACTCCGTGCAGCTGCACACACTCATAAGATTAGGAGGTGCTGGTACAGCCAAGCACTTGCCAAGTCTCCGTCGCCAAGCCGAGGAAGGGGTGGCGGACCAGCAGATATGGACGAGGCAGGCACGTTGCGCAAGCATTGGCAGGAGTTGGACCCAAGCCAAGCTCTCTGTACAGTAGTCTACATGCTTGTAGGTACCTGCACCTCCCTAAACAGATGCTAGATTTGGGAATATTCCATCTTCGGTAGGTAACTTAGCTTGCTCACTCTCAGCCAGTAGGTGCCTTGTTCTATCTCACTGCTTCTTAGTATTTCGTTTGGAGCATCTCTTGTATGCAAATAGCTAACTGGGGACGGAATGGGGCAGCAGTTGAACACAAAGAGCAATACCGAGCATTGCCGAGTGCCCCGTCATGCCATGGTCCCTCCTTTTCGCCATCGCCGAATCACATCTCCAGCAGTATACTGGAGTATTGCGTCGCATTCAGCGGATGCCTTGGGACGGGGCCCTGATCCGATCAACCAAAGCCCCCACATGAGATCTCAAGAGCAGAGAAGCTATGACCAGGCTTAGCCCTTAAGCCTTAGCCTTTTATCCCTGCTAGTCGAGCTGGTTAGTTGCACAAAATCGTGTCGACTATCTCCAGCCATCCTATTAGTCCAGAGATTGCAGTAATTCAGCAGTACAGAGTGCTATTTGTTGACATCTGATTCGTCGTCCCCAAGAGCTGTGAGCGCTTTCTTCAAAAGGAGTCGTTATTTCTCTGAAATGGGGCTGGATTGAACGCCCCCATTGGTGCTGACATCACAAAGAGAACCGCTTGAGCCCTACAGCCCAAGTATACCTACTGCTTGTATGCGAGTGCACCCATGTTCAGCTGACCGCTTAATACCTTGCATATGTCCGCTTTCCCTTGCTCTTTTCTCTACAGCAGCTTTGCTGCAAATGTTCTAAAAGTACATCTAAAGTACATCTATGACAGCAATTCAACAGAGTGAGAAGCTTCATGTTGACATTTTCAGTTGTATCAGCGCTATACGGTTCATGAAGTCAATTTATCACGTATCAGCTGAGTAAGAATCAGACCTGTCACCAGCCACTTGAAGTTTATCCATTACACCACGATATGCTAAACCTTATCAAATATTCACACATACTTGGTTCAAATTTAACACAGCGTTTTTATTCGTTTTCTTCTACCCTCATTGCAAGACGCAGATCTATGGAGCCCTAAAAATAGGAACCACCATCAACTCAATCCCGTATAATGTCCGATGACATCTTGGCTCCATTCATTCTTTCCCCTTGCTAGGATTGCCCCTCCAATACGTTTATTAGTTTTTGGAATGACAAAGCATATAATATCTGGCGGGCCAGCCTCAGATGCCGAAATATAGCATGATATAGGGGATTCCATGGAAGAAAATTATAGGCAAAAGTAGATAGTAAAGCTCAGCTCAGCTCAGCTCAGCTCAGCTCCCTACGAGATTCCAACTAGTACCCACAAAGGCATTGTTCATCTCTGTACCTGGTTTTGACCACTACGATGTTGCCTTGGCCCCGGCAGCGGCAGCAGGCAATTCGGCGTGGTCTTCCGCCGTTGCAATGCACACAGTGGATAGAGGGAGCTTGGCAGCAGTAGACCCAACATCGTCCACGGCAGACATTGCACGACACTTGGACTCGCTCTTCTGTTGATAGCTTAAACCAGCCGGTGCCGTTGCACTCTTCACAGGTAGGATTTGGTTTCTCATCACGGGAACGGTCAGAGTCTATGGAGGAACCGCTTCGGGTTGAGTTGCTTCTGCTAGAACGGGGCATTCTGCGACAGGGAACTAGCCTTGAAAGACCCTGGACAAAATGGCTTCTATTCTGTAATGGCGATTAGTGTGGCAAATGTGAGATTCTTGAGGCTTTGAATTAGAAGTTGCCCGATTTGAAGATTCAAATGAAATTCCTATGGCTTGCGAGGCTTGCAGATTGCGGTCGTGTTGGTTTACACGCAGGCAATAGTTTAGAACGCCGGGCAGTACTTATAAGAACCCTTTGGAGTTGCTGGCGATGAAGCGAAAAAAAAAAATATGTTTGATAGCGGCATTTCTACACTTCTTCATTGCTCAGTTTCGCGAGGTTTGCTCCATTTTACCGTCACTGTTGTGTATCGTGACACTTGAGAGCGGTTTTTAATGGCTGCCATTGTAAGTCAATATGTCGCGATGCTACTGCGAATCTCAATAATGACGAACAAAAAGCACATGAGGAACGAAAAAGGAAAAAATGAAAACAGTAACAGTCTTGACAAAAGTATTCGGGTTCTTTGCTACAATTCATTTTGGCGAGCTGTGAGTCGCGACTGTGGGGAAGAAAGCCATTGAAGCATTGACTCACATACACATGAAGCCCAAGCGGATAACTTGCGATGGTGTGGAAAAGGTGTGGAAAAGGAGGATCGTTAATATGCTTGCGAATTTACGAATACCAAGGGAAAAAAAAATCAAGGCGTGCTTTGCAGGAACAGCTTGGTGCGGTAATCGTCATGGGTTCTAATGTACAGAATACTCCTCAGCTACTGTATCATATATGTCCGATAACCCAACTTCAAAAGCGTAGGCCGGTGATAGTCCTTCACGCCATTGGCAGGCAGCCCAAGGTTTTGGAAACTGTACGTGCCGCTTCTGACAGATTTCTATTGCTAAACTAACGTTCAACCCGGCTATTCAGCGTCTATCTTTTTGAAGTGGTAACTCTAGCACCCTCACAATGAAACAATTCTCAAGTTATAGCTCTAACTATGCGAGATAACCGTGTCAAGGTCAGCCCGAGAAAGAATTAGGGTTAGAAGATACATTCAGAAAAAAATTACAACGACCGCTTATATCAGTATAAGGAGAACATGCTATGGACCATATAACCACACTCTATTGTAACTTACACATGCTTTCCTCCTTTAATAATCCTTTCTTTTCGACAATTATCATCGAGATTCCATTCTACCTCGCAATATAGCTTGCAAGCTTGGTGCGACGTCGAATTCATAAGACCCAGCTCGTTCAATATAGGTCCACAGCAACAATCTCCTCCACAAGACACTCTACATTTCCGCATGCCATCCAACAGCCCTCCTCTTCGCCTCCGGATCAACCACTCTCAAAATCTCCCTCCAATCAATCTCCACCACCTCCTCGTCCTCTTTCTTCGTAGCATCGTCACAGCCATCTCTGACTCTCATAAAGGACTTCAATATGCAATCTCCTCCTTGATGAAAGTCACACCATGCTCGATCATGCCTTCCCTTGACTCTCAAACTCGCCATTCGTATACTCGGATCCGCCAACAGCCTCACCAGTCCTTCCAGCGGCGGCTTCTCAAACATCGTCTTCTTCTCCCTCAGAAAAGCTCTCGAAATCGACTTGGACCTCTCCTTCGTTTCGGTGCTATAATCCACCAACAAGCTCAAGTCACTCAGATCCCCTCTCACAGCCATATCCTGTAAGAACGACCCTAGTTCATCCCACAGCCACCCTCTTAGTTTGTCGATTCTCATCTCCAGCCGGTGCACTCTACGCCTCGCCTCTTGCGATAGGAGGAGGGACGGGCCACCCGTGTGCCGTAGCAGGATATGGTTCTGCGTCTGTTGCCTGCCGCTCCATTCCGCATCGCCAGGTAGATCCTCTGCGGCGTTTTCTATGAACCGCCTTACGTGGGAGGCATGGCCCTCTGTGAGGTCCAACACAAATGTGTTTGCTGGCCCGTAAAATATCGGGTGAGCAATAGCGTACAGGGATGGATGGATGAGGAAGATGGGTATGGGGTTGATTGGGCTGGCGGTACAAGGGCATAGAGAGATGATGCCTCCATTTGGGGCTGTGAGCAGTGGCTGTAGGATCAGGGATAGGAGGTCGACTGGAAGGTCAAATAAGTGTAGAGGTTGAGATTCAGGCATATTGTGATGTTTCTAAGGGGGCCAAAAATAGAAAAAGTCGAGGGCGCTGTGTTGGCGCTTAGTTGTAACAGGTCGGTTGGCGTTGGTCAGCTATGAGTGTTATCAGCCTCCCAAGTAAGTCCCAGTAGTCGGCCAAAAGGCGCCTTAGGCTACCACAGAGGCCTCCTCTTGAGCTGCCGGAGTCCAAGAAAAAAAATAAACATACCGTTGGCAGATTTCAAACACTAGTACTGCAGAGTTACTCTCAGTCTCATACCAGAGATCACATCGATTGAGTGCATCACGAATGGGGAAAGCGGGGTGAGGCTCCCGTAAATAGGTGGGCTGGAGTTTACTCCCAGAGTTTGGAGCACATGCATTTACCTACCAGGTACCTACTAGGCCTAGGTAGGTACTAGTATATAGGTCGCGTGTACAGCCACACTTTATATACTCTGTACAGTAGTTCCAGGTAGACTTCATAAAGGGAGAGACGAAGAAATATCAACTCGTATTTCTATTTCGAAAAGTCAAGTTAGGGTGGGCGGATGGCCGCATTAGTTTCATAGTATTGGTACCGCACCAAAGTAGAAAGTATCGTTTCCTAAAATGTAATTACACTTGTCTGCTTGTATCATACATCCTCTTTGCGCTATTGCAATATACCAACCCCATGCATCATAAATCAACTTTCGTCCCGCCAGTAATGCAAAAAAAAAAAAAAAAAAAAAAAACACAATCATCTCAAAATAGATGCAAGATTAGCAAAATTCGTACATATCCTATGCAATGCATGGCAAACAAACAGGCATGAGCAAGCATTCACGACGGAACAACAGCACTCGGGGCCAGGATCATTTTCAAGTTCACGTTCCAGTGACGAGTTTGCTTTCCTCCGCGAATTCCATTTATTTGCAATCTGATTCCAATCTGGGCTCTCAATCACCTAGATAGTTTTTATGAAAAACTTTTCATCTTCGCGTCTAGTATACATGTCAGCCGCAAACCCACCATCAGCCGTTTCTAATATCTCCGCTGAGAGGATCGCAAATTGACAAAACCATTTGTATTTTTTTGTGCAGGTATTTCTTTTTTATCCACTTTTGGCTTTTGCTACAGCCTGCATAAAACGTCTATCATGCTGAAGTCCTCACAAGCCTTCCACCATGAGAACAATAAGAGAGAGAGAGAAACACGCGCAAATAAAGAAAGGGGTAAATCGATAAAACCAAGGGCAAAAAATGTGCCCTGTATGCATTATAAGATAAATCAATCGTTAGCTGGGGAATTAGGTGAGCTACAAAAATGTTAGTCAATGTTCGTATTGAACGAATACTTTTCCCATCAATGTTATCTGGGCATCGCTTACTATTGGTTGCCTGAAGCTCCCGGACCAGGAGTCCGAGGAGAAAATGACGGTGAAGTGGGCGAATAGCTAGGGCTAGTTGGAGATTGCTGCGACCCAGGACTTTTGGAGAAGCTTGGACTCGTTGGCGAGTAAGCCTCTGGGGATGTCGGAGACCACGAAGGAGAAGCAGGAGAATATGATGGAGAAGTAGCGCCTGCACCATGCAAATTAGGAGAGGCAGGGCTATAGTTAGGACTAGCAGGCGAATAGCTAGGCGAAGTGGGAGAGTTGAATTGTGCCGGCGACGTAGGCGAGTAGTGTCTCGGCGATGAAGGCGATGCAGGCGAGTAGCTTGGCGACGTTGGGCTGTAGTTGGGGCTGGCAGGGCTTGTCGGTCGCAGCATCGGTGAAGTAGGCGAGAAGGATGGCGAAGAGGGACTGAATGACGGAGACGACGCATATCGGCCCATTCCACCATCGATCATGGGAGATGTTGGGGAGTATCCAGTATTGGGTGACGAAGGAGAGTATCCACCCATGCCTGAACTGAACGGCGATGTGGGAGAAGTGCTGAAGGGGCTCGTCGCTCCACGCATGGAGTAAGGGCTCATAGAGCCAATACCACCAAAGCCACCACCTCCATACTCCGTTCCAAATCCAGGTGGTGTCTCCGAACCTGCACCTTGGATGGGAGAGAAGTTTCCAGCGGCAGGAGAGTTGAGGCTGAGGTAGCCAGAATCGCCCATAGGAGATCCTGTATCGTAGGGCGTAGCCGCACCCTCGACGTCTCCCTCCTTGACAGGCATGCCTGGCATGAGGCCCATGCGAGAGTTGTCCGAAATGACTGTTTCCAGCATCTTCGGATCCAAGAAGACGTCAAAGTGGCCAGTACCCATGGGAGCCATCTGGCCGAGCATAACGTTCTCAGAAATGCCACGGCAGTCATCAAGCTCACCAGTGGCAGCTGCCTCCAGAAGAATTTCGACTGTCTCCTCGAATGAGCAACGCATGAGCGCACCTGTATCTGCCCGGTTAATACCGTGTCGAGTGACAGCAGATATGCTTCCTCGGTAAGTCATAACATCACACAGCAGAGCAATATGTCGATGGTTGACATAGGAACCGTCAAAGGCCAAAACAGCTGTCAACTCCTTCACCAAGGCAGCTCGAGTACCTTCAATGCCAAATACTTCAATGACCTGCCAGAGGTCATTGGTATAGGTTCGCGTAGGATCAACTCCGGGCACAGCCAAGACCTCACGGAGGGCTGAACCACTGGTATCTAGGTACCACTGAGTGCAACGAGGATCGTCCTTAAGTGCGAGCTCAGATCCATCAGCCGCCTCGACGAGACGAGTGCCCTTTGTCAAGAAAGCCCTCTCGACGCCAGGCACACCACGTAGTGTCAGCGTGTCTAGGAGATGGGCCTCGAGACGCTTAAGCATCACATCATCTTCAATCTTCTTCTCGCCATCATCATCCTTTTCATCGCCAGCACGAACAGTGCGTATACGGATCACTTGTTCATCAGCATTGTTGTCGCTGAAAATAACGGCCAAATCGTTAGGATATTCTTCCTTGATTCGCTGAGCAACGTCGTCAATCTTGATTTCCTTGTCAAGCAATTTTTGTCTATCAAGCGTGATGCGCAGAAGCCATCTGGACTGTTGGTCGATGGTATCTTGGCTATCATCCGGAATCAAGAAGTAGGACTCGACCATATCGACATCCTCTGCAATGGTTGTAGATTGGACATCCGGATCATAGTAGATCTCTGTGACTGATGTAATCGATCGGAGGTTGGTGTACTCGACCAAACTTCGCAGCTTCTTCGCTTGCTCCTGTTTGGCCAGGGGAGTATCCAAGTAGACTGCCATGCTGGGTGTTTTGATGTTCTTGGCAAGGTTGAGAATTTCCTTCAAACGAGGCACACCAAGTGTGACGTTCTTGGAAGACACACCAGCAAAATGGAAAGTATTCAGCGTCATCTGAGTGGCGGGTTCACCAATGGACTGAGCCGCAAGAACACCAACCATTTCACCAGGGTTAACGAATGACCGGTCCCATCTGTTTTGAAGCTCACCGAGTACGTGATCAAACGCGAGCTTGTTCAGACGATGCTCCTTGACTACTTCTTTGAAGGCAAGTCGAGAACGAAGAAGAGCTTTGAAGAGAATTGTAGCGCTTGCATCTGCCTCCTTTGAAATCGGATCATCGCCTCGAACAATCTTCAGTTTGCTAATGACATCTCTCACAACAGGAATGACATCAGAAGGTCTCAAGTTACTCCTATCATTCGCCTTAACGTTGAACACACGCTTGGCAGTCTCAATCATTCGCCCAATATTCAGTGGAAGCTGCATCGCCTCTTCACCCATCTTTGCGCGGTTGATTTGTCGCACCTCACGACGATCAGCAACCAGGGCATCCCACTCCTCATCGAGAAGAGCCATAGAAGCCTTGTCGCCGGTCAACTCGTTGCCATATTCGTAATCCTTCCTGAACCACTCAGGGGGGCTGGCCAAATCAAGGCGATACTTCTTCTCAAAGGCCTCATCAGACATCTTCAAGATACCAAGCTTCTGCTTTTCAATGCACATGGCATCAAGACCATCTTCACCGTAAAGGAATTGAATAATATCACCCAAAGAGTTACGGACGGTTCCATCGTATTGAGCATTGAGATCTTCCAGAGCTTTGACGAGACGTCTCTGGATGTAACCAGTCTCAGCTGTCTTGACAGCAGTATCAATAAGACCTTCACGACCAGCCATGGCGTGGAAGAAAAACTCTGATGGAGTAAGACCACGAAGATACGAGTTCTCTACGAAGCCGCGAGCCTCAGGAGAGTAATCGTCTTTGGTGAAATGGGGAAGCGTTCGGTACTTGAAGCCGAATGGAATACGCTTTCCTTCGACAATCTGTTGTCCGACGAGCGCTGTCATTTGAGAAATGTTGATGGATGAGCCCTTGGAACCGGACTCGGCCATGGTAACAGCGTTGTTGGAATCCTTCAAACTCTTCTGCGTTGTCGTACCAGCCTGGTCACGAGCCTGGTTCAAAGCCATAGACACCTTGTTCTCAAACGTAGCTCGAACATTCATACCAGGCAAAGCCTCCAGCTCATTGGCAGTAGCCTGAGCCGTGAGTCTGGCAACTTCGGCCTTTTGTGTGTCAATATGCACTTGGACCTTTTCGATCGTTTGCTTATCCGGGATGGTATCACCAATACCAATACTGTGACCGTTTTGCAAGAGCCAGTAGGCAACCACTTGCTGAACACCATTAAGGAACGCCATGGCACCTTCTGGACCTAGTTCATTATAGCAGAGGTGGATAACACCGCCTGAGGCAGAACCAATATTCTTCTTCTTCATGAGACCATAAATCAGCTCGCCAGCTTGGATCAGCAGTCCAGTATCCTTGAGGGGGTTATCAGCTTTGTCTTCCGGGGCATTCAAGCTGATTTCCTTGGGAATGACCATGCTTATGATCTGCTTGCCAGTCCAACGAGGCCTCGGTTTCAGGATAGCAGGCTGGGGAATAATACCATCCCAGTTGGGAACCCAAAGCATTAGATTCATGACTTGATTCTTGTCAAGGAAAGTATCACGTCGGCAGATTTTGTAGGCACCAGCAAGAGAGTCCTGAACAATACCCATCAAAGGACCGTTTTTCTGAGGTGAGACAATGTTGTTGGGGACCAGACACAGTTCTTTGACTTCGGCGCGAGTCTCTTCACTCTGGGGAACGTGAAGATTCATCTCATCACCGTCGAAATCGGCGTTGTACGGTGACGTAACAGACAGATTTAGTCGGAAAGTAGAATAAGGCATGACTCGGACACGATGTCCCATCATGGACTCCTTGTGCAGCGAAGGCTGACGGTTGAAAATGATATAGTCACCGTCCATTAAGTGACGCTCAACCTTCCAACCATACTCCAGTGAAATTTGAGCTGCACGCCTATGGTGTCGCAAATCAATACGGGTACCATCAGATCTGATAACATACTTGGCACCAGGATGCTCGTTAGGACCGTTCTCGACTAGCTGATGGAGCTTGCCGATGTTGTACGGCGTTACCGTCTCAGGATAAGTCAGGGTCCTAGCAATGCTGCGAGGAACACCGACTTCGTGTAAAGACAGGTTGGCATCTCCTGTGATGACAGTACGGGCGGAAAAGTCGACACGCTTTCCCATCAAGTTGCCTCTCAGACGACCTTCCTTACCCTTGAGACGGGCACGAATTGCCTTGACTGGACGACCGCTCTTCTGAAGGGCACGAGGCTGGCCAGCAATATCATTGTCCATGTAGGTTGCGACGTGGTATTGGAGCAGCTCTTCGAAATCTCGCGCGATATGCTGCGGCGAGCCCTCACGAATAGCTTGCTTGACATTGCCGTTGGCACGAATGATATCTCCGAGCTTGTAGGTCAAGTCATCTTCGTTTCGCATACCAGTTCCAGTACCATCCATGGAAATGGAAGGACGAACGGGAGGCGGAGGGACGGGGAGCACGGTGATAATCATCCATTCCGGGCGGGCGTAGTCCGAATTAAGACCCATGTTGACAAGATCCCTTTCAGAAATGCGGCGAAGGATGCTGTGGGCCATCTCGGGGGTGATGGGAGCAGTCTCTTTCCTCTTGGGGCCATCCTCTTGAGCTACCTCGAAGGCCGCCTTCAGCTGAAGAGCAACCTGCCGCACTTGGGGCTGTACATTGCCGCAGCCGCCGTGGCTTTCAACAAGCGCGGGTTTCATGCCAGGCGCAAACTCTTCGTCTTTGTTCTTGTCTGTCCGATCCTCATTCTCGCATCTCCGCTTTTTCTTGCAGACAGCCCATACCCGCTTGAATCGGAGTTTTGCATCTCGAGTATTGATTGCCGCAACAAACTCAGGATCACTCTGGTAGATTTCAGGTTAGCATCCAGTGAGGCAAAGGCTTCATGGAAAAGAGAAGACCAACTTCATCAGCCAGCACTTTACTGCAGTTGTGGCAGACAATTTCCAGGATCTTCTTGACTTTCTTGATGAAGCCAGGGTGGTACACAGGCTTTGCCAGTTCAATGTGTCCAAAATGACCGGGACACTCGCCCATAGCCTGTGTACAGGTCTTGCACTTGAACTGTCGATCGATCGAACCGAGTAGAGGGTCATTGAGACCACCGTCGCGTGGCTTCGTGCCGCCTTCCTCCATCGTTTCGGGGTACAGAATGTGCGCCACGCTCATACTCTTGATCTCTTCGGGAGATAGGAGTCCGAATTGAATCTCCTGCACCGTCTTGAGCGGTGCGCTCGAGTGGGTAAAGTAAAGGTTCGCCATTTTCGAAAGTGTTATGAATTTCCAGTCGAATAACCGTAAAACTGCTAAAAAGGATCGGTGAGGGCGGTAAACGGAACACGCGCCTCGTAATCGCGGTCAAAGAGCAATACGTCGAGAAAAAACACGGAGTAATCGCAAGAAGTGACAATTTCTAATCACAACAAATCGGAAAATCGATGACAAAAGCGGTTGTCAGTCGCCAAGAGATGACGCTCTCTCGATCGCCAGTCCTGGCCAACAGGCCCAGGAGAACCTCACGGCAGGTCTCCCCCGTCGCCACCAGCTCTGAGGCCGTATAAACACGTAAATCGCAGGTCGGCGTCTCGTATCGTAGTTTTCGACAGTATTCCAGGTGCCAGAGTCGATGCCCGACACGCTTGGTGATGACTTTGGGCCGTGGGCAAAGTTTTGTCGTGGTCGAGGCAAGACAGTAGAAGAGGAAGCCTGAAAGTTCTGGACGTGAGGCGCCTGGTGCTTCGATGCCGCTAAGCCTTTACGGACCAACCACCTCCTTGCACCCGCAGTAATTGGTGCCTCAGGCCACAGCTTATTAATGTACCACTTTGCGCCACTCTGTGGACAGGACAACAGCGGGACAATAAAACTGCGAGCTGTCTGCTCAGCCTTTGCTAGGGCAAGTTCAGCATGATTTTGTCAGCCTTGAATCTTGATCACGCTGTGCCCCAACAAAGTACATGGCGCCGGCGTGACTCAGTTGGCCTAGGTTTCACATTAGCCTCACATTCAACGGTGCGTATCGGATACTCCGCGCCTCGTATGTTTTCTCCATCTCTCGCGTCATAAAGTACATACTGCCATGCATGATTGATACATCACAGTCACTTTCGCTGATGCAGATCATTGCATACATACAATGCATAAAGAGTCGATGCTATTCGGTTAAGCCTCGAACATCTATTACTACTTCTTTTTACTTCTTCCTCCTCCCCTGGCACCTCCCTTCTTACGCACAGGAGCAGACGACTCTGCTCCGGCGCTCAAGTCGGCTTGACTTTCTCCAGGGCTCCTCCGCCGCATAGTTCCAGTCGAAACTGCAACAAATTCGTCCTCGCTATCGCTCTCACCCAGGTTAAATAGAATAGGCATGCGAAAATTATCCAAACCATCTTCCTCCTTAGTGGGATCAGTCGCGAGGACATCTACATCCTCATCCTCAGCGTCGAGTCGCCTTCTATGAATTTCTTCTTGCGCATATATGTCGAACTCGTCCTCTCGCTCCATGTACTCTACATTCTCTTCGACCTCGGCAAAGTCTGGCGCCAGCGCCGACCACTTCTGAGGGCTAATGACGGACCAAATATATATACGGCCCGTTTCCAAGCCACAGGCTGCCAAGAGAGGCCGGGAAGGATGCCATTCGATAACGCCTTGCTCCTCTTTCGGATCTTTGAGCATGCAGACTAAACTGCCATGGTTTCTCTCCCAAACGTAGAGTTCGTGATTGTTGTAGGTGGATGCGGCCACATATTCACCCGTAGCGCTAAACGTGACGTGATTCCAAGACAGCTTGTTAACGACGTCTTGGAATTTATGCTCGAGGGGTAGCTGTATCGTATCCGGATCGAGGTCCTCCACCGAAAGATTGGGTATTCGAAAAGTACGAATGATACGGTCCTGTGAATTCACCAGTAAATCCCGTCCAGATCCCGTTATTCGCATCGTCGTAATAACTCCTGTGCATATTTTTTCTGAGTATATGATCTCGAGTGTCTTGGCATCGATAATATTCAATTTGCCTTTACTCGTCCCTGCGATAATGTGATCGCCGGTCGCGGTCCATATGGCAGACGTCGTCATCTGCTTGGCATCTTCTTTTGCTTGCTTCTCTTTGAGAGCAGCATCATTCTCAGTGTTTGATCGCTTTGGTGCAGACGGAAGAACGCGCTTGACATCGACGGGCTCCGAGATATCGACGAGCAGCGGCTGCTCTTCAAATAGAGACGCGACAAAAATATTACTAAATGAACATATGAGTCAATGGCGCAAAAAAGCAGTCTCTGTCAAGCGAAAGGTGGAATACACATACTGGTTCCAGGGATGGAGCTCAGCCATGTAAGCAGGAGCACGAAAGCGCACCTCTCGGTGTCGGTGCCCAGTCTCCAGGTCCCAAAGTATGGCTTTCCAGCCTTGACATGTTGAGAGCAGATAGCGTCCACATTTTGACCAGCTGAGGAACGTAATGCTCTTATTATGCCCTCTCATCTTTCGGGCGACACCCATTGTCTCCAGGTCCCAGATAACGACGGTTCCGTCTACTCGTCCGGAAGCAAGGTAGTCGCCCTTGCGGTTAAACCTCAGCATCGTCGCATGGCCGGACCGGATCGTGCTGGTCATGCTCTCAGGATAATCCTGGAGGAGGTAGTCATCTGAAAGAAGGAGATTCATCGTCGCGGTGGCAGGGCTGGGGCCTTTCGAGAGTGGCAGAACGGCATGGTAGACGGGGAAACGCGACAAGGCTGCGAGGAGCACCAGACGCCAGAGCAAAGAAGGGTCCCTCTCCTGCAAGGCTGACGAAAAGTTGCCCAGATGGCAGCCTATGCGCCACGCGAGGGGTGCATCTAATACTTCCGTCTCGAGGCGTGCGCCTAATGTGCAACAAGAAGCTGGAAATGCTCCACTGCGGGGATGCGCTAGCATGACGCACAAGTAAATCGAACAGTAGGTTCGATATCTCGCTGTAACAGTCAAAGTACAAAGCTTTTCTTTTCTTTGACAAAAGCTGAGACGCGTTTGCTCGATTCGCACGATGGCGAACTCAAAGTATGATGCTCCAACTCCATGGCTCCTGCTTGGCTAACTAATCGAGGGCTATTCTAGATTTGAATATGTTCGAAATTTTGAGCAGCCAGACTCCCTCATGCCCAATACTTGGGTTGTAGTGCGCATAGATGGGAGAGGATTTACCAAGTAAAGGCGCAAAATGAAACAGAATGATGTCTGTGGTGGTTTCTAACAGTTTCGTTCAAGAATGTGCGCCAAATATGAATTCGAAAAGCCCAATGACAAGAGAGCGCTTGATCTTATGAACGCAGCAGCCAAGGCTGTTGTGACTGATTTGCCAGAGATCACTATTGCCTACGGAGTTAGCGACGAATACAGGTACAATTCCTTTTTTTTTTTTCACTGCAAACTCATAATTTCCTCTGACCTAACACAATTTAGCTTCGTCTTTCATAAGACCTGCAACCTCTTTGAGAGAAGAGCAAGGTGCGAAAGAGAAACTGACCTACCCTACATTATGCACCTACTAAGAACTTGCAGCAAACTCGTCAGCACAATTGTTTCTACCTTTACGGCAAATTATGTCTATCTCTGGTCGACATACTTTCCGGACACTCCTCTCTCATTTCCTCTTCCGACATTTGATGGCCGAGCTGTCTGTTATCCGACAGTACAAAATCTCCGGGACTACATGAGTTGGAGACAAGCTGATTGTGAGTTAGCACTGACAAGATGAAATCAAACTGGAGCTAATTAAGCAGGCCATATCAATAACTTATATAATACGGCATTCTGGAAACTGATACAGCTGGGCGGGCTTGATAATAAGGAGGCTGAGAAAACCCTTGCTGTATGCGCCTCCTCCATTGTTATATGTGCATACTAACGTGTCGTCAGGGAACACTGGCTGCCGACAAGAATGAAATACTGTTTTCTCGCTTCAAGATCAACTACAACAATGAGCCGGAAATGTTCAAAAAGGGAAGCATAATATTTAGAGATGTGAGTTTCAGATCAGATCAAATTAGTTCCATTTACAGCTGACAAAATGTAGTATGAACTGGTCGAGCCCGGCAGTCATAATGAAGCAGCAGCAGCAGACGCCCTTGCGGAGCCGGTAGTGCAGTCAAAATCACAAGCCGAAAAGGATAAGAAGCGCAGAGCCAAAGCGAAAGTGGTGGTGGAGCACTTGGATATTATCAGGGACGAATTTTGGGACAAGCGGCCTTGGATTCTATCTGGCAAGCCTGGTCGACCGGCCAATCTATCCAAAGAAATACAAACTTGAAACGCTCTCTATTTGGGTATCCCTTGCGTTTGAAAGAAAGAAAAAGAAGCCAAACTCCCTGCTAATGCGCCGTATATGATTCCCCCCCATCCTAGTATCCCTATTAGTTTTTCTCCATCTTTAGTTCCTTTCGCTTGCGCTTTTCCTCCTTCCCGGCACGTCTAAGGAGTTTCTCTTCTTTTCCACTACTGCTAGAATCAGACGTGTCTTTCTTCGCCTCGGCTCTCTTCAGCCTTCTTTCAGCCTTCGCTGCTCTCCTCAGGGCTCGTGCCTCTTTTCGCTTCCTTTTCGCTTCCTTTCTCACTCTCTTCTCCTCTTTGCTTTCTTTCTTAGGTTTTACAGCTTTCGTCGCTGTTTTCTCATCGTCGCTCTTATCAGAATCGGTGCTTGTCGAGTCGTCTGTCGTTTCTACACTGATTGTTCCTTCAAGAAACCCGCCTCGCACAAAGGAAGCATAGACGGAGTATTTCGACACGTTTCCGCGATCCAGCGCGTTGAGCTTGCCAGTCTTGACGGTTTGGACGACTTGGCCCTTTTTGGAGGTATCGAGACCTTTCAATTGCTCATCAAAGGCGTTCATCCACCACATATCGCTTGTAAAATGTTTTGTGTTGCCAAGGCCCTTGGTGTTGGTCTTGCGATTCAGTAATAGAGGCTTTGCGAGGCCAATTGAATCGTCCGTCTTGTGTAGAGAATGGCCAGTTCCTCGCCAGCCCTGGGCGGAAAGAAGCGCGTGTGCATCCATTGTGCCAGAAGAATATGTTGCACGACTACCGTGCCCGAAGAAAGAAGGAAAGAATAAAGGTGGTTCTACCGTTTGCGACCGCGCGACATAATATTGAACAATTGGGAGCAAGGGTTGTTACCTTTAAGACGGCGCTCATGGTTGGCTGCTTAGAGAAAATGGTAATTTTTCTAGCGGGGCTAGTGCTTATCAGCGCTTATCATGCACGCTAGCTTGAATGAACAGATCCCTGCAAGCTGCGGCAAGCTGAATGGCTCTTAGTTTCAACTAATGCTTCTCTAGCCAGCTCTTCTACCTCTGGGTGGTCTAGTTGGTTCATGGCGTTCGGCTGTAATGGATAACATCTCACCGAAAAGTCGGCGGTTCGATTCCGTCCCCGGAGAGTAATTCTCTACCGGAGAAGAGTTACACTTTTTTTTTTTGGCTGATTTCAACGGCTTTTCTTTTCTCTTTCTCTCTCTCTTTCTTCTTTGTCGGGAGTAGCGACCGCTTTTTGTTCATTTAATTTCAATTTTATTTCTTTCGATCGCAGTCAGACAGCTTTGAAACAAATGTATCCATTCGAAAAAACAAAAGAGTACTCTCGTACCCTGTTATGCCTCTTCCAGCGAATAATCCACCGCGGGATCTCACCACTAATAGGCAGTAGATTTTATGTGGGCGTCCGCTCAGTGGCAAACACGCTCTCACTCACTAAAAACAGAGTACTTACAATGCGGTAAGCAGTGTCACTTTCGCTTTGACATATTCTGCCGTAACATCCGCCTCTTAAAGTCATTTTCCAGATTAGTTTCTGTGATTACTGTTCTTCTTTCGTAACTACTCGTTACCCTGCATTCCATTTATACCGTCTTGGCTGAAGGATTCGATGGCCCGACAACATCCAATCAATCTCGGTGACGTGTAACATACGCTACCGGACAGGCACATATGCTTAATCCTGAGCTCGATGAAATCCGTCCTCTTTCAACAGCGGATAGGTCTGGGATTTGAAACCAAAAAACCATTAAACAAAACCAATCTCATCTATTGAGGCACCCAAAGACGCACTGCGAAGGGTATTCCGCCGTATTTCACGATGGCGCCGCTATGCGCAGATCCGCGTCAGATCGTGATTGCTTTGAATCCCGCCAGGCGAAAGGCATTGTTGTTTCTAGTCCAAGAAATCATAAGGGGTATGATCTCTGAGCTGGAGACTCATCCCGATGAATTGGGATCCATCGCACCAGAGGATGAAGGCAATAGAGACGATGAATCGGTCTCTTCAGACCTGCCTGAGAAGGCGGGGCGCTCTGCATCCCAAGGTGGCAGAGCTCAGGGCTTGTCCCTGCAGAAAGCAAAGACTACCAGAGAAGCAGAAAAGGTTCTAGGAGCGGCATTTGCATACACGCTGGAGTGGCGAGATGAGGTCGTATCCAAGCTTGAAGAGATTGTGAATGTGGAAGATACGCACAAGATTGCGGCCGAGAGGAAGACTCGACGCGAAGCCTTGGACAAGAAGAAGTTGGATTTGCCCAGTAACGATCGCTTCTTAGTTGATGTGGATGGTATGCCTGTTGATGAGACAGAAGATGTCTCCATGTTGCAGTCGGTGTATAAGCCAATACCCACCAAGTTGACCACCATCCCCATCGAGGATCGAGAAGAAGCCCTTAGCTGTGTGCTGCTACTACTTCTATCTACGGGGAAATATTCTGCTCACTCTCGCGCCTTGGTGCTTTATCTAGCGTCATCGTTGGGAATTTCTACAACGTTTCTTAACAAGGAAGAAGCAGAAATCGCCATGTCGCTCATGGAGTCGTCCACAGCTAATGAGGATGCAAAGGAAACCATGTCTGCCGACGCTGAGGCTGCCAAACGCAAACAACAGAACAAAGCCAGTCGCTTTTGGAAAGTTGGACTAGCATCTGTAGCCGGTGCTGCAGTTATCGGAATCACGGGAGGCTTGGCTGCTCCTCTTGTTGCTGGAGCGATTGGGACTGTTCTGGGAGGCGTTGGTCTAGGAGGTGTTGCGAGCTTTCTTGGCATCTTCTGGATGAACGGAGCTTTGGTCGGAACTCTTTTTGGAGCCTATGGCGCCAAGATGACTGTAAGTTTAAGAGATGCTTTACTTGGCCAACGGATCATATGCTGACATGGCTCTTCTTCGCCCTTACCTCAGGGCGAAATGATGGATAACTATGCGAAAGAGGTCGAAGACTTCCGATTTCTCCCCCTCAGAGAAGAGTCTACAACAGATAACCCAGAGGAAATCACCAAAGAGCAAAAAGAACAGCGTCGTCTTCGCGTTGCTATCGGAATCAATGGCTGGCTTAACAAAGAGGATGACATCAAGAAGCCATGGCGCACTCTCAGCACCGACACCGAAGTCTTTGCTCTACGCTACGAGATGAATGTTCTTCTTAAACTAGGCACCGCATTAAACGACCTCGTCCGCTCCGTTGCTTGGACGGCCTTCAAGGCGGAAGTTATCAAGCGGACTTTGCTGGCGACTCTTTGGGCTGCCCTCTGGCCGATCCAAGTCTTGGCTATTGCTTCCAATGTGGACAATCCGTTCAACCGTGCGCACAACAGATCTCGAAAGGCCGGGAAGCTTCTCGCTGATGCGCTCATTAACAAAGTTCAAGGTGAACGGCCTGTCACTCTGATAGGCTATTCTCTCGGTGCCGCGACCATCCATGCCTGTTTACAATCTCTTGCCGAACGCCACGCCTTCGGCCTTGTCGATACGGTTGTCCTAATCGGCACTCCAGCCCCATCTAACTCAGCTCACTGGCGGACCATCCGGCCCGTAGTCTCTGGAAAGATCTTCAACGTCTACTCCGAGAACGACATGATCCTGGGTTTCGTCTACCGAATGCACAGCCTTGCTCTCGGAGTCGCTGGCCTACAGCCCATCAAAGACGTCAAAGGCATTGTGAATGTGAATTTGAGCGACAGTGTCAGTGGTCATCTCCGATATCCCTCTCTCACGGGTGAGATATTGCACAAATGCGGCTTCGTAAACGTCAAGGCCGGAACGGAAATCGAAACGGAGGAGGACGTCATCCAGATGAAAGACAAGGAAGCAGATCTTCTCGACTTCAGCGAAGGACATGATGACAACTCCAAGGCCGTAAACAAGTCTGCCGAGTCCCTTCAGGGCCTGACAATCACGCCTCCGGCTCTTTTGCCGAGCTACGAGTCTGCCACCAAGCCTACAATCTCTAGACGGCCAGTCGGCGGATCTGGACCAGAAGCTCCGCCTCCTATTCCTCGAATGACGGAGTCTGTGCCTCCTATTGAGATGCGTGAGGCAGATGAAATCCCTCCACCACTGCCAAGGCGCCAGACGGTTCCCTTACAAGAGATTCGAATCCCTCGACGTCCAGTTCCAGCCAATGCTGAGGAGCCTGCTAGCCCGAAAACGCCACTGACTCCGCAGTCCGACTCCGATGATGAACACCACATGTCCATTTCTATGGTAGATAGGGACGTGGATGATGATTGATGGATATTTACTCAAAGGTAATTTTGATGCCATCTTAGGTAGACTTTGAAAAGGCACATGCGCAAAGCTACCCAAGTATGTAGAGGGACTTGCCCGTTAGAAGGTTGTCCTTTAGAAGGTTACCCACTAGAATATTACGCGGACTTGATGCTTCGCCTTCCCTTTTGCACACCCGGAAAGGGGCATATACATAGTCATACAGTCATATAACCATTCAATGGGACTTGCTCCAGTGTTGGAATGCTGGCTATCAAACAAAAGAGGGCACCGCCGCTACAATACTTTTGCATCCTTTAACGCCACCCATAGCTATATACACAGACAAATATCTACCCTATAAGCCCATTCCTCCACCTGCCCAGGCTGGAAAGGCATCTTCGGGATTTATAGGAATGTCTTGCTGCTGTCTCTGGTTCTGACGTTCTCCTTCAACGTTCTGGGCATGCTGTTGCTGCATCCTCTGTCTCCACCACAATAGGAGGACAAGAGCTAGGGTGATGCCTATGATTAGAGTGCTCTCAACGACGCCATCCAATATGTCTTCATCGTCATCCCCGAGTGTCCCGTCGTACATATCATCAAGGTAATCGTCCTCGTACGGAGGCCCCTCGTCCTCTAAGAAGTTGGTTATCCACTCCGAAAGAGACCAGTCTTTCTTCTTCTCTGTAAAATTTGTCAGCCTCACGTTCTTGATCTTTAGTTGTTCCATCTTCTTTTCCTCCTCTCCTGATAGACTTACTCGGCTCGTCTTGGATAGAATGAACTGGTCCATTAGTCAGAGTATTCCAAGCGCTTCGTATCCGAAGTTTTAATAGTCCGAGGGTGACGGGGAGATACGCTTCATCGTTGACAGCCAAGGCGTGGTCGTAGTACCGCTTGGCGAGATGGAAATCTTGTGTCAGCCCAATGCCATTCTCATGCATCCATCCCAGGTTGAAAAGTGCCTGGGCGCTCTGTGAGTAATCGGAAGCACCAGTATAGCACTGTACCGCTTTGCCAATATCTTGTTCGGTACCGATGCCATAAAAGTAATAGTCGCCCATTTTTACGAGGGCATCAATGTTTGATTGTCTTGATGCTCGTGTCCAATAAACGAGCGCCAATGCAGGGTTATCCAAGAGACCAGATCTGTCGTTTCGCTTACGAATCAACTCAGAAATCGGTAGCTTAGATCGGACAGTATCGAGGACCCAGGCAACGTTAGTTTGCGCCTTCTCGTATCCCTGCTCTGCAGCTAAGAGATACTCCAGGAACGCCAAGTCATAGTCCTTGGCTTCGTACGCATCATTCGCATCCGCCCACGACGATACAAGGGGCTCTGCTTTTTCAGCTACGCTCTTGTAATAGCTCAGCGCCATGCTGCAAAGCTTTTCGCGACCGAGGCCGTGGAATACCAGTTCTGCCAAGTAGTAGTTTGCCTCGATGTTGCCATAACGAGCAGCCAGCTCAAAATAGTTGTTCGCGATCCGCACATCCTCCTGGCCGCCTTGGTCGAGATAGAGCTGGCCCATCTGGACCTGCGCAGGAGCATAATCGTGATCAGCAGATACTCTGAATAGCTCTACAGCTTTCACAATATTCTCTTTAACGCCATAGCCGTGCAGATACATCAGTCCCAGCCCGTACCGTGATAGTGCATCAGCTTGTGAGGAGCCACGATCAAACCACACCTTTGCTCTGTCGAAATTCTGAGGAACCCCATCTCCCCTCAAATACATCTTGCCGAGGTAGCCAGCCGCCTTCCCGGCTAGCTTGTCAATGCCTGACTTGGCATTTTCTACGGGTCGTCCATCTTTCTTCCAATATCTTGAGGCAACCAGAAGAAAGTACTTCCTGGCAAGTTCGAAGTCGTTGTCTAGTCCTCTTTGGCCCTCATAATAGATCTGTCCCAGGTTTAGTGTAGCCTTTGAATCACTTTGTTGGGACATGAGATCTAGATATTCAATAATATCTCCAATAGCAGCATTGGCATCGGAGTTGACCCTAGGCTTGAACGCATTCATGCCTGCACTAGAAGCACTCGCCCCTTCTCCATACAACCCTCCGAAGTCATCTGCAATGCGCCATGACTGAGCAACCCACGCCATCCCGCCCGGGGGGCCAGAGCGGTACCAATCTATAGCTTTATCCGCCACGCGCTTGTAGTACTTGACGGCAGTCTCACAACTCTTAGTAGTTCCGATGCCCGCTAGATGCCGGAAACCAGTGGCCATTTCAGCTCTTGTATCTCCACGAACGGCAGCGAAGGTGTAATAGAGAAGTGCCTTGGCTTGATCTTGTGGGACAACACCGCCTATGCCAGTTGAGTAATATAATCCAAGCATATACTGCGCCGTAGTATTTCCATGGCTGGATGCTAGTTGTTGGTAGTGCTTAAAAGCGGCGTGAAGGTCCCTGGGATGGCTATAGTTGCCAAAAAAGTTGAAGTCGGCAAGGATATACAATGCATCGGAGTTATTTTGCTGAGCTGCTTGCTCAAGTAGCTCTACCGCATTGACTAGAGGGCCGCTGGTCGCCGTCGCCTTGGGCTGTGATGGTGCGATGACAGGGCCGGTCGGGATAGTTCTGAGGAGCAGACGCAGAGCTGAGCTGAATATTCCCGATGATTCTCTTTTTCTTCTAGGCGGTAGTGGGATCTTCCGGAGCTCGGCAAGCGCAGCGTCGACAAGGTCGCTTCCTTTGGCCAAGTTAGCTCGTCTATTACGGCTTCTATATTGAGCAGTGACATTGTACCAGGCTGTATAAAAGCTGCACCCTCCGGCTCTGCACCAACATCTAAAAAGGATTCGATCGCATGCTTATCGGCAGCAGTGTGCGCTGAGTTGTCGTTTTGGCTGCCAAGAGGCTTTTGGTCGTGAGAGCATATCACCGCGGTGGCCTGCGCAAGCACTGAGACCACCATGTGAGCTTTACATGGTGCAACTGAGAATGCGGCAAAGGGGACTTACGGAAGGCACAGGCTATCCAGCCTCTCATGTTGGGCAATTGCTATGTGCCTATATTCGAATGGACAGCCCGCAGCATGGCTATCGCATAAAGACTGAAGTTGAAGCAGCGTACATGTGTGTGTCGCACGATACTGCGTCAGAGCCAGGTCCCTTTGCGATCGTACAAGCTGTCCACTACTCGCAATAGGCAGCGGAAGCTGACTATTGCGAGCGATGACTAAGCATGGCTCTTTGTCAGGAACTGGCGTCATCGCCAGAGCTGGCACGTGTTCAGAGTAAACTGACACCTGGGATTCGTTACGGCTAAAAAGATGGGAATACCAGATATCAAGGCTCCTTTCAGAAATATTCACTACCTAGTATTTTACTTCCATAATTCACCAGGCCATGTGCTCTCAGTCTGCCACAGACCCAACATAACCAGAGAATCAGGATCAAACAAACGATATCTAGCGATGTGGGGCCGATTTGGCCAATGTCTCCCCAGAGTCCTAGGACTTAGGTGCTGACTTGGGCGCTGAGTCTGCAAGTGGTAGCACCCGACAGGTACTAGCGACAGTTGCTGCCTGTAGCTTAGAGCGCTAACGCCGCCACTTTCCAGCCCTCACGCGTTGATGTGTCAGGGCTACAGGGCTACAGCGCGTTAATGGCCGGTCTGACCCGCGTCTTTCAACACGCGCTTCCCAGCAACTTTTTACCACACAGCCATTAGCTAGCCCAGCCATCTTACTTGTATCACGAAGATCTTGCACGTAGCAATTCAGCCGCAATCTGCTAATATATTTCGCCTCCTCTCTTTCGCTACTTCTTGCATACATTCCTGTACAACTACATCAAGGCAATTGGATATTGACCACTGATCCATACAAAGTGGCTGCTCTTGTTGGCTTACGAACTGCTATTACCGTCTATTCGCTCCCTCGACTGCTCAGCCGACCAACTCCACTTCTCCACAACTCTCAATTCTGCACAATGTCAAGTCTCAAGAGAAAAGCGGCCACAACAGGCAATGAGACTGAGGCAAAGAAAACAAGGGCCAATGGTAGCATTTCTTCCTTCTTTGGTGCCGCCCCAAAGCCTGCTGGCGCTGCCCCCTCTCCAGCGGCCAAGTTTGACAAGGCAAAATGGGTTGAAGGCTTGACTGCTGAGCAGAAGGAGCTGCTTAAGCTCGAAATCGATACTCTTCACGACAGCTGGCTGGCATTGCTCAAGGATGACGTGACCACAAAGGAGTTTCTTGAATTGAAGAAATTCTTAAACCGTGAGACGGCTGCTGGGAAGAAATGGTTCCCGCCGAAGGAAGACGTGTACTCCTGGTAGGCTACGCCGACTGCCCAATATTCTTGCCTGCCTGTACCAGGTTGTCTAACAAATTCAGGTCTCGTCATACGCCATTCAACGAAGTCAAAGTCGTTATTGTCGGCCAAGATCCCTACCACAACGTGAACCAAGCACACGGCATGGCCTTTTCCGTTCGACCGCCAACTCCGGCGCCGCCATCGCTTCGAAATATGTATATTGCTCTGAAGAAGGATTATCCTAGCTTCGTTGAGCCGCCGAACCGGGGTGGCTTGTTAACGCCATGGGCCGACCGAGGCGTGCTGATGCTCAATACATGCCTTACTGTTCGTGCACACGAGGCCAATTCACATGCCAATCGTGGCTGGGAGCGGTTCACTCAGAAAGTCATTGACCTCATTGCCCAAAAGCGGACACGAGGTGTGGTCTTCATGGCATGGGGAACACCAGCCAGCAAGCGAGTGCAGAGGGTGGATAAACAACGCCACCTGGTGCTCCTCAGCGTTCATCCTAGCCCACTGAGCGCGTCCAGGGGATTCTTCGATTGCGGCCATTTCAAAGCAGCAAACGAATGGCTCATCACTAGGTATGGCGATGACGGCGAGATTGACTGGGCCTTGAAACCCGGAAACACAACCAAGAAGCTCGTCAAGAAAGATGCCAAGGAGGATACCAAGGAAGATGCTAAAGAAGATGCGGCCCCAGTAGCGAATGGAGATGCAAAGGGTGCAGAGTCACAAGACAAATCACCAGAGAAACCAAAGGGGGGTGCAAAGACCAATGTTGAATCCAAGACAAAGAAGGCAGAACTCAAAAGCGACGAAGACGACTTCGATTCTGATGATGAGGCTGCGTTGGCAGAAGCCCTTGAACTTGCAGAAGAGCAAACCAAGAACTAAGCATGATACCATATGAGAATAGAGGGAAAGGGCTACGATTGGAATGGAAAAGCAGCGATTGGACATGATGACATATTTTAAAGACGTTTAAGCTATAAATGATAGCAATTTGGGTATACTACTTTGGAAGCGTCGGCAGACGCAGGATTAAGATCCTTCAGATTGAAAAATAGGGAATTTCACATATTATTACGGGATTTACGGTTACTGGCGAGCAAATTTCCCACTAATAGGCAAAATTTTGCTCCAGATGGAAAACGAGGGCTATTATTTGAACAACAGCTGTTTTTTTACTATACTTGGGCTCTCTGACTTCTATGCTGCGGAAAACACCATGAAGCCCTCGGCAGCTCACTGAATACTAGTAGTATACTGTAGTGGCCTACGATTTGTTTCCGCCTAAAGGGCATAGATTCTTCTTGCTGCGTTCACCACGTAGCTGCTTGTTATCGCGTGGCTAAAATTAGACACTACCGCGGTATCCAAGGACAATTTCGCTTTTGGAATCAATGATCGCTTGTCACCAGCATGCTCGTACTACCTACCCAGGGCCGTTCGACTATTTCGTGTGCATCTATCGTTTATTAGGCCTTGGTTGGGCAGGAGACCAGGGGTTGACCTAGCGCCAGAGCTCAGCTGAACACTCATGTCCTATAATATTTGATGTGGCTTAACTGCGTGTCCCATGGTTAGGCTCTCGGCAATTCACAGCCTTGTCTATTCAATATCCATCGTTGGTAATACTGGATGCGAACATACGACGCTCACTGTTATCACAGTCCTTTTACTTCTTCCAATAGACGCTGTTTTGCGGTCCTGTTAATACTAACCTAGTATTCACTGCTAGTACTACAAGATAGCCTGGGGCTAAGAACATGTGTAAATTGACAAGACAAGATAGCATTTTCCTACGCCATACGACATACACACTGCAAGACATCTGCTTGGCCAATTAACATCAAACAGTCCCTCTTGGTAGGGCGAGCTGCTCGCAACTATTGTACAGAGTTGGAAGCTGGCCGCTGACAGCCCTACTAGCAATGGTAGGCTGAGAACTTGTTTCACAAGATCCTAGCGCAAGCAATCAAACAATATCGCCTGTAGCGGCCCAAGCTTGCCCAACCCCTGCCTCGTATGATTTCATGGCTGCGGACATTCTCGAGGGAGCCCAAGTCAAGCGTTCTCGGTGCATGCACTCCGCATGGAGAAAGCTTCGTCTGAGCGCTGCGTACCTACGGATTGCATGCAGATCAGATACCCGACGTAGGCGGCATAATATTGGGGCTACATCCGCAACGGCTCTGTGAACTGTGAGACAAGACAGCAGCCACGGAAAAAAACAAAGTTGGTGTGCATATGCCCTGGCATATTGTTGCGTATGGGTATTAGTGCAGTACATGCGGTAATCTGCGCGCTTTGCAGGTTTCAAACACTGTTAATATTAATAGGTATCCAAACATACGAGTATTCTGCACGTCTTGAGTAGAAAACGTCGACGAGATCTGCTTACTCGTAACGAGAACTAGCTGCGACGCCCGAGCGATGATTTGGCCGTGCTAATTTAAATTTCAGGGTTAGCTCCCGGGGCAGCCCATGCCTGGTGCCAGATGTTGGCGCTGAGCGGCAGCAAGAGCGCCACTGCTGCAAGCTCTGTAGTGGCAGCTCGCGGTGGGTTTGGTGCACTTAGCGTACTGCCGTTACGGGACACCCACCCGCTATCGCGCTATCGCGCTATCACCCCAACCGCCCCCACTACGTCTCGCTGAACGCTGTAGCCACTGCCGCAGCCTCCAGGCACAAGCATCTCCGTCTGCGATGCAGCTCCACCGCGTGCTCGCCTCGAACAAGCCCAATTCATCAAGGTTGCTTCTGCCAAGAGGCCTCGTACGTGTGCGAGGCACAGGCACGGAGCGCCATGCCCAATCGTTCCACCGGACTCATGCGCCTGCGTCGAGAATACATGTATGGAACACTAAGCCGGAGCCCAATCGGGCCTGTGAACATCAAGCACCGGCTGCACCAACGACCAGAGAATCAACCCCAAGCACTGCAATTGGTGTGATAGGCACCTGGCCCCAAAACCGTCGTCGCCCAAGTACCTCGCAGCGCTGTTTTCGCCGCAGCAGTACCTCCGCGCCCCCCAGCTGGCGCACCACACTTTAGCATCTAATCTTAGTCGCATAAAGACCCGTAGACCGGCCCCTGGCTTGGACGTGTCGCGCCCCTGAAGGCGACGAGCAAAAAGATTCCCACCACCACCTCTTTGCCATCTCCAGCAAGCGAAATCAACTTCTTCCTCAGCGTGCGGGACGGCGTGTCTGTTCTCGAGGATCGCGAGCCTATTGTGTGCGCGCGCTGGCTGCTTCCCCTTGTTGAGCTTCATCTTTTGTCTCCAAGAAGTGCCCCTCCTTAACTTATTCTCTTTCTATCGCCTCTATTTTACTTCACCTTCAAAACCCCCCTTTGCCGTGACGGCCGAGTTACGGGACTTACACAAAAACGTTCGCAGCGCGAATTGATCCATTTATTTCTTTATCTCATCGGTTAAGCGAGTAAAGTGATTTGGCATCTTGGCAGGCTCAGTTGCTACGCCTGGACCCTCGCCTGAGATTCGGCACTGCTTTCTTCGTCTTCTTTCTTCTTTCTGTTCGCGGTGCCTTTGAACTACCCACCGCTTCTTAACAGCCTGGAACTAGATACTTATGCCTAACGGTTCTGTTCGTTGATAATATCACTGAAAATGCCTGGCATCTTCTCACGCCGCAAAAAGGACGGCAAGTCCAAGAAGAATGGACTCGACGACTCTGCAGATTTGGCCCTGCAGAAGCAGAAATGGGACGATGCTTGGTCCCGCAAGACGGTAGAGCCGGAGGAAGTTCGAGAGCTGCTGTGCGGCTGCACTGAAGAGCTCAAGAATCGAGGTATGGTATCAATCATCGCCCAGTCGTCATATAGCTCTCCATTCCATGGCTTGGGAGACCCGCTACGCATAACTGCAGACTAACAATATCGCTGTAGGCCTCGATCACCCATTCTTTCTGCTCCCGTTCCGACCGACGTCGAATCCGAGTGCTGTGCGCACCTTCATTCGAAACTTCTTCAGCCAGGACCCCCCGATTAGTGGCGAGCTACTGCTCCAAGAGTTGCGCATGACGGATCCTATGGTGTGTTTTTTGGTGTCTATGATTAGGGCGGAATACTTACATGGCATAGGTTATCTCGGGAGTGGCAAAGTGGTGCTGGAGCCGTCTCCAGGGAGGTCTAGTTGGCTGGGATGCGTATGAGTTATTCAAGGTTGGTGAACGAGGTATGTGATATTTTGCAGGCAACCAGTTGCGACCGCCAGCAGGTCTACATTCACGTAGTTACTGACTTTCGGAATCATCCCAGACTCAAACATGGCCCGCGATTCGTTCAAAACCTTTATCCCTCTCAGCGTTGAAAATGCTGCACGCCAACAGATTATCTTCGATTTCTTTAGCTTGATAGCAGCAGTGGCGGCGCATGGCAAGAACAACGGTTTCGGCGGGCGTAAGCTGTCTCGTATGGCTTCGTGGTGGACCTTTGAGCACAACGATACTGGCAATGGCTTCGATGGTGGCTATGGGTCTTGGCTAAGGTACGACAAAGTTTTTAACCCTGAGTATGAAGTGTAATACAGAACCATGCTAACTGCGCTTCCAGTGCCGCCGATGCTACTAGCCATCTCTTTTTCGCTTATCTGCGATCGCTTTCCCCTGAGCAAAACCCTACAGGAATCACCATGTTGCCTAGGTCGCTTCAAAAACTTCTCCAGGAGACTGAATACCCCCCGCAGAGGCCGGAGCTGCTCATGGTTAAGACCAAAAAGGTGGCCATGATTGTTGAGACAGTTTCTCCCACGCCATTTGCTTTGTTGCGGAGAGCAAACCACTTTCAATATCGCGACTCCGACAGAGAACTTCAGGAATTCTCCAGCCACGAAGACCCCGTGGAGGCGCTTACGGACGAATGCCAGCGAGTACTCAAAGCAATCTCGTCAGCTAACCAATCGCAAGTGTCTAGTATAAAGCACTCTACGGGCCTACGAGATGCCAGCTGGTCTAGATTCGAGGATATTGGATTCGCTAGCTCTCTGGAAGAGGAAGACGACGGCGAAGGAAGCGCTATACCGAACAGAAGAGTCCAACAGCTTAGGCAGTTCCAAGGCCTCCGCGGCAGCCCATTATCTGGCGGCAACGGCGTTGCACGCCCAACAACACCTTCATGGGCCGATTTCCTGTCAGTCGGCTTTGTCGACGACAACCAGTCAAGACCCAACTACCTTTTGCCGCCCGATAAGATTCTTCCACCTCTGTCGCCGGATGGCCGTCACAGTTCTCAATCCCATTATCCAAGACTTGAGAGCGAACGGGATGTCGAACCGGGAGAGCTTGCAAGTATTAGGGTTGTCGATCTGGATGATGCTTTTTGGTGGGTATGGATGAGCAGTCTTGCGCCAGAGGAGACCCCCGAGAGGAAGTCAGCTTTTGGCCGATGTGCTGTTATTGAAACGGAAATCCGTGGCAGCCGATGGCTTGTCATGGAAGAGATCATCGCAGGTGCGGCCCCTAGTGCTCAAGAAGGAGCGTATATTGCTGAAAAGAAGGGACTGTTCTCCTGGGGGAAACGCTCTAAAACTATCTCTAAACGCAAGAAGTCTCTTGATAAGAACCACGACAAGGGTGCAACGGCGAACGCGAACGATAGCAAGGCCAGCATTGGTCCAGATGCGCATGCCAAAATTCAAGCAAAAGCTGCGCAGCTGAGGGCTCAAAAAGACCGCGAAGAGGAGCAGCGTATGCAGGCTATTCCTCGTCGTGGTCGTACCGATGCTGAGCTGTTGACTGAAAAGACTAACAGTGTTTTCACCCTCCAGCCTTTGATTGTGGGTGAAGCTTCTTCGGCTATGAAATGGGTTAATAAATACGACAAGGGCACCATTAAGGATATTTATATGGCCCATGACGAAGCAGGTCGAGGAACAGCCTTTAGCCCTTCGCAATCCGAGCTTGTCGTCAACCAGGAACCCGCTGATGACGGTCTTCATTCTCCCTTGGTCCCTCCAAAGGACAATCACTTGACGCCAGCCGCCTCACCTTTACCTCATGGGCATTCTGCCTTATCCTTGGTCCCAGAAAACGTCTTGGAAGAGGCGCGATCGCGGTCCCCTCTTCCAGACAAGGCCGAAACTCCTGTACCTCCCGCGCATGAGCCTAGCCTGCCAACGCCACCCAAAGAAGAGACTGCTGCTCGAGTCATGTCGCCTACTTTTGATGGAAAAGCCTCTATGGATACTCCAAGGAGTCCCGAGCCGGCGAAGCAGCAAAAGACTAGTGGTTTCCGGAAGCTGTTTGGCCGCAAAAAACGCAACTCGAAGAATCTTGAAAATGTTACTACCGATCTGAATAAGATGCTTGAGCAGAATTCTAAGAAGTCTATTGAGCAGCCAATGGCCAGTCCTGCTGTTGTCTCGCCGCTCGAGCCAGAAACTCCTGTCGAAGCTGCACCTGCAGGAGAACCAATTTATGAGCCAATTTATGAGCAGCAGGCGGACGATAATGGAGCTCACGCTGATGCCCAAGACGAGGGTCCTGAACCTGAACATGACTTCTCAAGATTTGATCAAGGTCCTCTAGATGATGTACCGGCTTTTGTCCCGGACGAAGATGACGATGACGAGTTCGAAGATGCGGTCCCGCAGCCGGCTTCTCGTTCCGCTCGCCCTGAGCCGCCTCTCCACGAAGCCCCAGAGCCTCCTCGCCAGGCTCCTAAGTATAACTCGAAGCTACCTGTCAAGGAAGGTGGCCCAGCGGGCCCGGGTGGTAGCATACAGGACAGATGGGCCCAACTTCGCAAAGCGAGTGAGCGACCTGCTCCTCGCCAAGTGGAAGTTCCCTACGCGAAACCTACGAAGCCCACTGATGGCGATGAAACCAGTGGAGAAGAGAGTGAGTACTAATAGCTACGCCCCTTATAAATAGCAAATTCTAATTGTTTGCTTTTTAGCAATCGAGTCTCGAGTCGCACGTATCAAGGCTCGGGTTGCAGAGCTTACTAACAACATGGAAGGCACATCAGTGCCTCTCCGTAACTGAGGGACGGAGCTCAATTCAATCTAATACATCCAAAAACTTTTCTTCCTTTTGTCAATACTCTCCCAAACCTACAGCCTACCACAATTTGATCATTTGATACCACTTGCCGTTATATTCTTAACACACAACCAGAGACACGATGCTATGTGCAGCGTTTCATTTTTAATACTAGTCGATTCTTTCTCTCTTCATCACTCGATTTATTTCTTGCAAATTTTGTATGATACCACCGGAAAACTAAAAGGAAAGGTGTGGGGGATCTCAAAAATATGCCGGTGTGGGAAAAGACCTTATTTATTATTACCCAAAACGCCGCACACGGGTCCAACATCTTTATCTGAACGTTTGCAAAGAAAAAAAAAGAGAGGTCCACAAACGGTGTGCCGAGGAGGTCCAAGCATTTGGAATTTGCCTTTGATCTCCCCCCTCTTTCTCCTTTCTCTATGTCCTTTCTCCAATTCGGAATAAAACTGCCTGTCATATTTCTTTTCTTTGCTTTTCTTTTCTCAAGTTTTTCTTTTCTTCTCTTTGCAGAATTTTCTGTTTTTCTATTTGCGAGGGTAATCACATTGGAGGATTCCATGCGAAGATGGAATTTCACAAATGTTGTTTGATACATGCTCCTTTGAGGCTATTGACGCCTGATATATAGAGTCTGCAAATGCAAGTAGTACTACTCTCGCTTGATACAAACTTTGGCTGGTTCGTGATTCGTGATTCGTGATTCGTAACTCGTTTTTCTAAAATTTTGAAATGGACCGAGAACAGTGGTGGGCAGTGTAAGAATGTGCAACCCAATAAGTGAGCAGAAAGGAAGAAAGCGCATCATAAACAAGGTACGCCACAGGCTTATCAGCCTATGATATGAAGTGTCTCATTGTGTGTGTTTTTTTTTTTTTGTCAAATCAATACCCGTGCTATAATGCTCTACTCCCAGACCAAACTCCCTTCGCCATGTCAGCGACCCAACAACTTCTATTTTCCCGAAGATATTTGAATCAACTTTCGCTCGATTATGAAGCTGCGGCGAATGTCGGGAAGCAGTCGGCCAGGCCCTTGCTGTGCTTGTTTTGAGCGTGCTCCAAAAGGCTAAATGAAGGCAGTAACAATTAGTTAATTGTCCAATCTGTACACAGTATGTAGCAAGACAGGGTGGTCGTACGCAGGAGCCTTTGTGGTTTTCAGGAACGTCGACTTGCAGATCTGGCATTGGATGTCCATGGCTTGCTGGTTCTATACGGAGTGGTCAGTCGCGGTTGAATAGCGAAACATGTTGTTAAGGGCTAAAACGTACAACTTTGAGCTGAGACTTGGCAGCACCCTTTCCCTCCTTTGCGTTGCGTTCACGCTTCTGCTGAGCTTTGGCGCCCTAGACAAGACATTTGCAAGTTAGAGATCGGCGGGAAACGGTGCAGCGCGGTGCAAGTTTGGCGGGAAGAGTGTCTTACGTTGCCCATTGTGGTGGATGAATGTGAAAATAAATCGCAAAATAAACGAAATCTGCCTGTAAAAGAGGATTGCCTGGGTATTATCGGCCGAAGTGTTTTCCGTGCACTTTTACAAAGAGATACAAAGAGAGGCAAAATAATCTCTTAAGCGGTGTCACGAAAGTTGAGGCGATACCGAATGGAGCCAAGATAGTGATAGGGCGAAATGCGATAAGCGCTTAAGAGGAAAATTTGCAGAGGCGCTCGGCATAATGGCGCGCAGTCAGGTGAGCGGGTAGAACTCCGAGGCGCAGAAGGCACTCTTGATATGTATCATGTAATTACACGATGAATGACGATGTGAAGCTGGCATCTTGCGAGGGCTTTGACGGTGACACTTTTTGGAAGACTTAACATGTGAAAATACTTGTAGTTAGTTGTTTTTTATTTTCTACTGATAGTCTACTGTGATAGTTTTCACTATTGTACTACACCATACCTCTTACTAATCTACAGCCGCTACTGCTAGTATCTGTAGCTATTTTCTATGCATAACTCCGATGTATTGCAGGGTAAGTATATTTACTACCATGGCTTCAAGAGTGTAATGGCAAACATTGCAAAACAATTGAGGAGTATTGATTCCATATCATAATCATAGGTCCTTTTTTTTTTTTTTTTTTTTCCAAGTCTAGCTTCTATTTTCTTTCGCGGATTCGCTCGTCTTACTTTGTTCTGATCACTGAAATCAGCTTCAACACTCAAATGGTGATGCCGAATGATGAGCCTTCATAGAAGTTGTATAAATAAGATGGAGTCGTGATGAGCAATTGTCTTCATCTATACAACCAGGTTCGATAGTCTGCTCTTTGGAGCTAGTTCCCCAACTGTGTAAGATAGCTGCGGACTTATATATTTCGTTACCTAAAAACATGTGGTGAGAGTAATAAAGCTGCGCTCCTGTCTGGACTTAATGTAGTAGCCATGGCCATCTGACCAGACCATTGCAGGGCAATCGCCTGGTCTACCATCTGAGCTACTGTAGGCCTTCGTCGGTCGCATGCGGCTTTCCGTCTACATTGCTTCTAGCAACGCTATTTGGCGAAACTTCTGTTTCCAGGAGTCCACATCTGTATTCCACCATCTGTTGCAGAACCAGATGATTTGTGCTGTATTTGTAACGATAAGTCTTATATTGCTCATCAAGCAGATGATCAATGCCATTTCTGAGAAGAGTACTTGACAAGCCACCAAGCTCTTTATCAACCATGAGTGGGTTGTGTTCATCGGTTGTAGTCTCAAGTTTTGCAGCTGCCTAAAATTTTTAATGTCCATGAAGAGCACCTCGCTAGGGGTACACAGCAAACTTGTATTATGCTTCTAATCCATTACTTATTACTTATAGAAGGAGTTATGCATCGCATGATTCATGCAAGATGATAAGGCATCCATCGAGGCGTCATTTACGCTCATCGTACCTTCTTGTAGTTGATTTCAGTAATTAGAACGAAATAACATTAGTGAATATGTGCAAAGGCCTAGAAGTCAGGTCGGGGGGGTGCATATCCGTTAGGACTTCCAGCCAACACCTGGCTCACAAATCAGGCATAAAGAAAGGAAATCCAAGTATGTGGCACAAGTGACTTGTGGTTTAGTGACCCGTCATAACACTCTGTGTACTCTCGACATTTGGACGCCAGTGCCGGCATGTTATCTGCATAAATCTCCACGAGCTTTCATTACTTTTCATTGTTCTCCTGAGGACAGAATAGTTTGTAACCTATCAATAAGCTGGAGAGAGGTAGCACCGGTTCTGCAGACTCTTCTTTCTGGGGTTTAAGTACCGCGATATTTGGACAGTGTTATAATTTTAAGAGCATAAGATATACATTGCTCTTTGGCATCGTATTGCTTTAAAATGTCAATCATCATTGATGTATATCTTCCAAGGCGCTAAACGGAAATACGACTCAAGTAGTACTAAACAAATAACTGCACGTCAAAAGAAGCACAGCTCCCTCCCGTGCCATTAGCTGCCTAGTATTTGTAAATAAGGAAAATAATACTATTAGTCTTCAACTAGGGGAGAAAAACAACATCAGCTAGTACTCAGCACGTATAAGCGTATCTTAGAGAAACAAGATAATGCTGTCGCTCTGTACCGCATCTATGACTTTACAAGGAAGATTGCTTCACCCGATCTCGACGCAACGCAAGTCTTTCAGCAGGAGCAAGCGGGAGCTGAGTGAATTTTTTCTAAGGCCTTGTAGTTTTATCTTTGTTGCGTAGCAGTTTAAAAATTATTGCGATAGAAAAAAATTATCGCTGCGAGTTTCTTATTTTTAAGTATAAAATGGCGAGATGCAAAGCCTGGGGTTTAACCTGAAAGCTACACTATTGGGGCAGTATCTGAGTTGATTTTGTGTTAGTAGGTGTCAGTGGACTCAATTATAGGAGGATGACACTACGGAGCGCCGAGCCAAATTTTAATTTTCCGTTGCAAGAGATTCAACTCTCTTACATGTATGTTGCAACTCACTTCTCCGAGCACAAGACTTAAATTACCGTCGGTAAACTCAACTTTCAGTCTTAGAGGCATATTGCAAGAATCTAGAATCAACAAGGTTGATTCCCGATGGTGCCCGTACCGAGGATCTTGGCAATTACCCGCTAATTATAAACACCTACCTAATTGAGTAGCACCGTTGGTAATAGCTTGGCTTCCAGATGTGGTGGCTGATGCTTTCTGCTAACATGCACTCCTACAGCAGCACCCACCAGTACATGAGATTATTGAAATGACGTGAGTGCGCGTCGAAAGGCTTCCCTATCTACCAAGCAACGTAGAAAAAAAAAGAAGAAAGGGAAAAAAGCGAGGGGACAAAAAGGATAAAAATATTTGGAGGTGCCTGCTACAGCCCCGCCAACTTGTTGTCTTCAGTCCAGATAGATTCTGGAAGGAAACTGAGTCATTGCAGAGAAGCATACGAGAGTGCACGAGCGGTCCCGGGATAGATAGCTACATGTAGCTACCTATGCACTCTGCATACCCAAAGACCCAAAGTAACAAGAACAGTAATAAGCTTAGAATGCAGTCTTTTCTTGTAAGCATATACAGCTCTGGCATGGCTTTTGTTGTTTACTATACCCTGGCCGAGACAGGAAGTTGAGCTGAAAAGGACCGGAAGCTCCGCAGCCGACAGGCTAGGGTTCCCTGACAAGTCGTGTTGCGTTTATACGGGCTGCTCGTGTTTGACGCGATCTAACTACTAAGTATAGCCTGAGGGCGCGCGGGCTTGCATTAGTAACTGACCACTGGCTCGTGCCGAATGATACTTTATATAGTAAGTTAACTTTATTCTGATGCTTACCTCCTAAGCTACACTGTGGTTTTCCACCAATGGCAGGGGCATATCCTTTGCTTGATTAGGCATTTTCCCTCGTCGTCTCTTAGCCTCGCACGATTGTACAAGTATCAGTAATGTCCGCTGTTCCCCGTATGAGTCCTGTGATCCACCGGCGGCCAATCATGGCTTGGCAGGAGCTTGTCATGAACGCATCTTACCATCAAACGGGCGGTCGGCAACACACTAGACTGTCTGCTGGGGCTGGATGGATAATCCGTTATCCAATTCATGTAGACACTTCGAATATCAGCACTTCCTTGTATACTGTATGTCGATACCAGACGAGCTAGATATAGTGCGATCATTGAGTGCTCATCTTGCCTGCCAACGAAGTAATGGAGCGTTGCGTTGCTAGATGTGGAGACGTTCACTTGGCAGGGATCAAAAACCTTGAGAAGATTCTGAAATGGAAACTTCACGTCAGCTGTTTTAAGAGAGTTGCCTGCAGAACTGCTCAGGCTGTCATAGGCACTTGGAGTCGCTCTTGGTCTTTGACACCCGGTATCTGCTGTAGGTGGGATTTCAACTATCCAACTTCCATAAAATCCCTAGCATGGTTGGAAATCTCACCTCTTTAACGATCTACTAGTAGTATAGCCTAACTTTCCTGTTGCTTGTCTTGGTGGAGTTAATGCATTAACTACTATTGGTGTTCTGCTGGTTACAATTGGATATTCGGGCGGTGGCTTTCCCGACCCCTGACGTACCAAGCTTTCACTATTCCTTCTGGAGAAATTCTAGCCGCATATTTTGCTGCCTCTCTCTGAACGGCAACGTAGGAATATCTATGTAGATCCGGACCGAATGGAGAGTAGGTCTGGGGGGTTTGTATCCAGACCCTGTAGGCTGACCAGTCGACTCTTTCCGGGAAACGAAGGTATGCTAGTGACAGATATTCGGAGCTTTCCGCTGCCAATGGGAAAATGCCCCAGGAGCTATAAAGACCCGCGCGCCTCTCTACCTAATCGGCTCACTTACTGACCGTTCTTCTTTATCCCAAAGTGGCGAGCCTCTAACCTCAAC